CTACATTCATAGTCATCCAAATGCCAGATGAAATGTCCGGCATGGGTAAAGCTAAGGGAAATGCCAGTCTTCTATGCAAGAAGTTATTGTTATATCTGCTTTATATTGAAATAAGCTTTTAGTGACATTTACTCTTCAACCATACTTTAGATTAATTAATGAACCTCTGAATGAATGATCTTTAGGTTGTCCATTATACAAAATTTGCTGAAATGGTTTCATGCTTAATACATAAAAAAAACTTAAATGACATCTCCTAAAAAAAACCTTAAATGACATCTCCTCTACCCCTTGGATGATATTGATAAAACTGAATTTATGGAATGCCCATGTAATTCAAGCTTGCCCATAAAGACTAGATCCTCTGGTGAGCAATAAAGGATATCATGGCCCTCTTGTTTATTTTTTTATTGATTTCTCTAAAAGAATCGTTTAGAATAAAGCTGACACTGACTCATAAATGACCTTTACTTTCAAGTTCAAATGTTTCTTTTTTGCTTGATTTTGCTATAATTAGCTATAATCATGTTATTTATAAATGGATTGTCTTCATACTTCATCCTTTTAGACTAGACCTTTTTTTCGACATGAGCGAAAGCATCACTCATCAATGACCTTGACCTTCAAGGTCAAAATACATGTATTGGATTTTGCTGGATGTTTATTGGCTATAACTTGGTTTTTAGTCCCCTACCGGTTTAACCGGAGGGGACTTTAGGTTTACCCTCCGTCCGTCTGTCTGTCTGTCCGTCTGTCTGTCCGTCTGTCTGTCTGTCTGTCAGTCCGTCAGTCAGTCCGTCCATCCACAAAACTGGATCCCGCGATAACGCAAAAAGTACTGAAAATATTTTTATGAAACTTGATATATGGATAGATGGCAGTATGGAGATTATGCACGTCTTTTTTTTTTCTTCCTATGTTGAAAATTCTGGTTGCTATGGCAACAAATAGTCTGAAAATATGGCAAATTTAGCACATAAACTGGATCCAGTGATAACTCAAAAAGTACTGAAAATATTTTTATGAAACTTGAAATATTGGTAGATGGCAGTCTGGAGATTATGCACATCTTTTTCTTTTCTTCCTATGTTGAAAATTCTGGTTGCTATGGCAACAAATAGCCTGAATTTCAAGATTTCTGATTTAAATTTTTCAGCTTTTTCACTATATGTTCTTTATTTCTTAAGGTGTTTACTTCAAACTTTAAATATAAGTTTCTGGTCATCAACCACATCATATGTGACAAGGCTTATAACTCTAGCACAAAAAATATCAGTATTACCTCCCTTGAACTTAGATTTTTTAGGGGAAAAAATGTTGTCTTTTTTAAATAACTTCTTTATTTCCTAATGTATCTACTTCAAACTTCATATATATGTTTCTTATTATCACTCGACATTTTTGAGAAGGTTAAATACTCTAGCAAGACTATTTCCAGAATTATGTCCCCCTTGAACTTAGATTTTTTTCGAGAAACTGGTATTTTCACTCCAACTTCTTCATTCCTTATAGGATTTACTTTAAATAATATGACAAGGTTGTATAAACATAATTTCCTTACTAAGCATGGAAACTTAACACATTACTGTGATATAGACAAACTTATTTTATTATGTTTTGTGGTTGATATTTTCAAATACAGACTTCATCCTCAAATTCATTATAAATGGCAATATACAGGAGTGTATGACAATTAAAGAACTTTTTGAGGGACCGGTAGGGGACTACTGTATTGCCCGCAATACTATCAAATGCTTGTTTAATAATGGAATGTTTTCATACTTAAGTGGACAATGTATAAACGAAAAAAAACTACTCATGACAAAACTGACATGATCATTTATTTAAATGTGAACTTGACCTTTGAATGATCTTGACCTTCAAGGTCGTATTGTATCTAGCTGAAATTGACATATTGAGGTCTTCCTCCACCAGTAAACCTGGAACATCGCCAAATGACCTATACTGTGTAGGTGTTACGTAAAATTAAACCCAAAAATCAAATCTAAATTGACATAATTTTGTTATTAATTATTATTTATTATAATGGAGAGATTGGATTCATATTGAAACCACACAATACTATATGTTAACACCTACATGTTGAATAATTTAAGTATGACCTTGATTTCTAAATGACTTTGACTTTCATTACGATAATACAAACTCTAAAAGTCTACTTAAGAACTTTAAAAAAAAAAAAGTTCATTCATGACTTCCACAATGGCATAATAATTGAAAGACAATGGCCCTTCAAAATGTTTGTTGACATACTTCTTGTGAGGTTCTTAACAGTAAGGGACTTTTGTAATTGATAACTGCATGCTTGTTTCACATTTGCATCAAACATGTTAGTTCCGTGTGTGAGATTTTTTTTACCCTCTTAACCGGAATAAACCATTTGGACAAGCAAACACTTCTGTAATGATTGACTTTATTATTTATATGTCTTTAATCAATTGTTCTAAAAGTTGATTTATCAGTGTATGTTTTTACATATAAGTATATGATTGGGATTATTCCTATTCGAAGTTCAAATTATTAGAATTAGGATGAACAGCATTTGAAAATAAAGTTTAATTTAAATGCTTAGATGTTTGAATTGAATACGATCTCTTAGAACAGGTCAAGTATCTTTTGTCTGCCCGGAGACCTCAGCCAGGCCCTCAAAATTTGAAATAAGTTGTGGATTTATTATTATTTCAAATAAACATACACACATGTAATTTTGCATATTATTTTGAAAATTAATAGTGATTGGAAAATCCTTCATGAAATAAAAAACATGAATAAATCAAGTCAGATGCTTGCTGAGTAAACTCTGAGCATGCCTCATATATTGGTGATTCATGACCTCTTTCTGGCTAAAAATCAGGCATGTCTTTTATCGGAACCAGTACAAGTGCTTTAAAGTCAACTAGAGGTGACTTTGAAACACCTCCTTTGCTTTGTAAATTAACCAAACATGCCTGTGGCCTCCAGCTAAGCAACCCAGACAATCCCCTAATCAGCTTCTTGAATGGCTGACGATAAAAATATTGAGAAAAAATCATATAAACATTAAATTCTGGTTTTATACAGATTTTAATTTTCTTCAAAACAAAAATATATAGTTTAACAAGAAAACACAAGAATCAAGCATTAGACTTTGAGATCAAATGAAAACATTGGATAAATGAAGTAAGTGTATAAAGGTAAACAAGTAACATATGTAAGTATAGTAAACATAAACAAGATAACAACACAACAAGAAACTAATCCTGTAGATTAGGTAAGTTAACTTGCTCTCCTTTAGAAAAAAAATATTTGTCTGGACTTCAAAATGTTTAAACATTACATGTTTAAATGTTTGAATTACTTTTAAAGCTGGTGCTAGAGAGGTCAGGGCATATTTGGGATTAATTCTTATAAAAAAGAGCAAAATTCAAACATGACTTTTGTAATTTAAAGGCAGCCTATATATAGCGTTATACACGCTTTTGGCTGAGGGGTTGCCATAAAGGGTTGAGGCATCAGAATAAAAGCCACTGTTTATCCCTGTGTGATCGTTAGAGGCAACTAAATGGGATTGAATAACTGGCCTCTATGCATCTCTTAGCTCCACCAGGTGAGGTGGTTTTGACCCCTGGTGTTGCTTTAAGTTTGTAACAATCAAGGTTAGCCAAAATCAAATTCCTGTTTTGGTACCATACGACCCAAATTTTGTTGATGAAAATATTGAGAAAAAAAATCATATAAACATTAAATTCTGGTTTTATACAGATTTTATTTTTCTTCAAAACAAAAATATATTAAACAACAAAACACAAGAATCAAGCATTAGACTTTGAGATCAAATGAAAACATTGGATAAATTAAGTAAGTGCATGATTGTATAAAGGTAAACAAGTAACATATGTAAAGTATAGTTAACATAAACAAGATAACAACACAACAAGAATCTAATCCTGTAGATAAGGTAAGTAAGTATATTTACTCTCTTTTACAAAAGATATTTGTCTTGACTTTAAAATGTTTAAACATTACAGGTTTAAACGTTTAAATTACTGTTGATGCTAGTGCTAGAGGGGTCAGGGCATAGACTGTAGCTTTCAATTACATTTATTATACCACTAGCCAAATAAAACCAAGTCTGCAACATTTTTAATTTTATCATTTTGGGTGTATTTAGCAATTCCATATTTTTTCTCCATTTCTATCAACCAATAGGTATATTTTTTAAAAGTTTAAATATATTTATTAGTTTTTTAGCCAGGGATAAAGTTCATCCATTAACCTTTATTGTGTCAATAATACCAAAGTATTTCTTGTGTTACCATTACATTTTAGAAAGCAGTTTATTGTTTTCAAAAAAAAAAGTAATGTAATTTTGTTGTTGCTGTTTTTAAAGTTTCTTAGAAATCTGTAAATTAATTTTTTCCAAGTGATAATAAATTTCTAGACAAAATTAGTTCAGAGTGAAATCATTTTCATTGGTAATTATTTCTAACATTTGTTCATTTTTGTAGCCTGTGAGTGAGGCGATGATTTTGATAATTTTATGGTTTTGTAATGTTTTAACCCTTTCACTGCCATAGGGACGGCTTAAGCCGTCCCTGTTATTTTCGGCGTATTTGCCATATGGACGGCTTTAGCTGTTTCAATAATAATAATAGTAATAATAATAAATTAATAAGAATAATAATAAAGATAATAATAAATATAAAGAAAATTATACCATCGACAATAATTATTATTATACTAACAGATTTGGAAACATATATTATTATTATAATACTAGATCTAATAATAAATAATAATAATTATATTAATTAATAATATAGTAATTTCTTAGAAAATCCTCTGGCAAATAGGTGAACAATAAAACAATAACCCTCTGGCAGCGAAAGGGTTAAATTGATCATGGAAACATATTTGGGTTCTTTGATGACCTGTGGGGAAAAGACAAAAAATATAGTCTATCCTAAGCTTCTCAACCAAAAAATTTTTATGGTATATATACATGTACATATGATAATTTTGAATCATATATAAACCATAAAAAATATTGAAAATTTTGCCAGTCTACATTTTCCACAATAATTATTCTGGATAGAATGATCTGAAATTTTGCACACAAGTTGATCTAGACCTACATCAAATGGTTTCCAGATACCAAAAGAATGTACAAGTCCAATAAGTCAAAAAAAACTCAGTTGAGACCCTTTAACACTTAAAAGTTTGAAATATATGCTCAAAAAATTCCTCAGTGGAGTCCCTTTAACACTTAAAATTTGAAATATATGCTCAAATAAACCTCAGTGGAGTCCCTTTAACACTTAAAAGTTTGAAATATGTGCTCAAAAAAATCCTCAGTGGAGTCCCTTTAACACTTAAAAGTTTTGAAATATATCCTTTTTATGCAAAAATTGCTGCATAGGTCATAGAGCTTATGTACAAAAGAATATTATTGTAACTCATGTGAATGTTAAATTTTCATTTCTGTTTTTTTAACAAAATTATTTAAACATATTTCGTCTCCCGGTACCAGGTGGACCCTGGTTCCATTGTGGTTTGACACATCTGCCAAGCAAGGTCTTTTTCTCTGACTCCAGTCTCTTCTTATCTGCCTTCAGCTTATTGACTTCACCTTTTAACTCTGCTAATTCATCTATCAATTCCTCTTTCTCATTTTCAGTTTGCTCAAGAACAGTTCTCAAGTCGGCCAGTTTGTTTTCCTTTTCTTCTAAGGTTCGCTTTAGATCAGCAACTTCTTCCTCATATCTGGCCAAGTCAATTTCGTATTTCTTCTTATCATTTTCCAAAACTTTTATCCTCTTCTCAAGATTTTCATAATACTGTTTATCTTTTTCAAGACATTCTTTGAATTCTTTAATTTCATTTTCTTTTGATTTCATTTCCATCTTAATTCGATTAATTCCTTCATTGTAATTTGACTTGGAATTTTTTATTTCAGTTTTTAATCTGTTGATCTCTCTATCAACCTCAGTATTCTTTGTTTCTTTTTCTGCTTCCATGACTTTGATAGTGCTCTGAAGACTTTCTATTTCATGTTTTAAATGTTCAACTTTCCTTTGGACATTTTCTCGACTCTCTCGATCGGTTGCAATTTCTTCTTTTAGCTCATCTATATTTTGTTGTACATTATGGAAGTCCTGCAGTCTTGCAAACTCTTCTTTTGGTGTCGGACAAACAGAAGTATGTTCTGATTCTATTTCTTCTTTGACTTTCCTCATTGCTTTAAGTTGCTCTCTGACGTCTGCTAACAGTTCGGATGACTCTGTTGTGGAAGCGGTTGGTGAGTTAGAGTCAGCCATCTTTAAATGTTGCAGTTGTGCAGGTAAAGACAATGGTACCATTTCATTCACCACTGATCTATTTGTCAGAAGACTATTTTCCCTTGTCAGTAATTCTGTTTCCTTTTCCTTTAGGCTCTTTTCATGATCTTTGAGTTCTTTTTCTTTCTTGCTAAGTTCAGATTCTCGAGATTTTAGTAGATTCTCTCTTTCTTCTAGGATCTCTTCCCTACTTTTTGATGTCCCTGTAGTCAATGTTCATATATATTTCTTGAATTACATTTAGGAATTCTTATAATCAAGAAAAAGTTATCTTAATTTGTAATATTTGTACAAAAAAAGACTTTGTCTTTTATTTTCTAAATGCATAATTATTATGAATGTAATTTACATATTTGACATATAACATGAAGCATTCTTGCATATCATACAGTATTATTAGTCCCCTACCGGTTTACCGGAGCAAACATTTGATATTTATGAGCTTCATTCCGTAGTTAAATAAAGAACAAAAGCTCATAAAATTCAAATTAAGAGCTATTTTTTTGATTTTATGAGCTGATTTTGCTTATGGACTTTGGTCCAGGTGTAGTTTATGAGCTGATTTACCTCTCTGTCCGTCCGTCAGTCCGTCTGTCCACAAAACTGGATCCCGCGATAACACAAAAAGTACTGAAGATATTTTAATGAAACTTGATATATGGATAGATGGCAGTATGGAGATTATGCACGTCTTTTTCTTTTCTTCCTATGTTGAAAATTCTGGTTGCTATGGCAACAAATAGACTGAAAATATGGCAAATTTTACACATAACCTGGATCCCGCGATAACGCAAAAAGTACTGAAAATATTTTTATGAAACTTGATATATAGATAGATTGCAGTATGGAGATTATGCACGTTTTTTTTCTTTTCTTCCTATGTTGAAAATTCTGGTTGCTATGGCAACAAATAGACTGAAAATATGGCAAATTTTACACATAACCTGGATCCAGTGATAACACAAAAAGTACTGAAAATATGTTTATGAAACTTGACATATAGGTAGATGGCAGTATGGAAATTATGCACATCCTTTTTTATCTTCCTATGTTGAAAATTCTGGTGCTAATGGCAACAAATAGACTGAATTTCAAGATTTCTGATTCTAGTTTTTAAGTTTTTTCACTATTAAGTTCTTTATTTCTTAAGGTATTTTCTTCAAACTTTAAATATAAGTTGCTTGTCATCAACCACATCATATGTGACAAGGTTTACAACTCTAGCACAAAATTTATCAAATTACCTCCCTTGAACTTAAAATTTTCATGAAAAAAACATTGTTTTTTTTTAAATAACTGTTTTTTTTAATAACTTCTTTTTCTGAATGTATCTACTTCAAACTTCATATAAATGTTTCTTATTGTCACTCAACATTTGTGAGTGTTCAATACTCTAGCAAGACTATTTCAAGAATTATGCCCCTTTTGAACTTCGACTTTTTTTTGAGAAATTGGTAATTTTTACTCCAACTTCTTCAATCATGATAGGATTTTAAAAATGTTATATATTGATAACAGGGATGTTTAAAAAATAACTTTAGAGTGTCCTTCAGTCCGTCTGTCTGTACATAAAAACTGTTTCCTGTGATCATTTTTAAAGAACTTTTTCAACAAATTTACTTAAAATAGGAACCTAAGTGAATGGCCCTTCAGAATGTTGCTTGGGCTCTTACCGGTAGGGGACTTATGGATTGCTTGCAATACTATGATAATTGCTTGTATTATCTACTGTATATACCGGTGCTAGCAAAACCTGTCTTAAAACCCCATGTAAGACAAGTTGCTTGTTTTAAATGAAGTCATTGCCACACACCCTTTATAAATTAATTGCGTTCTTAGGCCGACATTATTTTGCCATTATGTTTGAAGTTGTAAATTCATTACACTATTATAAGAAAAAAGTGCTAAATGAAGATATTAGTTTTTCATAATTTATTTTTGAAATATCATTAATTTGTAATATGCATGAAAAAGAATCAAACACCAGCTGTCGTCACAGACAGGAATATCTAGCTCTCAGGTAACTGCTTAGCAGAATCTAGACAGAGCCTTGTTAACGCCATAAACAGTTACTCTTGAGCTAGATATACTTCGGTGCAAGATCCTTACACTTTGACTTACCAGGTCTAACATCTTTTGCCATATCCTCCTTGGTCTTTTCAGGGACGTTAACTTCTGTTTTTTCTATTTTTTTGTGTTCCGCATTTTTCTTGATTTTGGTATTTGCAGATGAAACTCTGTCTTTATCTGAAATTTCAATAATTATTTATTCTGATTATGATTTCTTTTCTCATTAGATCATTGAAAGTGTTTTTATGGAATTTTGGGTCATTGTTGAAAGAAGCCTTTCCATGCAAAATATGGTAAGTGACCAAAACCATGCATCTTTTTTAGGCAAAATTTCAAATTATATACTGACTCAATATGGAACAATGCAAACCATGATCAGATGGCAGGAATTGGTTGCACAGGTAGAATGTGCTGCTAGAGGACACAATTTTGTCAAATAGATGTGGTTAAACGAAACTAAATGGTCACCTTTGTTGTAAGGGAAACATTAAAGGATGGTCAGTTTTAGCCTGAGTTTGGAAGAATAGGGAGAGCTTTTATACTGACACAGGCGTCTGCGTCACACTTTAATTAAGATTTTGCATACAAGTTGTATCTCCAAGGTAACGCCAAAGCTACTGAAGGGAATGGGTTGAAACTTTACACATTTATTTAAGGGCATAATATGATGTCACTTTCCAAGACTTTTAACTGTAGCATTGATTTTGACAGAATTATGGCCCTTTTTTAACTTATAAAAAATCTACATTATCCAGGCTCTTGTTTTTCTATGAAGAATTGAGAATAGTCAAGCAGACTGTCCCTCCAACAGCTCTTGTTGAACAGACACACTCAGAAACTGGATGTGCACCTAACTACAAAGATGGAAATTGAAGGATAATAATTATATACTATAGAGAATTGTAATAGTATAGTATAAGAACACATCTTTGCAGGTTCGTACCTTTATTGTTATATGTTAACATTAAACATGTTTATAACGTAAACAGGATGTAACGTCCACGATGTCACGTTTAAGTAGCAATGGACGTCATATGCATTAGAGTGCTAATGTATATATCTTAACAGATAGACCTCTATTTATTACAGTATAGATGAATCATATTATTTGTGTATTTTATTTTGAGATTTAATGAAAACAACACAATAACATCAAAAATCCAGAATCCTTGCAAACGGCTTGAAAAATCTGGTGTTAACAAATAATGTAATTTCTTTTTCAGTTTTATTAAGAAGAAAGGAAGACACATTATAACAAAAGGCAAATAAACTGTTTTTTTTTCTTAAAGGCCCCTCTTGCAGACTGAACTGGAATGGACATGGAAGTCTCCAGATCTCAACTTATTAAGAGTGTGAACTTTTGCATATTCCATTTAGTAAAGTGGTTCTTGCAGACAGGTATGTATAGTTTATTTATTTCATAATGTTTGGTTTGCATAAATTTAATTATGAATGGAATTTAACAGTCATGAATTGATTGCCTTCATACTTGAGGCATATGCATCATATTTAAATCCTAAACCTGCTAGAATAGAAAGTGATTGCCCCTTGCCCCCAATCTAAGCAGTTTGATATGGCTCTTTATTGTTAGTAGCTCATTTTTAACTCAACAATACTAATTACATAGAGAGCTGCCTTTCTGTCCTACTCACCCCAGTGTTGGCATCCATAATTATTAGCATTTCTGATGTTTTTGTCACATAAAATATTTTTGTAAAGTATTATTCTTTATACTTTAACTCAGTTAACCTGACAAATGATTGAATAATGATAAGATTACGCTGAAACTTGGTGAGTGATTGAATAATGATGATGAAATTGCCCTGAAACCTGGAGAATGATTGAATAAGGAAGATAAAATTGCCCTGAAAACTTGAGAATAATTGAATGATGATGATAAAATTGCTCTGAAACCTGGAGAATGATTGAATAATGATGATAGTAATACCCTGAAACTTGGTGAATGATTGAATAGTGATGATAGGATTACCCTGAATCCTGGAGAATGATTGAATAATGATGATAAGATTGCCGTGAAAACTGGAGAATTATTGAATAAGGAAGATAAAATTGCCCTGAAAACTGGAGAATAATTGAATAATGATGATAAGATTGCCCTGAAACCTGTAGAATGATTGAATGATGATGATAAAATTGCCCTGAAACCTGCAGAATGGTTGAATAATGATGATATAACCCTGAAACTTGGTGAATGATTGTATAATGATGATAAAATTACCCTTAAACCTGGAGAGTGATTGAATACTGATGATAAACTTAAAATGATTGAATAATGATGATAAGATTTCCCTGTAAGCTGGAGAATGATTTGATAATGATGATAAAATTGCCCTTAAACCTGGAGAGTGATTGAATACTGATGATAAACTTAAAATGATTGAATAATAATGATAAGATTTCCCTGAAAACTGGAGAATGATTGAATAATGATAAAGTTACCCTGAGAACTGGAGATTGACTTTTATAGATATCAAATTATCCTGTTTTCAAAAACAAGCAAAAAAAGACCTTGTGCTAAAAATTAAAAACTGGAAATTTTCCATTTCAGTTGTAATTTAAACAACTTTATTTCATATGCTTATGTCAGGCAGATATCACTGTATTTTCACTGTGTAGCTGATCTTATTGTTTCATTGATTTATATATTAGAAAAGATCAGGGGTCACCCTTGAAGCTTTTGTTTGAATTACTGAAAATGCTATCATATTGCCTTAAAGGGGAAGTTTTAGATCATAGAAAGGTATATATAAATGTGAAACTTTATATGGGTGAGTTTGAAACATTAAGCAAAGATTTTGACATGAATTTGTATTCTTCCTTCCAAAGTCAGAATATATTTGCTTGACTTTTTGTTAGCTCGACTATTCGAAGAATATGAGAGCTATTGTAGTCGCCCCGGCGTCGGCGTCACCGTCTGCGTCGACATCTGCATTGGTTAGAGTTTTTTGTAAATTCAAATATCTCAATTATTACTTGAGATATTCAATTGAAACTTACAATACTTATTTATAGTAACCAAGTACATCAGATTGACAAGTTGGATAACGCTGCCTACAATATTGACAGAATTATGCCCCTTTTTAACTAAGAAATTTTGGTTAAAGTTTTTTGTAAAGTCAAATATCTCAATTATTGCTTGAGATATTCAATTGAAACTTACAATACTTATTTATAGTAACAAGGTACATCAGATTGACAAGTTGGATAACTCTGCCTACAATATTGACAGAATTATGCCCCTTTTTAACTTAAAAATTTTGGTTAAAGTTTTTTGTAAAGTCAAATATCTCAATTATTGCTTGAGATATTCAATTGAAATTTAAAATACATTTTTATAGTAAAAATGTACATCAGTTTGCAAAATTGCATAACTCTGCCTGCAATATTTGCAGAATTATTTGCCCCTTTGAAACTTAGAGATTTTGGTTAAAGGTCTTCAAAGATATTTACTTGAAACTTTACACATGCACTTAGGGTCATAATTGGAGGGTCATAATTGTATGTCACTGACCAAGTTCCATAACTCTGTCTTGCATTAAGGCTGATTCATATCCCCTTTATTTAAAACTTCACATATGCATTTAGGGTCATAATTGTAGGTCACTTACAAAGATCCATAATTCTATCTTGCATTTAGGCTGATTTTTCTCCCCATTTTCACTTTAGAAATTCATGGTAGGGTTTTGCTTGTAAGCTGTTATCTCAATAACTACTGAAGGGTTTGTGCCTTTTTTGGGACAATTTTATGCATTCATAATAATAAAGCAGTGATTTACTTGATAAAACATCTTAATAACAAGCCTTTGTTCCTTTTCTGTCAAATTTATATATTCATAGGTAATTAGTATTATTATACTCAATAAAACACCCTTGTGACATTACCTTCCAAATAGTCAAGCCAATACTATATAATTAGACTCTCTCTAAGGCCTATAACATGAATTTATAAAACAAAATTAGCCCTTTGTGAACTTAAAAAATTTGACAGTATCAAGGCTCTTTTACTATCAAGCACTTAGAATAGTCGAGCATGCTGTCCTACCGACAGCTCTTGTTTTTTTCATGCTATTAGTTCAATATAAAAAATAAACCTGAAAAAAAACCTCTAAATTTTAGAAATTGTTTTTGTTTATTTTGATTTTTTTGTGGTGGGGAGAGGGAGATATTGTTATTGATAGGGTTCAAGTAAAAAATAAATAACTGTTATTTCTTATGGATATATAATATATAATGGGAACCCCAGTTTTTCTGTTGGAGGAACCCCTCTCCAAACATTTCAGGTAGAGATCCCCCACACTTCCAGTCTTTCTGGTGGAGGAACCCCCAAACCCCCAGGCTTTTCCAGTAGAGGAACCATTAGCTTTTCTGGAAGAGAAATTTCCCAGCTTGTTGCAAATGTTGTCTGCTTAACCTTTGTATTTCTTGATATTAAGTAATTTATGAAGTAGTTAATGTGGCATTTCTATTGAAAGATAATGGTTAAATCATAAGTCTATTAAAATTTGTCATTGTATTATTGAATATCAGTGATAAAAAAATTGCATTACCAGTATTTTCCTTTATAACTTTATTTTGCTTGCTGCTTTCCCCTGATCCTGTGTCCCCATTTCCGATTCCTTTGTATAATTTTTCTGAAATTTCAGTTTGTCGGCTTAATGATGGTTCCTGTTTTTCTGCCTTCTCAGTGTTTACTTCTACCTTCCCACTTTTGTCTGCTCCTTTGTCTTTAGATTCTGCACTAGGTAGTTGATCGGCATCTGTTTGACCTTTGTAGTACTTATCATGTTCAGCTTCCTTTACTTTTTTACTTTTTTCAATTGTTTCAGTGACCTTTTTAGGAAACTGTTGCTTTGCATCACTTCCTGTGTCAGTTGGCTTCTTTGATTTAACTTTGTCCACTTTGACCAAGCTTTTAACCAGGTCATGTCTTTGGATGGAAAGCAATGCTTCCATGAAATAGTTATATTTTTGTCGGTCAAACTTCATGACGAGTGCTAGAAAATCCTCAGTTCGCTCAGACTCAGAAATTGGTTTAGATTTTAGACTCATCCAGTAGTCGAGGGTAACTACTCGTTTTTGTATAAGGTAGTCTACAAAGTCTTTCATGACAAGGGTGTTCTTCAGTTGGCTCCATCTCTGAGTAATGACTTTGTTCAGAGCTCTGGGCCACTCTAGGTCATCCATCCTGTAAGAAAAGAGATATTTTTATTAAAAAAAATCCGGAGAACTCATTGGAGTTATCCCTCAGAAGCATTAATCACAACCAAATGACATGAACATTGTTAAGTCTGTACATGAGGGATAATGAAATGTGCAGAATCCCTAATGCACTCTATCTACCAGCTTGAGCAGTACTCAATGTTTATGTCATAATTATGAAGCATGAAAAAGAATAGCTTAATGCCGTCAGTTATGTTGTCAGGGGATTTAGGGTGGCGTTTCATGTAAAGTCCTGACTGCAGACCAAAACTGAGAAAAGTTTTATTTCAAAGAAAATGTCCTAACTTATGACTTTTATGTTGAGAGTCTTCAATTTCTGAATAGCTTTGCAGATGGACATTTACACATGGTAAATTGAAGCATATTGGCCATTGTATTTAGTAACATTTCTCAAGAGAATGAATTAAATAAAAGTCTAAAACCTTTACTTAATATAAAAATATTTATTTATCGGTCTTAAGTTAGTCCTTATAGTTTGTCATAAGTCCTAGCACTTAGTAACATTAAGGACTTAAGGACTTTCCTAGAAACATAGCCAAGGATTGCAATATGCATATAAAATACCAATTTTGTTTTATTTTATACATTTTGCTGATAATACAGATAAATGATTTCTCCCTGGAGCATATGAGCTTTTTGTACTTAAACAGGAAAAAAACATTTACCTACAGGAAAAAACATTTACAGCAATTTACGTACAAGACATTTTTAATGGTTTGATATCATGGGATTGACGATTAGAGGTTATAGCTGGGCAAAGTATTTTAGCATTTCTTTTGTTTTATTGTTCTTACTCATCATAGATAATTTCTATGAATAATATTCTTGTGTCGCCTCTACGGAGTATTGGCGACATATAGGGATCACTTCTCCGTCGTCTGTCTGTCTGTCAGTCTGTCCGTCCGTCCGTCCATCACAAAACTTGTCCGGACTACTCCTCATAAACTACTGGTGCAATTTCATTCAAACTTTACAGGAATGATCAGTACCAAGTCTAGTTATGCATATTGTCAGCATTTTCCGGTTCAATGATTTTTGTTTGAGTTATGGCCCTTTAATAATTTTTATTTTTAAAGTTTGTCCGGACTACTTCTCTTATACCACTAATGCAATTTCAATGAAACTTTACAGGATTGATCTGTAGCTCAAGTCCTTGCGCATATTGCTTGGGTTTTCCGGTTGAATGATTTTTGGCTTAGTTAAGGCCCTTTGATAAAAAGGATTTTTTTTCTGTGTGTTGCCAGATACACAAAAGCTTGTCCGGACTACTCCTCATAAACTACTGGTGCAATTTCATCCAAACTTTACAGGAATCATCAGTACCAAGTCTAGTTGTGCACTGTCCGTCTGTCTGTCCGTCTGTCAGAAAATTTGTCCCAACATGAAATTGGCAATCAGGAGGTGACACATGTGATTACTGATCACTCTTGTAGTTATAAAAGGTACAGTTTGTTCCACTTTAGTGAATGACCTCAGTTATATAGCCTTAATGATTATGGAACTAAAAGGAACTGCAATGAAGTTTTTTTTACTTTAAACAACAGGAACTATGTTTTCAAACATTCTGTTCTATTTCATGTAGGTTTGGACCAATATTTTGTGATCATTTGCTCATTCTTTTTCAGAATAATTATTTTAATTATGAAAAGAAATTCCAAAATAAAAGCGTTAAAGGGATACTCAGGCAAATTAATGACAAAAATGTTAAAATGAATTTATGTACTCAAATCAAGCTAAAACGACATTATCTTTAAGTCTTAGCATGAATTTCTGTTTAAATTCTATATATTTTGGGTTTGAAGCATAAAAATATCTATATATGTTAAACAAAATTTAAACGCCGACAGAATTATCGAGTAGTTTTAAAACAAGTCATGTGACTTAAACAAACTCTGGAAGTAGCAATAACAGATATTGTGGATATTGTATGATTGAAACAAGTCTAAGCAATTCATTTGACATGTTCATTAACATTTCCAGAGTTCACTGTAACAACTTTTGTGAAATTTTAACGCTCTAACCTGACCCACGCTGGTCAAGTTAGGAAACCGACATTTTATTCTTTACAAGAAGAAAAGTTTCGCTCCCGTGACTACCTAGTGTAATCATTTTGAGGACATTTACACAACAGGGAATGAAAAATTCAAAACAAAGAAATGAAAATTTTGCCTGTGTCTCCCTTTAAATTAATGCAAAAATTTGTTTAAAAAAAAAAAGAGTAATTTTCTTGGTTATCTTTTGTATAAGAGCCTCATTTGATCTATGTAAGAAATGAAATTTTTTGGACCTCAGTGGAGTTCCATTACATGAGCATGTATGCATGCTGCTTTATTGGTATATTCTAAAATAATGGTATCACAATGGAAAACACTCATGTGACATACATGTACTGAAAAGTAATACTAAAACTGTCAAAACTGAGTTGTGATTATATTACCTTACCTTTGCCCAGGTTGTCCCACAGCCTGTACGGACAAGTGGAAATTTTCAATAATTTTCTATATAAATATCATACAGACAAGTTAAGAAATGCTTGGATGAAAACAGACAAGTAAGTCAAAATCAGATTTTGCCGGCCCTACATGAATGCATTGGCAAGAAAAAATACCTTTGAACCGTCCCCTACTTTGTAACTTCAGTACAAAAGAAGGAAGCTCCTGTTTGGTCACTGGCATTAAAATTTAGATTGAGACAGGGGGTTGTGATATATTCAAGGATGTAGTTTTGCAAATGAGATGATGTGATGACAAAACACCCATCCAAGGATTTTTTCATATACATGTACATTTATTTACTATACAATGTACTGTTATTCAAACTGTTAGATTGCTGGCGGCATGAGATTCTACATCTGCTGCCAGTGCATGGTACATTAAACGTCTGCACCAATTACCATTTTTTGAAATTTTCACTAAAATGATGAATGGTTTTGCCCAGATTGAAATGGTTTTTGCCCAGATTGAAATGGTTTTTGCCCAGATTGAAAGATGGACAAGTCAATTTAAAATATTTTAGATATTTAGGACTGTAGGAGTTAAAGACAGCAGCCAGTAGCATACATTCTTGTCCGTCTGTACAGATATGTAGGCTGGTGTGACATTCTATATGTGGTATGTTCCCACACACATTCATAATAGATTAACTCATAATTATGGAGTCGGAAAATTTACTCATTTTTTTTCCCCAAATGATAACATTATGCAAATATACTAAAAGCTTACAGATAAATTAAGGAAGTTATCACGTGTATTTTTTATTTTTCTTTAATAAGTCATCTAGGGCCAGATAAGTTAAAAAAAAAATCTAATCTTGGGCATTTTAACTGGTTTAGAAAGCAGCAGGGAATCTACACTGACCAATAAGAATCTTTTAGTAAATATCATGGTTGAATATCAAATATATAGTTTTTCATGAAATGGTCGGAAAAGTAATGTGTAAATTAATAAAATATCAGAAAATAATGTGATACTCACATTTTAGTGACAATTGATGATGTCATAACAACTGTAAGAAATAAATACTCTTAAATCACATAATTCAATTTTCAAATTTTTATTTTATCCAAATTTCACATTTTAATAGTCAGTCACGTTTTTGTTTTATTTTTTTATGAAAAAAAAAGATATGTTTTTAAAAGTTTTTCTTAATAAGCAGTGTGACTTACATGAAGTTTTTTAATCTTGATATATAGAAAACAACACTTGTATGGCTCATTAATTTCTTTACAAAGGTAGTAGATCACGGTCATTTAAAACCAATTTAGTGAATATTGGAGGATAGAATTACTGCTTTGATTAAATTTGGCAATATTGGCTTTTAAATAGATTGAGTTGTCATTCTAATTTTTTAAAATTTAATCACATTGAAATATTGTTGAATTAATTAGTTTTCACCTCTATGAACACAAATTATTTTGTGACCCAGTGGTAAAGGTTGCTGATTTCAAACATTTGCCCATCATTGTAGAATCCTGTCCAGGGACTTTGGATTCTTTCATGTGAGGAAGCTACATTAAGGAAGGTTCGATAACTCTACTCTGGGGCCTGTAAGTGTCTGACATTAAGTTCGAAAGGGTACTTGGGCTAAGTTCCTCCACCTGTAAAGCTGGAAATTGTCTTAGTTGCCATGTAACATAGAAAATAAAACCATGTGACATGAAAATCCAACGAAACAAATTAAGACAGTCTTTTGTCATCATTAGAGATACATCATCATTCTGTTGTCCGTCATTTCTAACATTTCCTCCTTAATAGCAAGTAAGATGTGGCCAAAATTTTCAAGATACAGAACTTGTCTAGATAAGTCGACACATCTGTTTGTACATATCTTTTAATTTTCCCTATAAATAATGAATGTATTTGTCCCAATAGAAAGATGGATGAGTCCATTTAAGATAACTAAGGTTGTCAGGGTGTAAAGCTGTAATATACATGTATATCATATTTTACATTAATATTTTAGATTTTTAAATCTTTAAAAAATAATTTCCTGACATTGTTCTTTAATTTTATATACATGTATAGGTCACAAGCAGCATTGTGTGAATTTAAACATAATTTGAGTTAAAAAAAAAACATTTATAATAAAGGTTTTCCAGCATCATGTCATTTTGCAAAAGAACAAGACCTCTCCACATACAGCGATGTCCACTTTTCTAGTTGCTGGATAGTTAAATAAAAGCAACAAAGAAAAAGGGGAAATACGGGTAGTATTACAAAAGTGCATAGCAGACTTGCCTGTTTTTGATAGTCAACAGATATTGTAAACTTTAACCATTTTTGAGGCCATAGCAAATATTTCAAATTAAACAGGGGAAAAATAAAGCAAAATTGGCTTTCGGAATTACCTGGCCCCAAGAATTGCATTTGAAGTTTAACAGTACTCCAAGAATAAAATGAATATAAGTTTTAAAAAGATGGACAGAATTTAGCAAGAATAAATAATAAGGTAACCTACTCTTATGAAAATTAATGCATTCTAGTTTTAAAATTGAACAAGTATTCCCTGAGATAAACTTTTACAGTCTATGAAAAATTGACATTAGCAGAAAAAAATAGTAAAAAAGGGTCATAACTTTGCGGAAATAAATTATTCCCCTTTGTGAACATACAAAATCCTTGGTAAGGTTATATTTATACTACACCTGTGTCATAACCACTGAAACTTAACAAACGTCATTGGGGTAATAACTGTAGGTGACTGGCCAAGACAAATAACTGTAGCATGGATATACATGTATACTGAATTTGAAAGAATGACTGAGAATATTTAACAGTGCTGTCGCACCAGCTCTTATTCTTTTTTATTTGTATTGAACACAATGATTATGTTTTTAATGAGGTGTAAAAGCAGTTGAGGATACTATTTAAAAACAGAATCATTTTTATAGGGAAAGTCAAGATAAGCTTAAAATGAAAATAATAAACATAAAATATTCAAACATTTAAGAGAGTGTTACATATCTTCTAATATTGACAGAGAAAAGTTTATTTAGTAAGTAAATCAGACTTAATACCATTAAATCTAACATAAATCCTGTTGCAAGATTATCTTGTTGTATTGCAAAAGGACCGAAAACAGATAAATTACCGTCTGCTTTTCTGAAGTAACAGTTCCACTGATATGATACACTTGGATGGTATTATACCTCCAGATGTCGTGGAGTACCTTGGTGGTGTAAATTACAATTTGTTCAATAAATACAGTAATGTTTTACCTTAAAAATGGGGACGTTAACTTGACATTCGGACCCCACTATGTGTTAGTTTTCACATTAAATACACCTTTATTTTTAATACATGTATCTTACTTTGCCGTTTATTAAACAAGACAGAATTTATGTGCATTTTTCTTTTTACTTTTATTTTTGCATTCCAATATCTTTTTGTGCCAAAATATGACATCATCAAACATAATTCTACTATACCTGATAATAGGAATAGATAGAGGATATTGAATGAGTGTAGGTTTAATACTAAATTTATTGAGCGAGTTGAATAAAATCAAATTATGCGAGTCTCTTGTGGGCATAATATTGTTTTATTTAAAGAGTGCAATAAATTTTTAAAGAGTTTAAAAGAGTTCAATAAATTTAGTATCAAATCATTCTACTTATGGCATATAAGAAATAAGAATGGTTTATAGTTTAAAATAGCCATTTTTAATGGCCCGCCTATTGTTTGATACTTTAACGCTATTTTTGTATATATTGCAAATGACATTATGTCAAAGCGTTATTTCACTAGTGTATTATTGTTTTCATTTTTTGTTACATTTATCAATTTTTTATTCCCTATTTTTTGGTTTATTTAACACCTTTAATTGATTTTAAAGCCACATTTTTGGAACACCTTAGAAAACAAGCTGATAAATCTATTTTAACAAAAATTATGATAAAGATTACGTAATAGTTATAGTACATGAAACGAGTTAGTTACAAGGATATAACACTGGCTGGGGCGACATCAAGGGGTGTTTCTGCTAAAAAAAATGTCGAGGCCATGAGGCCGAGACAATTTTTTTTTTGCAGAAACATCCCGAGATGTCGCCCCAGCCAGTGTTACACTCCCGTAACTAACAAGTTTCATATACTATAACTGTTTTATCGCAATGGCATAATGTTTTCTTTTTTTATAAAATAGATAAATAAATAGTTAGCTACATTACAATTATTCATGATAAGGCAGTTTTTTCAAGTTGTTTTCGCTGCCGCAAAAAAAGAAGATATATAAGAGGCGTACAATGTTAGAGGCAAATTGTAAACTGTTACCAATATTGATTCATTTTAATTAAAGGGCTTTTTTTCAGTGGCAATAATTCATTCAGCGGATGTACCTTTTGATTAAATGAGAGTAAATTTCATTTCATTAATTATCTTTGTTTATATTTTTATTGTATTTATTTATTTATTTTATTTTATTTTAAGTTAATGATTCCATTTATTTTTTTGCTACTGGGAATGTTCGTTACAACTGCCCCATTTGAGCCTCTGTAAAAAAACTGCATTGATATATAACAGGTGCGAAAAAAACTCAACCGATATATAACAGTCGAGTTTTTTTTCCTATATGAATCAATGAAAAAACTGTACTGTTATATATCAATACAGTTTTCAAATGCTCATTGAAGTGTCTGAGTATAATGGGCCTAGTAAGAACAAAGGAAAAGTTCCAAACCATGCGATAAACGAGTAATATATACTTAGTAAGAACAAAGGAAAAGTTCCAAACCATGCGATAATTTATCATATTTTTTTTCTGCACATAATTTGTTGTATTTAAATTGTTTTTTCTAATTTTAATAAATGTATCTATAAATTTATTAGTTTTGTCTTTAAAGCAGCACACCCATTCATGAGTTTAAAAATTGTGAAAAAAAATATCAAATTTCATAATTCTTTAAATCTGCTGAATTTGCAGGAAAGATTTGCCCAGGTTTTGAATTTTGGATCAGTCTATTCAAAGTCTAAGGGATTTCAGTATTAAAGCTACCAACAGTATAAAGCCAGGTCAGACTGCATGGACATCTAGGTAAACCCAGCTCTATACTGTTTGCAAATCAATTTTGATGTAGCTGGTTAGTTTAAATGTATTTATTTAAGCTCCATTGCAAAACAAGTTCTTGCAACTTATTTCAATCACTTTCCAGTCTGCTTGCTTGAACAAACAAGTACTTGTGTCATATGAAGAAACATGGTCGTGACCAATATAAGGGCTCAAACCCATAAGCTCTTGATTGAGAGGCAGACACCTTAACCACAAGGCCACCACTTCCCACTCTAGCAGATTAAGGGTTAATAGTTTATTAGGGGAAAATAATCACACAAAAAAATCAAAATTAATGTACACTTTACTTGCTTTATCCAAAACATGATGAAATTAAAATTTTTATCTCTTTTATTTCTATTTGAGTTTGTATCTGTGTTTGATTTTGTCACAAGATTTCTCTGGATATTCAGTGATTTAGGATTTATATGTTCACTTGACAATATATATTTTTTTATTTTTTTTTAAATTTTCATGAAAATTGACAAAAATATGGTGGCATGTTGCCTTAAAAATACATTTGTATATCATATGATGAATTTTATCCTGCTGTAATCACAGTGATGAATCTTTGCCATGATTTGAGCCCCTCTAGCCTGTATTTCCCTGACCCGAGACTTACTCAAGGTTTCATTATTAACAGATTGGCTATAATCATATCTGTTAAAATCCTGTTAAAATGTGTTGGATTTTCAGTCAGTATATTAAAATATTCCCCTTGACCCTTGGCCAAATCGTTTGTTTTATTTAACACGTCTGCTGCCTCTGATAAAATTGAAGACCCTGCTTACGAACTCCTGATATTCCTTAGATTAATAATGGACGTATAATGTAGTTCTAAAAATGGAAGCTGGACTGTGACTTGTCCGTATAAGAAATTGAGCAAGGTGCGGGTTAAATTATTTTCAAATCCATTATCATATGATTAATTACCATGTAAATACTTTAAGAATAATGATATCAAAGAAGATATGGAAATGCTGTGGGGGTCGCATTATAAGTTGACATTTAAATGTATCATTTGTATTCGGGTATTACTGATTGTAAAGGCATATTTGAGTAGCTAGTCTTTCGTAATCAAAATTGCGACTGGAAATCAGAAATTGAAATGTATATAACTGGACTCGTACCCTTTGATGTTCAGATTGCCTACTGATTGGTTAATCTGAATTTTCGAAGGAATGAAACTCTTTTGGAGAAATATAACTGAAATGTTGGAATTAAACATTATTGTGGATGTAAATTATTTAAACATTTTTGATTATGATTATAATTGAAAAGTGCATGTAGAAAAATTGTATTTACGTATTAAATAAACCAAAACTTTTTTTGTCAAATAAAATACTACTCAGTATCTTTGATCAAAAATGGGAAATAATTCTACTTGGATACTTTTAGTTATGAAAAAATTGCTGATTTTGTGCATTTTTCTGGATTTGAAATCTGTGTCATCACAGAAGCTTGATGAATCTCAAATTAGTCAATGGATGCTTGGATTTAAACAAGAGTTAGATTCACATATTGACAAAGTTCTTGTTTATGGTCAGATTGAACAAATGTTGTTGGACTTTGAAACCAAACTTGTACATGCTCCAATAGACGGTGAAGAAATTTTTAATGAAATATTTCAGAATGTCAGTTTGAGATATAACCATGTTGTGTTGGCTGCAAATAAGTTGAAGCAGAGGCTAGAAAAAGAGGTCAGTAAATTGAACAATGTGGATGGATCACCATCGCCTATTGGCGGACCAACACCTAAGCCACTTACAAACTGTTGCTGTGGCCCAAGCCCAGGACCGTTTGATGGAAAAGTTCGGGATACGGTTCAGAATCAGGAATGTTATGGCAGCGAAGATGCTTTACTTAAATCCCTCAGTAAAACTGAGTTTGTCAATACACTGAAAGTAAGAAATTTTTTGAAAAAAAAAGAAGATTTGTTTCTCAAGATGGAATAAGAGATCTTATGATATATTATGTTCGATTAACATTATAATGTGTAGTTGTAAAGATTTTTGACAGGCTATATGAACCCAATTTTTATATAACTCTAGCTGATATGAAACAGTTATATTGCAATCATTTAATTTTACACATCCATATAACATGCTGAAATTTTTTCATGTAATTTATCAAAATTTTTTTAATTTGAGGAAAATTTAAAATTAATGCATAACTTGACAGCAACCTGATGTACATTTTAAAAATTTATATAAATATCTGATATATTCATTGAAGGTAAAGGAAATACAGTAATTTCGTGGGCATATAATTTAGTGGTTTGTCACAAAGAATATATTCATGGGTTCTTAAATTCGTGGACTGTCAATTTTTCAAAAGGCAGAATGTAAATAATTTACAATGTAATGCAGAATAATCTTACAGCAGACAAAATGAAATTTCATTGAATCCTAAATTTATGGATTGACATAATCTACTAAAACAACAAAAATCAGTGCCCCTTGAATAATAATGATATGTTGCAGTATTACAAGCATACAGTATTTTATAACATTACAATCACTTTCTAAGCCAAATAATTATTTAAGCAACAGTGATAATAAAAAATACCAACATTCCATGTTATTTTTCTTGGATGTTTGTAAGTAATTCTCAAATACTATACTGGCATGCGAGCAGTTCACGTACAGAAGCAGTACCCGTATTTTTCATTTAAACGCTTGATTTTTACTTGCATTCTTCAAAAATTCATTTCAAATCAAGCAGATACATAAACGAGACAAAATCTAAGTGTCAGTTCGGCAGTAAAGTCTCATTTTAAATCACTTTCACCTGTGCGTCGTCAAAACGTGACCTTGTTTTTCTGGGGGATTCCGTTCTTGCGCGCATGCGCAAAATACTTACACGTGAGGCTTGTTAAAGGGTTTTCCACTAATACCACCTGTTTACAAATAAGTAGGCAATGTGATGTAAACTTGTTTAATTATCAGAATGTTGACCAATAGTACTATATATAATAATTTTATGGCTTTGATGCGTAAAATATCATGCATACAAGCATGCTATTGCATGTGAATGCGTTGGGGTAACGGTACCGGGTAATTGATACCCGCGTTTAGTCTACGCTCTATTTCCTGAATTACATTTATTTATCTCTTAGATAATGGTCTGTTCAACAATTGTAAATGAAAAATAGGTCCGATATAATAAAATTGTATAATTATAATGGGTTAGATTTTATGTACGAGAACTACTTCTCTTCATACAAAATAATGGATAATTTTGGTACCCCATATGAGGCCTCATAAGTAAGGGTTATACTATGTTTAGAACATGATGGAATTTCCATAATTTGTGTGACGAGCTGAATATTGATGTGTAACATTCAAATTTTGGTGAGTGAGCGTAATAAAAAATAATGTTTAAGTAACTATGATTTTTGTACGGGAACTGCTCCCATGCCAGTACCTCTGTCAAGGTAGCAGACAGAATTTGTCACCTTGGTGAAGTAATGGGTAACTATATACAATTTAATAGGAGTTATCTTGTAACTGCACTAAAGTGACAAGAGATACTTATTAATATGAATTTACTGAATGTTGCTTTGATGTTTGCTAAATAATTCTTTTATCAAACTGTTCATGTGAATTTGTCTGATCTTATGGGTTTTTTGTAGGAATGCATAAATTCAGTGTTCAGTTAACTTGATTTAATATTAATAATCATATCATAAAATTTAATGACTTTGGGTCACCATGGCCATTCTTGTCTGAAGCACATAAGTGTATTATTAAGTATTAATAAAAAACATTTTGGTAAATAACCATTCAAATTCTAAAGGTCACAGGCTAACAAAAAAGGTACACCCGTGAGTACAGAGCCAGGCCAGCATGGAAATCTGTACAGTCTGACCAGCCCTCAAGGTTTTGAAACTGTTTTTTTGAGATTCTTCTTGATTGTCATTGGTCAGTGTATATTCTTTGTCAGTATCAGACCAATCAAATAACTGAGATCAGACTTGAGATTTAAAACTGCAGAACCAAGCTCTATACTGTTTACTGTCCAGTTTTATTATTGTGCCCCTTCTATAGGGGAGGCATTTAGAATTACATTTGTCCCTCCGTCCATCTGTTGCATTTTTGTGTTGCATGTGGCTCAAAAAGTAATTGACCTAGAGTCATGAAACTGTACAGGAATGTTGATCAGCATGTGTAGTTGTGCACCTGGGTATTTTAATGTGGATATATTTAGTATTTTTAAAGTTATTGCCCTTGATTTAGTAAATATTTGCAATTTTCAACTTGTGTCGCATGTAACTCAAAAAATATTTGACCTACATTTGTAGAGTCATGAAACATTACATTAATGTTGATCAGCATGTGTAGTTGTGCATCTGGGTATTTTTGTGTGGATATATTTAGTATTTTTAGAGTTATTGCCCTTGAATTAGTAAAAATTTCCAATTTTCAACTTGTGTCAGACACTTCTAAAAAAATATTTGATCTAGAGTCATGTAACATTACAGGAATGTTGATCAGCATGTGTAGTTGTGCATCTGGGTATTTTTGTGTGGATATTTTTAGTATTTTAGAGTTATTGCCCTTGACTTACTAAAAATGTACAATATTGAACTTGTGTTGCACATAACTCAAAAAGTTTATGACCTGTAGGCCTGAAAGTTTAAAAGAATGTTGGTCAGCATGTGTACTTATGCACCTTGGGGTTTTCTTGTGGATTTATTCAGTATTTGTAGTATTTACCCTTTACTTAATAAAATGTTTTTAGTTTTCAACTTGGGCATATGTAGCCAAAATAAAATTGACCTAGAGACATAAATAAGATTGACAAATCGGGACACATTTCTAGTTTTTATGCTGAAATATTTTTAATTTTGAAATGACTGTTCAATATTCAAAGAAGGGCCAGTCCATTATACAAATTCAGTAGGGAAAGAATTTGAGTTTGATACTTATGTGATAAATAGAAACTGTAATTGTACTTATTCCATCTTGCAAGAAGTATGATTGAAAAAATATAAAGAAAACAAATAAAAAGAAATAACAGTCATTTGAATTCTGTTACCGTAGACAAAGAAATTTCAATAAGATTTTTATATTTTTGCTAATGTTTCTGATTTTATAAATTCCCAAAAAATGTCATGAGGGCACTTGAAAATTTCACAATCTTTAGTAATTTGTTCTTTTTATTTCAGGAAAACTACAAAACCTTGGAAGGTGTTACATGGCAATACTTTGCTGATTCTGAAGGACATTATGTCCAGTTCCCAGCAAGTAAGAGAGCATGTGATACAAGTGCTCCGCCCATGCCGGTTGCTCCGCCCATGCCGGGTGCTCCACCCATGCAGGGTGCTCCGCCAATGCCAGATACCTGTAGCAGAGTGGACACACCTTTAACAAAGTAACTATATGTTGCTGTCTCTTCTTAGCAGATTTCTCATTCTTATGAATTTGACAGTTTCGATATTCTTATCTTAACATATGGCATTTTTTTAGGATCTGATAATTTCTTTATAATCTTAGCTTTTTTTTTCATTTCACTGCACAGCTTCATTTGGCAAGGTTGGTGGTTTATCTGTTAGTCCTATACCTTTTATTATGAAACTATTATAATGTACACCTGACAGTTTCATACTCTTCTGTAATACACCTGACACTTCTATACTTTTTGGCTGTACACCTGACAGTTTCAAACTTTTTAGTTACCTGCCTGACAGTTTCAAACAATTTGGCTGTACATCTCACAGTTTCAAACTTTTTGTTTTGGTCATAAACCTGACAATTCTATACTTTTTGCATGTTCTGAGGTACATGTACTTAATACCTACAAGCTTCAATGAATTAACATAAGAATCATAAAGTGGGGGTTACTCTTTCAACAAATGTGTTTATTTACCTAACAGGATCAAATCTCATGATTCTTACACCTGACAGCTCCATATATTTCATGGATCTAAACCTGACAATTTAACTTTTAGGATTGAGTGTACCTGACAGATTCCTCTTGTTCATTGATATATAATTAAAGGTTATTCTATTCAGTATGATATTTTTTAGCTTGATTATTTGATAAGAATAAGTAGAGAAATTGTAGTCACCCAAGCGTCGGCGTAACCACTTATGTTAAATTTTTTGTAATAGTTCAAATATTTTCATAGTCCATTGACATATGGCTTTGAAACTTTGCACACTTGTTCACCATCATGAACCCAACCTGTAGACAGGAGGAGGTAACTTTATCAAGCATTTTGACAGAATTATGCCCCTTTTTCGACTTAGAATTTATGTTATAAAGTTTTTGTAATACCTTAAATATTTTCCAAGTCCATTGACATATGGCTTTGAAACTTTGCACACTTGTTCACCATCATGACCCCAACCTGTAAACAGGAGGAGGTAACTGTATCAAGCATTTTTTGTACTATCAAGCACTAAGAATAGTAGAGCGTTGCTGTCCTACCGACAGCTCTTGTTTATATTCTGTTTTAAATATGATATCTTCATCACTTATGTAAAACAAAGGAAAAAAGAATCGGCACATTCTTCTTCTTATTTACTTTTAGATTTTCTACTCTTTATTAGGAGATACTTACACTGACTTAGGAGTTGAATATTACTTACATTTTCCTTAATTTGAAAAAAAATCTAATACTAAAAAGGAGGATATTGTCATAAATAGGTCGTCACTTGTATACAGTATCTCCCTATTAGGTGATACCATTTCATAATTGTGAAATACTTTCACCCTTATAGGACTTACCTTTTGCCTAATTAGGAGAAATTATCATGATTTAGGTGATACTTCCATGTATTTACAAGATACTACTATGTATTTACAAGATACTACCATGTAATTAGGAGGAACAACCATGGAAGAAGGAGACAGATCTATCTAATAAGAAGACACTATCATGTAATTAGGAATAACTATTATATAATTAGTAGGCGTTATCATGTAATTAGGAGATACTAACATGCAGTTAAAGACACTACCATGTATTTATAAGGCAGAATTATGTAATTAGGAGACACTGCCATGCAATAAGGAGAAACTATCATGTTATTAAAAGACACTATTATTTAATTAAGTGACACTACTATGTAATTAGTAGAACCTGTTATGTAATTAGAAGACACTATCATGTATTAATGAGGAACAACTATGTAATTGGGAGACACTACCATGTAATTAGGAGACACTATTATGAATTAGGAGAAATAACCATGATTGTAATTAGGAGTCACTATCATGTACATGTAGTTTGGAGATACTGCCATGTTATTAGCAGCAGCAACAAAAACTTTTTTTTTTCAAAAATGGTGTTGTACCATAGAGTTGCTCTGTTTTAGCTGGTGTGCCTCTATACTTGTGGCAGTGCCTGTCATCTTTCATAATTTTACAACTGCATGATCATTTTAGGGAGTGGTATGTAGAGAAGTTACATATGGAGCGTAAAAACATTGTAATCTTAGTGGATAACAGTGTGAAACCTGTCGGAACTACCGATGTGATGTCAGAGGCTATGACTAAGATATTTAACACCCTAACACCAAATGATAAGGTAAGAATAAGATCTTCTAGAATATTGATATTTCATAAACACTGAACAAATTTATTTTTTATATTGTATGGAAATTAGACCATTCTGTCCTTCCTCACAAACAGTTCTCTGTCTTACTGTAAATATTTTATATGCTTTTCTTGTACCAATTAACTGATTTCATTTCATAAACTTTACTAAATTATAACAAAAGAATTTTACTTAAAAGATAATAATACTTTCACTAACTTTCAAAAATTGTGTCATTGGTATGACGTTATAATATTGTCAAAGGTTTTACTCAGGTGTCCACTAGGCCTGAAATAATGCATGGAGGGACATCCGAGATCTTCCTCCACCAGTAAAGCTGCAAAAGATGCCAAATGACCTAAGATAAAGTGTCAGTGGGATTGAATTTTTTTTTTTCAAAACGAACATTTATTAGCTATACTATTTGAAAAATAGTTAGAGCTTTTGTACCCAGGCATTGGTGTCACACTTTGGTAAAGTTTTTGCGTGCAAGTTGGCATCTCCAAAACTAAACAAAGGAATGTTTTAAACCTTCACACATTTATTTGAGAGCAAAATAGAAGCTCACTATCCAAGGTCCATAAATCTAACATGGAATTTTTTTACAGAATTATGGCCCTTTTTTGAACTTTGAAAATTTTACATTATCCAGCTCATGTTTTACTATTAAGCTCTGAGAATAGTTCAGCACACTTCCTACCGGCAGCTCTTGTTTGAAGTATACCTATTAGTTTTAGCATTATCTATTAATCTTGCTTGTGAAAAAATTTGTAGCCTATTTGAACCACTGTAAAGTCCACTTCTAATACAGTTGTCATATAAGGTAACTTGGTCAAATGACTTTCAGGACCTAGAGGAACCATGAAAAAAATTTATTTCAATTTGTAAATGGAAGATTATAATTTTGTTTTCAGGTTAATGTAGTCGTTTCTCCATCAACAACTTCTGTTAATGTTGAGGTTCCAGATGCATGTAAAGGTGGATTGTTTGTTGCATCTCAGGCAAATCTCAATAAACTCACATTGTATGTGAACCAATTAACTAAAGGGATAGGTAAATAGATGTGTCTTTATCACTCAGGCAAATCTCAATAAAATAAGATAGCATGTGAACCAATTAAATAAAGGGATAGGTTAGTAGATGTGTCTTTATCACTCAGGCAAATCTCAATAAACTCACATTGTATGTGAACCAATTAACTAAAGGGATAGGTTAGTAGATGTGTCTTCATCACTCAGGCAAATCTCAATAAAATAAGATTGTATGTGAACCTATTAACTAAAGTAAGTCTAATATCAGCACCTGAATGTACACTGACTAATGATAATCTTGAGATTTAAGAGACAGTGCTTATATTGAAATATTAAAGTTGCTTCATATCAGTGTGGACACTTTGGACTGCACTCAGCCATTTCCATTAAAATATAATGCAAAAATAAAGAAAGAGTAGGTCTAAAACAATGACATCAGCAGGGAATGAACCACAAACAATTAATCTAATTGACTGTCCTCTTGCAGATATGACGATGACCCATATAAAGCAAATGTGACATTTTAAAAACATTAGTTATATGCTTCGTATAAATTCTCGTAAATTACAGAACCAAAGTGCGAGATTAAATTTTTCAATGAGTCCTTCATGATAAACAGGTTAATAAAATCAGACTATTCCAAATTACATAAACTTTGTCAATCCTGTAAGACATTATTACATTTTAGGTGAGCCTGACTTGATGGAAGGGTTACAGACAGTTTATGGCCTCCTTGAAGCTGAAAAGAATGAAAATTCTGTAAGTGTCGTTTGTGCATAAACACCATCATCCAGTAGTAAAATGGTTAAAACTGACAGTGCTTTTGCAAAGTTTTAACCAATAATCTGTGTACTATTATATTTTCTTTTTCTTTGTGATAATATATAATCCATTAATGGTCTTAGGTTAATTCCAAACATAAGTAAATACAACTAATGTTTATCAAATAGATACAAATGTGTGTCTTAATGAATGATGTTACAAATCAGCGTTAATACAAGCTTTGAAAATTTGTTGCTACGAGACACCTCCCAGGCGCCAATTTCAATGTCAATATTTATGTCAATATACCCATGATTGAATAACATGTAACATAACATGTAAAATGATCGATGTTTAAATGGTTCGGTCGTGGGTACCTGACGATAGCTGTTAACATATTCCCTAATTTTCTGGTATTTTATAGTTAGTCTTCAAACTTCGAATTTGGTACTTGAAGTTTTCAAAAAGACAGTTTTGAGAATTCAAAGTGAGAAATCGCATTGCGTTCAAAAATATAGGTTTTGCTCAAGGAAACATACAGGGAAAAATCTATTTCATGTAAGTCCCACTCATAGAAATGAAAATTTCTTCAATGTTTGATTTTTATTGAATTAAACTACCGATATTTCAGTCTAAATCTGCGTTTTGACATATTAAACATGTTTGCAGGGGGCATTGGAGTGTAGGCTGTGAATAAAGGTTAAAGAACCTTCCAGAAAAAATAATTATTTTAAACTGAAATTAAGATAACAGAATCCAGGAATGGTTGGTGTTAAGTTAATTTAATGTATTTACCTTTGTAGAGGGAAGAAGTGATTAATGCCATTGGTCATTGGCCTCCTAATAAATATAATTGTCAAATGCTTTGAAGTACATTGTCAGGATTTTGTAAAAAAAATTACAATTTTGGCAATTTTTGCCTTTTTGGTTTTTTTTTTTTTTTGCACAGTATCTACAGAAAAACTGGTTTTGTGACAATTTTGTATTACAAAGTAATCCATCTTAATGTAAAAGTAATTGATTACATGATTGGGCTTTAATTGAAATAGACTATGAAGTGGTATGTGTCTTTCCTTTGATTGCATATTGCTTGATTAAAGTAAAATTTATCTGACTGAAATCTTACATTGTTAAGGGGTAAGAATAATCAAAAGAGGTTAAAGCACCTTTTTTGTGCTTTGAAAACTGCAGAAGCATGAGGATGCGTTTAAACCCCAAGCTCTTAGAGCAGGAAATTTAAACCGCTGGGGGCTCCTGCAGATGTTAATTAAAAAAAAGAGTCAATTAGCAATAGTCTTGCATAAATTTTTGTATATGGAAAGGGTAACTGTTTCGTTATTTTTTGTCATGTTTTTCACATTATAGTACAATGTCATGTGACAGTTGTGTTTTGATAATGAAACTGCCAGGGCCGTAATAGTAATAAGCTATTTATTACAGTGCCCAGATACAATGCTTATTTAAAGTCCATGCTTGCCGGATTTTAGCCATTAATGCAAGTTCTCTAAGCTGAGAGTGCAGTTTTTAGGCAATCCTAAGGTTAAGAACCTTTTAGAAAGTTAATCTATCAATTTTCAAGTCATTAAACAAAATTGCAGGAAGGTAGATGATAAGTATATGTAATTTATTTTCTTCTTTTTATGGATGGATGTGATAAGCATCATTGGTCAGTCGCTCTCAAACAAAGAAACATGCACAAATAACATGGGATAGGAAAGCAAAGGTTAAGCAATGTCAAGTTTTAGGGATAGTAGAGACAAGAAAATTAAGATTATGTTATTTGTTAATTTTGACCACTGTCATGAAGCACGGTCATGCAATTGTTCACTCAGATACTTAACATGAGAAATCCTAGATTTAATTTATGTACAGGTTTAGGGAGTTTTTACTTTACATGTATATTCTGATTCTTCTGTTATACAAAGTACTTTATGTTTTAATATAATATCATAAAGCATCCTAATGTTTAAAAGTAGTTATATTTTTTCCCATTCCACACTTAATATCTGAAATGAACTTGTCCGTCTTTCATTCTGGACAAAACCATTATTCATTTTTAGGTTAAAATTTGAAAATTATATACTGACTGAATTGTGAACAGTGCAGACCATGATCAGAGAGCACTGATGTGTAAGTTGATCTTGGTTTGCACTGGTCGCATAGGGTAGATTTAATCACGGCCATCAGGCTATGGGCTTACGTAATTATGCCAATTTTCACAGATATAATGTGTTTTGTAAATGTTTTTTAATGTTTTGTTTTCATTGAATATCTTTGCAACTGGTATTTATATATATTGTCAGCATCTGTGGCCAAGTGGTCAAGGTTGTTTACTTTAAACCACCTGCCATTCACTGGTGTGAATCTTGCCAGGGACTAGTAGGATTCCCTTATGTGAGGAAGCTATCCAGTTAGCTTACAAAACGTTGGTGGTTCTAGTCAGGTGCTTGTTTGCTTGAAATAATGCAAGGAGAGGCACTTGAGGTCTTCCTCCACTGGTAGAACTAGAATACCTCCATGATTACATGTTTGAAGCATTGAAAGAATTAGTCTCTGACATGCAGTTTGAGATAAATTATCCCTGGACAGATATTTTTCTTCAAATTATTTTATGATCATCATAGAAAAGACATTGATACCCAAAGAGTATAATCATTTCATAACAGGTATGAATCATACTTGGCAATAACTATAGTTTTTAGATGCCATGTTTCCTATTTAAATGACATTCACATTGCCACTTTGCTGTAAATAATTTCCAGACAAGACGATGTTTTTGCTGCATGCCACAAGTAAACCATTCCCACATTGGAAGATTTATTTGTAAAATAATTCAATTTCTGTCTTCTTTTTTGTGTGTGTAAATTTAAGGATAATTTCAAGACCAGGACAAATCTAGTGATGGTTTTGCTGCATGCTACAAGTAAACCCTTCCCACAAGGGGAGACAACTCTTCTGGAGATGATAGCTCAACATCAGCTCAAATTGGTATTCATTGTATTTTGATAATAATTCCATTAATTTGTATAATGGGATTTTATCCCATGTTTAAATTTGGAACAGTCTATTCAAAGTTTAAGGGGTTCCAATGTTTAAATGCAAAAATGGATCTACCAACAGTATAGAGCCTGGTCAGACTTCTGGCCTGACTATAGCTTTAAGTGTCAAATGATAATCACCTTCAGTTGCTACAGGTTAAGAGTTAAGTTGTTGATTTTTTAAATTGTTCAGTTTTAGGCTCTTTTCTAAAAAAAAAATTCTTTCAAAATTTGAATAAATAGAATTTTTTTTCAATAGAATATATATAGTGTAATGTTAGAATTATTCTCATATGGTCAGATTCATGAAAACCTGCTGAAAAATATTTATGATCGTAGCTGGACTCGAACCTACGTTACAATTTATTTTTATACGTCTGCACATTATCATTGAGGTAATAGAAGAGGCGTGAATCTGCATGATTCATTGATGATTCATTCAAAGTTAATGCATGTATTTTGCTTTACGTATTATTCTTTCTGTTTTATTATCGGAAACAGGTGATTTCCGAGACGATTTTCAAGAAAAGGTCAATATATCTGTATGATCAATATTACCAAACAATATCTGTTTCATGTTAACAGTTATCCCCTGTATGATGTATATAGTAGGATGGTTATGATCTTCTTAAAATAGTACCATGACAACAGGTTTCTGTAAAAAGGAAGTCTGATGTCGTTATTGAAGAGCAAAATACTCCATTTGAGTTTTATATGGAAAAATATGCATGTATACTATTAACTTGATATTTTCTAGCTATTTCTTTCTTTGTTTTTGTTTATTGTTTTTTTGGGTTTTTTTTGGGGGGGGGGGGGAGGGGGGTTATTGTTTTAAATTAATCTCTAAAATTAATTATTAATACAGTAATGAAAGTAAAGATTTGAGAGAGTACTAAGAGCAGGCAAGCCTACGCTTCAAATAATGGTCAAGGTGGCCTTGTGATTAAAATGTCTACATCTCAACCCAGGTATTGTAGGTTTGAGCCCTACATGACTCACATCAAAGTTTCCTCTTTAGACATATTAGTTCTGGTTAATGGTAGTGACATGAAAAGAGCTAGAACGCCTGGTACAAATAAGCCTCTAGCTCCTTTGACCATCCAAGCTTAAAACTGATTTGTGTTAAATATTGAAATAAGTCACAAATACTCCTGTCACAAATGTTCAGTCTCATATAATAGTGAACATTAACAGTTAAATCCCCTAATTTGTGATGACCCATTGGTCAATACACATATTTTTTATTTCTTATCTGACCTTGGTCCCCAGCATTTGCCTCAGGGATGTGAGTTTGTCGCACACCATTTTACTTCATAAATTTGAACATTCAAGCCAAGTTATTAAACAATTTCTTGTTTCACTTTGGACAAGGTTTTTTGTAAAAAATTTAATGTGATCTTGACCTTTGACCTAAAGATCTTGTTGGTGAAAACTTGTATGAGGTCATGTCTGAATTGCCTCATGCATATAGAAAAAAGATATACTCTGGACAAGGACAAAACTGGTTGCTGCCAGCCAATCACCAGGGTCTTACCTCTTAATATCACACCTTATTTTTTAAACACGAATATAAAAATTGAAAATAAGTAACATCATATCCGCGCAGTCTGATCAGGATCCATGCTGTTCGCCTACCAACTTTATTACAAGTAGAGAAACTGATAGCGAGCAGCATGGATCCTGATCAGACTGCGCAGATCCATGCTAGCCGCAAACGCACTATGTTGGTTTTGTCGTGACGTGGCTTATATGATAAATATTATATTCACAGGATGTTCATAAATTCTTCTTCAGGATAACAGTGTACATCATTTTATTTACACTCTTGGTCAGCCAGACAATGCCACTTTAGACAACCTGGCTAGAGTTGCTGATCAAAACAACCTAAAATTAGAGAATTCAAGTGGAATCAAGGCAGAGCCATGGCCTCAGGTATGTAGCTTTTACATTATTGTTAAATTTTATCTTCCGCCATACTATTTCTTTATTATATGTCATTTGTATAGGCAAGGATGCCACCATATAGCAGGGAATACAGTGCCCAACTTTGTACGTACCACTTCGTCTTGAAATGATACTCACACCATAGACACATTAATATTATATCTCATTCATTCACGTGATAACGATTGACCACTGACCAATCTTGGAACTTGTCATTAATGCTAAGGGAAAAGTGAGGAAGTGATTTTTATTTTTGATTGTATTCTTTGGTTTAGGATCACACCCGCTCCTGCATGCAAGACAAAGCCTCTAAACCAGCACAGTCTGTATGCTATCTTTATGTCCACAAGCTTAGCTCATTGGTTTTGCAATCCATTTGATCAATAAGCTTATTGATAAATTTATATTCATCTTATAAATAATTTCATTGATAAATTTTCATTTCATCATGTTCAGACCATTTTGTACAAATACGTGACATGATGCATACATCCAGTTGTTTTCCTAGTTATATTATGTCCAAGATTTCAGCTAAATATTGTGACTCATTATTGACAATCTGAATCTTCAAAAACAGTGAATGAAAGGGTATTTGGGATGAGATTTCTAACAGTTTTATTTAGACAAGCTTGCCATAACATCAAAATATATCAATATATTTGAACCCTTTGAATCAGAATTATCAGCTCTAATCAACCGAACAGTAATGACTCATTTCTTCACTACTTTGATGAAGAAGTATAGGCCAAAACACATTCTGTGTGTTCCATGCAAAGTATCAATATGGTACCAAATGGTATTGCTCAAGCATTTTTTTGCTCAGTATTTTTTCCAGCTAGTAACACTCATGCAAAGTGCCATTTTGTACCAATTAGTAATGTTCATTAATATTAGTTATACTCATGAATAGTTCCATATTGTACCAATTGGTTATGCTTTTACAAAAGTTTTTTTCAGGTGTTTTTTTATTTAATGTGTGCCTCTTTAACCCTAAAAAAACTAAAATATCTCAAATGGACTTGTATATCTATCAATTAGATGAAGAACCAGATAGGTTCAAAACCAGTAGATCTTTACTAGAATTTTGTTCACATTTACCCGGTGTTGACATGTGGTTTCTTTGTATTCTTCCATTTCATCTAGTTTGTATCTATCAATTTAGAGTTATGATTGTATCAAGTATGTACTGTTGACTGAACAGCCAACAGTGAACAGAGAACATGGCAAGTATGTACTGGCTGACCCTGGGTTGCACTGGTCATATGAGTAGATAGCAGGCTTACGGTTAGATTAACCTAAATGAAGGCTGCAAATGGTGAAAATAGTTTTAATGACCTTTGATTTGACCTAGCTGGGGATTGAACTTGCAAAGGTAGCAGAGGTGTAATATTATTTATATCAAAATCTATATGTTTGCTTACAGATTCCAAACCTGGTGACAACCAAACCAATTGGACTGGAGGGAGTCCTTGTTCCAGTAAAAAGTGAATCTAATTTTGTGTCAGTTGTTGAAAAGTATTTTCAAAGGTTGCCACCCCAAGTTGATACTGAATTGACTACTATAGTGCCAGTTATGGATAGGAAATATGGTAAATGCTTAATTGTTTATCAGTGTTGTTGAAAATACATGTAAAAAGATAATGTCACATCAGTTTGTGTACATGTAATTGTTTTGCCCTGCTTTGAATATGGCTCTCCCTTTCAAAGTTTAGAGTGTATAAAGCCATATTATATAGATTGGTCAAAGTCAACATTTGGATATCTAAATCAGAACCCAACAATGTTTGTTTGTACAAATATGGGAGATCTAATGTTTGCCAATTCCTGTTTGTTATTTAATGCTGTATTTTTATTTTGAAAAGGTCTTGGATTGACAGTAGCGGTTCCTGTCTACAATGGGAGCCGGCCATTTGGAGTGGTAGCAGCGGATGGTCCCCTAGCAACCATTTTCTCAGAAATTGTAAATTTTCGAGCAGGGATCAAAAGTTATATGTTTTTGGTGGATAGCACACATGGTGAGATAACAAAATATATTATAATTTACATGTTCATAGGTTTTATGAGTACACAGACTTGTTATGGTACAAGTACAGGGATAAGTTTTAAAAGATCTTCATCAAACTTTGTCAAAATATTTACTCTAATATTATTTTTGACAATTTGGAATATGGGTAAGCTGTGGTCAGAATCTCTGTCAGTGAGTTAATCAGGGTAAAACCTTATGTACTCTCTAGAGACCGCTCAATCAAGTAAGAATATGGGTTGTCTTAGGTTCAAAACTATGTCAACTGCGCCGAGTTGAGCATGATAATTTGTTAAACATAGTTAAATTCTTCACTCAGATGAGCCATAAATGGCCCATCTAGACCTTCTTGTTTCATTGCATATTTACGAGTCGTATGTAATATTCAAAAACCTGTTATTGTTCAATTTTCAGGACATGTATTGCTTCATCCCAAGTTACGTGACCCGGCTGAAACAGTATATAAAGACACTATATTTCCTAGACTAGATCTCCTGGAGCCCAGCATATCTGAGGACATGAGGAATCAGATACTTGCAGCAGGAACCAGTAATATCATTAGTTTTAAAGCTCAGGTGAGACACTGAAAAATAGTGAATTGCTTTCTCGTAGACCAAGTAATAACTACTGGGAAAAAAGTTCTTTACCTTTTACTTACCACAATAATACTGCAAAATAAATCAAGGGTAGTACTTAAAAAGAGTCATCAAGGTTGAACTCCCTTACTTAATTGTTGACATGCATTTTATAACCCCAGCATTGTTTTACAAACAGAAAAAGTAAATCATGGCTTTTGAATTTACTGATTCTTAAAGAAAGCGAGTATAGCGAAAATAAACACTGCAAATTTATTTTCTTTTTACAGTTATAAATACTGGGAAAAAAACTTCCATCTTTGGGGTTCAAAGAGACTAAATTAAGAATTAGCCAAAAGTATAGTCTGGAACAATAGCGCTGATGTTTTGACTGGCCTGGCTGTATACAAGTCGCAATAGTTAATCAATTTTGTTTTAAATACATTATGGATTAAAAACCACTAAAAACAGTAAGAAGAGTGGTACTGTTCCATGAGCTGTGAGGTTGCCTAGTATTTAAGATGTTTGCCTCTCAAACCAGATATTGTGGGTTCAAAGGTCACCAGGGGGAAGACCATGTTTCATCATGATAACAATGCTTGTTCATTTCAGGATGAGAAACTCAATAGTAATTTATACAAGTTGTAAGAACTTGTTTTACAATCAAGTAAACATATTTAAATTTCTTTTTTTCAAAGGTGAAGGACATTCATCCAGAAATTGACGGAGAGCTGGTTCCCAGTAAAATTTCAAGTTTGAGTGAAGCAACAGTGTTTTGTAAAAAAGTATCTGGAACCAGCCTAGTTGTGGTACTGGTCAAATATAAGAGTGATGAAGTGGAACCAAAATTACAAACACTGGATAAGGTATGAAAATTATTTGTGATACTTGTTTTTTTTATACAAATAGTTATCTAAGCTATTTTAAATAACCACCTTTGTTGTTTTTCTGGCAAAGAGTTTGTCAGTATAGTACTTATAGATGAAAATTTGATGTTTATACATGGTTGTCAGAAAATACTTATGGAAAAATAGAATTTTAAGACATGATATTGTTATAGAAAATTATTACCAAATAAAATTGTCAAATTATTTTATAGTTGTAGAAAATTGTCATTATATATAAAAAAAAATGTCATAATGTGTTATTGTCATGGAAAATTGTGAAATTCTGTTATTGTTAAAGAAAATTTTCCTATTACATTATTGTCAAAGAAACATTGCCAGAGCACAATGCCAGAGCGCAATGTCACAACCCAATGCTAGAGAACAATGCCAGAGTGCATTGTCAAAGCCCAATGCCATAGCAAATTGCCAGAGCACAATGCCAGAACAAAATGCCATTGAACAATGGTAGAGCACATTGCCAGAGTGCAATGCCAGAGCACAATGCCAGGGTGAAATGCCAAAGCAAATTGCCAGAGCACATTGCCAGAGCACATTGCCAGAGTACAGTGCCAGAGTGCAATGTTAGAGAGCAATGCAAGAGCACATTGCCAGAGTTCAATGACAGAAGGCAATGCTAGAGCCCAATGTCATAGCAAATTGCCAGAGTACAATGCCAGAGAGCAATGCCAGAGAGCAATGCAAGAGCACAATGCCAGAGAACAATGCCAGAGCACAATTCCAGAGAGCAATGCAAGACACATTGCCAGAGCCTAATGTCATAGCCCAATGCCAGATAACAATGCCAGAGCACAATGCCAGTGCACAATGCCAGAGTGCAATGTCAGATGGGCTGCAATCATACATGTACATGTATATGATAACAATGAATAGGGTTGTTATTGTTTACTCATGATAGTATTTTTAAAGTGACTGATAATGACAAGGACATATTGAAAAGATTACACTTTTTAGCTCACCTGTCACAAAGTGACAGGGTGAGCTTTTGTGATCGCTTTTCGTCCGGCGTCCGTCCGTCCGTCCGGCGTCCGTAAACTTTTACTTTAAATGACATCTCCTCATAAACCGCTGAGCCAATTTCATCCAAACTTCACAGGAATGTTCCTTTGGTGGTCACCTTTGAAAATTGTTCAAAGAATTTAATTCCATGCAGAACTCTGGTTGCCATGGCAACCGATAGAAAAAACCTAAAATATCTTCTTTTAAAAAACCCAAAGAGGTAGAGCTTAGATATTTGGCATGAAACATCTTCTAGTGAGTGTCCTGGGGTCAAAATTGGCCCCGCCCCAGGGGGTCATTGATTTTCCCTATATGCATATAGTAAAAACTTATAAAATCTTCTTTTAAAAAAACCCAAAGAGCTAGAGCTAAGATATTTAGCATGAAACATCTTCTAATGAGTGTCTATCAAGTTTGTTCAAATAAAAGCCCTGGGGTCAAAATTGGCCCGGCCCCAGGGGGTCATTGATTTTCCCTTAATGCATATAGTAAAAACTTAAAAAATCTTCTTTTAGAGAACCCAAAGAGCTAGAGCTAAGATACTTAGCATGAAAGATGTTCTAATGGGTGTCTACCAAATTTGTTCAAATAAGAGCCCTGGGGTTGAAATTGGCCCTGTCCCGGGGGTCATTGATTTTCCTTATATGTGTATTGCAAAAGCTTTTTAAAAAATCTTCTTTGAAAAAAACCAAATAGCTAGAGTTTAGATATTAAGCATGAAACATCTTCCAGTTAGTGTCTTCAAATTTTGTTCAAATAAAAGCCCTAGGGTCAAAATTGGCCCCGCCCCAGGGGGTCATTGATTTTCCCTATATGCATATAGTAAAAACTTAAAAAATCTTCTTTAAAAGAGCCCAAAGAGATAGAGCTAAGATATTTAGCATTAAACATCTTTAATGGGTGTCTACCAAGTTTGTTCAAATAAAAGTCCTGGGGTCAAAATTGGCCCCGCCCCAGGGGGTCATTGATTTTCCCTATATGCATAATAGTAAAAACTTATAAAATCTTCTTTTAAAGAACCCAAAGAGCTAGAGCTAAGATATTTAGCATGAAACACCTTCTAGTGAGTGTCTTCAAAGTTTGTTCAAATAAAAGCCCAAGGGTCAAAACTGGCCCCGCCCTAGGGATGTCATTGCTTTTCACTATATGTGTATAGTAAAAACTTAAAAATCTTTTTTTTTTAAAACTCAACGAGCTAGACCTTAGATGTTTAGCATAAAACATCTTCTAATGGGTGTCTACCAATTTTGTTCAAATAAAAGCCCTGGGGTTTAAACTGGCCTCGCTCTGTGGGCCTATATACAGGTGAGCGACTTCGGGGCCATCATGGCCCTCTTGTTTTTCTTTTAAGTTTTTGAAGAATTGATTTTGTTATGTAATGCAATCCCTAAAAATAAAAAAGTAAACAAATTTGTTTGTTTGAATGGAAAGGAGTGTTCTAAAATATAAAAAAAACAACAGAAACTGGTCCCATCCCTTGTTTTCTTCACTACGCAGGTGGCATTAATTTAGTATGATTTGTTGTCCCGAAAAAAAATGATTTTCCCTTTGTAGAATGAAATTTCTTAGGGTGATGATCAAAATTAAAACATTGAAAACATGATTCTGAATGACATTATGATTATAGCTATGCAGAAACTTCTTGTTTAAAAGGGCGTCATAATTGCTCAGTTGGTGTCATGTTAGGTCTATTGACTTCAGATATGTCAGAACATCAGATCTGCGGAATTTAGGAATGTCAGGACATCAGGTCTGTGGACTTCAGGTATGTTAGAATATCAGATCTGTGGACTTTAGGAATATCAGGACATAAGATCTTCAGACTTAAGGAATGTCAGGGCATAAGGTCTGTAAACTTCAGGTATATCAGGGCATCAGAGCTTTGGACTTTATGAATGTCAGGACATCTGACCTGCCGGCTTCAAGTATGTCAGGACATCAGATCTGCAGACTTCATATTCCCATATGCTGTTTGCTGACATACCCTATTACAAGTAGAGATACTGATAGCAAACAGCATGGATCCTGATCAGACTGCGCGGATGTGCAGGCTGGTCTGGTTCCATGCTGGTCGTAAACGTACTATGTTGGTTTTTGTCATGGAGCGGCTCATTTGCATTTTACTTCGGAGATTATTTTAAGCATTGTACAAATATTTCAGATTTCTCATCAGCATGGAGTTTATCATAGACTGGACTTATTGTATGGTTCTCCAGATTTCCTAGGAAAAGATTCTATTTGTCACCTTCACAATGGACATTTTCTATCCTTCAAGCAGTCTGTGATAAAGGTATGCATAGTTTTACTGTGATAAGTTATTTCTGAAGTTACCTCACTCATTTGAGATTTTAAATGGAGGTCATTCTCCAAGGCCCATACTTCTTGCATGGATATTGACAGAAGTATGGTCATTTTCGTATTGAAAGCATTTATAATGGTCCTTTTCGAAAAGTCTGGATAGATCTTTAAAATTACTGAAGGTATTCACATGAAGCTTGATACATGTTGTTGTTGCCATAATTGGAGGTCACTATCCAAGGTTCATAGCTTGACAAATTATGGCATTTTGTGAACTTGAAAAGATCTTGGTTGAAACATCAATCTTCAAAATAATTGAAAATACATTGTATTCACACAATTCTTAACACATATGTCATTTGCATCATGATTGCAGGTCACTATCTAAGGTCCTTAGCTCTGGTATGGATTTTGACTGCATTATGACCCTTTTTGAACTGATTTAGTTTAAGCTTTGTGTGCAACATATATATCTTTCAAAAGAGAAATACTAATGGTTTTTTGCTTGAAACTTCATTCATGTTTTCATAATTACAATCGAAGGTCATTTACCAATTCCCATAACTCTGGCATGGACTTTGAATGAAATACATTCTTAAATTATCTAGGCTCATGTTTAACTATCGAGCACTGATAATAGCTGAGTACCCTGACCTACTGACAGTTCTTGTTTTCTTATATATTTTAGTTTGCACCGAGTCTGTTTTTACAACCAGAGAATTACAAGTATTCTGCTGAGTCACTAAACTCGGTTATCAAACTCAACAAGTTTATAAATGATGGGAGTGATACAGATCTTCTAAACCTTGGTAAGAGATTTTTAACCTTAAGCCTGATGGTAGTAACTAAATATACCAATGAAACCATTGCAGACCAAGAATAGCCAGCATAATATTTGAGGTATTTTTACTGTAATGCTTTCCCGCCAAAAATTTCTAACATCGTCCAATATCGTAACAAATCAGTTATTTCAGAACATTATTTTTTTCAAAAAATATTGGGCATTAAATTATTTACAATCACTTGATTCCTTTATCGCAATGCACTAAATTCTTGTTATAAATGGTTAAGAATTACTGAATACCAAAAATTGTGAAAAATAATGTTTCGGAAATGACCAATTTATTATGATATTGGCCGATGTTAGAATCTTTTTGGTGGGAAAGCGTTACAGTAAGACTACCTTAATTGTTATGAAGTTTCTTGCAAAACTGTTTTCTTACGTGGCCGACTGGTGGCAACAGATTCTGCCATGTGACCAGTTCAGACAAAAGAGTCAAGATAGTTTTGATTTTGAAGTTATTAGGTCACAATTACATTCTATGTTATATACTTGATAGATACATAACTTGAGAAAGAAAAAAGCCAAAGTTTTTGTTAAATGGTTGTTGGAATACTATTATTATATACATGTATATGTTACATATGCATAAGACTTGACCTTTTCTAAAATATGTAAAACTTGCCACAGAGTGTGACAGAGGAATGGAATGGTATTATAAGTTGGACACATTTCTAGTTAAATATTCAAAGCACAGTTTATTATATGTAAGATATTCTTTCTATGTTATTGATAATGCACATATGGAAAAAAAAGCTGTGCATTAGTGGAAGGGTAATAAACAACAACAACAGCGACATCATCAGTAAGCAGAACTTTAAATGCACAGAGTTTAAAAAGTATTCAACTTTTAAATAATGGTACAATGATTATATTAGTGTACAAATGTTAAAATTCTGTGATTCATGAGAGCACACCTGTTGAATCAACGTGACTTTGAAAAGCATCAGTATTTGCTAATTTACTAAAGGTAAATAATAAAAATGTGAGAGTGCAGTTTCCAGGTGAAAGTGAAGAAATTATCAAGGCTTGGTTATTATATAAAATTTCTTCTATGATATATTGATTTAAGGATGTTCTTCTTATTGCATAAACAAAAATGAAATGTAACTGTTTTGAAATGACATTATGCTTATTTCTTTTGTAAACTTTTTTGAAGGGGCGTCCGTGGCTGGGTTGTTAAGATTGTTGACTTCAAACCACTCGCCCCTAACCGCTGTGGGTTCGAATCCTGTCAGAGACTTTGGATTCTTTCATGTTAGGAAGCTATCCAGCTAGCTTACGGAACGTCGGTAGTTCTACTCAGGTGCCTGAAATAATGCACGGAAGGGCACTTGAGGTCTTCCTCCACCAGTAAAGCTGGAACTTCGCCAAATGACCTATACTGTGTCGGTGTGACATAAAATCCATACAAACAAACTTTTTGTGCCCCCACGTTAGTGGGGAGCATTTAGATTTACCCCCGTCCGTCCGTCTGTCGCACGTTACTCTAAAAGTATTTGACCGCAAGTCATGAAACTTTACAGGAATGTTGATCAGCATGTGTAGTTGTGCACCTGGGTATTTTCATGTGGATATTTTTAGTATTTTCAGAGTTATTGCCCTTGACTTAGTAAAATCTGCAATTTTCAACTTGTGTCGCATGTAACTCAAAAAGTATTTGACCTAGAGTCATGAAACTTTACAGGAATGTTGATCAGCATGTGTAGTTGTGCACCTGGGTATTTTCGTGTGGATATTATTAGTATTTTCAGAGTAATTGCCCTTGACTTAGTAAAATTTTGCAAATTTCAACTTGTGTCGCATGTAACTCAAAAAGTAGTTGACCTAGAGTCATGAAACTTTACAGGAATGTTGATCAGCATGTGTTGTTGTGCACTTGGGTATTATGTCTGGATATTTTTAGTATTTTAAGAGTTATTGCCCTTGACTTAGTAAAATTTTGCAATTTTCAACTTGTGTCGCATGTAACTCAAAAACTATTTGACCTAGAGTCATGTAATTTTACAGGAATGTTGATCAGCAAGTGTAGTTGTGCACCTGTGTATTTTCGTGTGGATATATTTAGTATTTTCAGAGTTATGGCCCTTGACTTAGTAAAATTTTGCAATTTTCAACTTGTGTCGCACGTAACTCAAAAAGTATTTGACCAAGAGTCATGAAACTTTACAGTAATGTTGATCAGCATGTGCAATTGTGCACCTGGGTATTTTCATGTGGATATTTTTAGTATTTTCAGAGTTATTGCCCTTGACTAATTAATTTTTGCAATTTTCAACATGTGTCGCATGTAACTCAAAAAGTATTTGACCTATCTGGAGTCATGTAACTTTACAGGAATATTGATCAGCATGTGCAGTTATGCACCAGGTATTTTGTTTGGATTTATTTAGTATTTTTAGAGTTATTGCCCTTCACTTAGAAAATTTTTGAAAATTAATTTCATTAAACCTTATGGGTAGGTTGCTCAGCATATTTAGATTTGCACCTGGGGTTTCGCTTGTGGATTGATCCAGTATTTGAGTTATTTCCCTTGACTTAATAAAAAGATTGACAGAACAGTGGCACAGTGGGGGCATCCGTGTCCTATGGACACATTTCTAGTTTGACTTTCATCTGTTCTCTCACTATATAATGTGACCTTTGGGTGTTTAATATTAATATAAAACATTTTGTAATTGTCTGTTCTTGAAACCTTTACTGTATGTTTCCTGTAATTTTCAGGTTTAACAGATCTTATTCTACATACACTTGTGTCAACAGACGGATTAGATTCTAAATGGACCAGCAGTGCCAAGGAAGTCTTAGAGAGGTTTTGTCCTTTTAAGTTTTTTTTCTGAAATATTCAATTTTGTGAAATTATTCCTTAAAATTTTCTGAAAAAAAACCCTTTTTTATGAAATTATTATGTCAATTAAGTACCCTGAAAGATTGGGTTCTTGATTATTTAACAATATTATGCAAAAACAACGAAAAAGAAAATAGACTGGCCTTGTATAACCATAGTCTACAATATTATCAATAGTCAGTCCCGCATATATATCATGGGTAAAAGTTTTCAGGATTACTTCTGAAGTTCAGGATTTTCAGTCTCCTGAAAGCCTTCTCTTTCCTTTGTAAAACTATGGAAAAACTGCTTGATTCAGGATTTTCAGGATATTTAAAATTTTCAACTTTTACCCATGCGTCTTACAAATTCAACGCAACAGTGAAAAAATGAGCATCATAAATGTATCGTAATTCTTGATGTCATGACAATTCAATTAATTATGTATTGAAAAGAGGTTTTTAGTTAATTTGAGCTTGTTTTTTATGTAACATACCTTATGAAGTTACAGTCATGTCATTTATTTCAGATTCTATGGCTCAACTAACGGTGTATTTAGAATATATCCAGGGTCGCCAATGGTTACCACATTTGATCACAGAGAATCTGACTGGTGAGTGAATTAAAAAATTAAAATTATAGTCACACTCTCAGCCTGAATTTGATTTGGTGAAATATTATAGGGTTAATATATTAATAATTTTGCAATAAAAAAAATGAGAGAGAAAATATAGGGCATGTTCATCAGTAGGCTGCTTGTTATCTCAAGGACAAACGTCTAATGGGGAGGGGGGGACAACTGTCCATGGGGCCGCTGTCCAGGGGGCAAATGTTTGTTACCCAAGTAGACATCCGGTAAGTTTACAAGCTTTTCACCATCCTTTTTAATATATTACCGGATGAGTTTCATTTTATCCCTTAAAAGGCATCTCCTGCAGTAGTGCCACTTTATACAAAGATGAAGAAGGAAAAATTTAAACTATCATATAGAATTTATTTTAACACCACTGCTTAAAAGAGACTCCTAATTAAAACAAAAGTATATGCAAAAAGATGCTCATGGGGCCACATAGCTAGTTTTTGAAGTAGCATAATTATGTGCATTGTCATAGTAAAAAAATATGAGGAATATTAAAATTAGATAAGTGTTATGTTTAGCTCTACTATTCAATATGGTGAGCAATTGTACTCACCCAAGTGTTGACTTCACACTGTTTATGTTTTTGCATGCAAGTTTAAAGACTGAAACTTCACTAACTTAAGAGCTTAATAGGAGGTCAGTGTATAAGACCTATACCTCTTACATAGAATTTGAAAGAATTATGGCCTTTTTTGAACTTGGAAAATTTTACATTTTTCAAACTCTTGTTTAACACATTACCCCATGAGCATTTTGTGAAAATGGCTGTTTTCATTGAAAAGTCTCCCGTTACAAGTTCAAGTTGCTATAAAAACTGCTTCAATACTAATCAAACTTGGCACAAATGTTGACTGGACCATTGCCTTTGTAACAACATGCTCAGTCTTAAATTTCCTGTTACCATGGCAACTAGGGGACATCTCAAAATTGCCAAAAATCACTATTTTGCATGGATTTTTTCCATCAAAATTGATTTCAAATTGCTGCCACTTCTCAATGGATTGAGATAGAGTCAAAGGCTTTTCAGCATTGGTAACATGTTTGCTTATGATCGACCTGAGGTCATTTTTAGCCTCTCAAAAGTCCAAAATTTTCTTGGCCCCCTTCAAACCCCCCCAAACAGAAGGGGGCACACCCCCCTTCTGGCAACCCCCTGATGTGTCTTTTGAATGGGGGACGGCACCAAAAAGTGGTCAATTTTTTAAACAACATTTTTAAAACAAAAACAAGTGTTTTGGGCCTATAATATGCATCTTTTCACCATTTGAGATAGCAAAAGGGGGGGGGGGGGGTGAAAAAGGCGTAGAAAGGCGTATATATCTGGTAATGGGTTATCAAGCACTGGAAATAATTTTGAATATGGTGTCCTACTGACAGCTCTTGTTATCTTGGGTGATTACATAAAATCTACAAAAAGTGTTTTTTAAAAACTTGTTACATGTCGTCAGGATCTTGATTTTTGGTCATTCATATAACTCTTATGGATTTGGAATGAGATCTTTTGTTAATTCCTACATCTGGACAAAATCTTTCTTTTTACTATCAAGCACTAAGAATAGTCTAGCATGCTGTCCAAATGGCAGCTCTTGTTGAATTCATTACAATATACTGGAAGTCTGCTTTGACTATCTAAACTTTACCTTAGTCAATCAGATTATTCAAAGTGCTGGCGTATCTTGGTCTGCACTGGTCGCATGGGCAGAATATGTTGCCTCTGGCAAACTAAAAATAAATTTTAGCTTGATTAGATATTGACAATTATTAAATATTATGTATTCTGCACACATAGTTTTGGGATCATATTTTGTGAACTGATACACATCTACATTTGTGAATCACCTTACCTCAACTACTTAAGGTATTCAATTGAAACTTCATTAAAATATTCTGGGTCATAAATATGGGAAACTGTCCAAGACCCATAACTCTAACATTGATTTTTCAGTGATAAATTCTTGTTTGTGCACTTTTAATGTTCCAACTTGAATGTTAGATAGTTTCGTTCTTTTCAAGCACTGAGAATAGTCAAGCCTTGCAGGGCTCACACTGGCTCAAATAAAATAATAGCCAATAATTTCAACTTAAAAAAATAATAGCCAAAAGTTCAGCGGAATATTCACGAATTAGCGATTAACAACATAAGCAGTTGATTAAATAAACATTACATATATAATTTTTTTTTTAGTTTTATAAGGATTCTCAAATAAACTGATACATTTGTGTATATTGATAACTACCTTTTTTTAAATAGAACCACAACTTTAATTGTTATTATAGAACAGAATAAAAACGTTATAATTAGTATAATTACTGTATAACAATAATATTAAAGATTCATTATAACTTTACATAATGCTGTTATCAGACAACTTTTTTTGTTTGTTCTAATCAAATTTTGTCAGCTATAACCACTGTCAATTTCCACATTTCACACAGAACTGGAGTAGATCTAGCCTATAGAAATAACACAAGTTTGCAAACTCATTCACAGAATGAAGCCTTTTTTCTGAATAATTTACTGAAAAATATCATCATCACCAATGTAATACAAATTTTCTGCCATAGTAGTAAATATTTTTAAACAGAACATAGCTTATTTCACCTTTAAATAAATATCAAAATTATCGGTGTCGCGAAAATATGTGACAATCGGATTTTTCCTGTTTTCTGAAGAAATATTCACAATTTTGGTTGTTGTGCAAATAGTTCTTTGGAAGTTAATACTTTTTAAATATTTTACCATTGTTTTCCACTGGCGATTTAGTCAAGTAGCTTAAAACAAAAAAAAATCAAAATTTGCAATTACTGCAATTCACGGTAAATTTTGGGTAAGTCAATATCCAGTTTATCAATTTTAAAACGATTTTTTGTGGCTAATTGACGGATATTTGATGGCTATTATAAATGCTGGACAATATCTTTAAAGTACTTATACAATTATACATCTCGCATGTATTTTTTCACCTCGGGCAATATAGTCTAGCAGCACGTGACCGGTAAAAAGTTGACACTCAATTAAATGCACCCCGCTGGTGTTAATTGGGTCTACTGCATTCATTATCGATTTTTACACCTTATATAAACACTGTTGGAAGTAAAAAATAATCGCCAGATTTTGTAGCCAAAATGCAAAAATAATCGCCAATCTTATAAAATAATCGCAAATGGCGACTATGGCGACCAACAGCGTGAGCCCTGCCTTGTCAAGCCCTTTGTCCATCTGGCAGCCCTTGTTAATGTTTGACCCAAATGAGCATTAAGAATTTGTATATTTAAACTTTCTATTTGTTCTGTTGCAGGTATAAAAGGAGTGTGGCTTTTCCAAATACGACAATGTATCATTATGGGAAGCTGGGCATAGTAAATAAGAACAATGTCATCATCATCAGCAGAGCTGTGGGGTAGCTATTTTTCTCTTGTTTCTCCCCAATTAATATCAGCTCTACAAATCTTTATTAATTTAAGTTAGTACACAAGATTACCCTCTTATAATATTTATAGAAAATCTATATTAATTCTTTAATATCTCTGAAATCAGAACTGATATTCATTTCAAACTTAAAATTTACTGTTACAAGATGGCCTATCAGACATCTTGCTTTGTTTTGATATACATGCCATCTGTATTTGTTTAACTTAGAAAATATCTTTGAATTTACATTTTATTATTTTGATATCTTTAAAAACAAGAAAAGATATGCAATTAAAAATTTCTATATATGGGAATGATGATAAGCAAACTCAGCAAGCCAAGGATTGCTACTCTAAATTGCATTTATTACATAGTTGTTTCACTTTCTAAACTCCATTGCTTTTGTTATAGTTAACCGGCACAAACAAAAGTTATTGTAGACTGTTTCAAATTTGATTTGACAATTGAACTGATATTTGTACTGTACAATGTTGTCTTTATTTTCATTTGAGACAAGTTCCTTTGGCATGTTTTATTCTGGCACAAAAGTTATTCCCTTTTTCACCAATCCAAGTCATTTTCTATCAAGAACATTGGTAGGGTATAGGGGCATGGGGTATGGGTATGAATTGCATTCAGCCAGTATTCTAGTTCTGATGATCAAATGAGGGTCCATAATGCTGTTCTTATTGTTACTCAACAACATCTGAGTAGAACCATGAATGTGCTGTAAGCTTGCTTGATTACTTCCTCACATGAAAGCATCTAAAGTCCCTGTTTGGATTTGAACCCATAGTGGTGAGAGGCTGTGGTTTGAAGTCAGTATATACATGTATAAACATGTACATGTATAGTTTCATAACCAAAACGTCCTTGATGACATTTTTATTCAAGACACTATTATCACTTTTTGCCATCAGGGTGCTCCATTGAATATTTTCGTCCTTTACAATTTGTTTTCCAGCACGTTTTAACCTTTTGACATATCATTTAGTGTCACACTCATTGAACTATACAGTTAAAACCTGTAAATGTTTGTTTTCTATGTATTCATAATATCATGTTTTTATCAAACACAGATTTTTGTTTCATCTTTTTTAGCACAAAAATGCTGTTCTTAAATGTGCCATGGAAATTAAAGTAATAGTGAAACTAATATTACATTGGGATGGTGGATATATATGTGGGACAGCTGTTTTTTTTTCCACAGAAAGATTGAACGGGTACATATGCACTCAAAAGGCGATCGAAGCAGTTCGCAAGCATGCTTTCATAATACACAATTTTCATGTACTTGGATGAACCTTTTTTTTTTTTATGTAACTATTGCCTTTACTGTGTTTGTGACATGTTCAAATTTTGATAATTATTTACTATCCTGTTTTGTTTATAAAAGCATGGCTTTGATGTACTTGAAGTCAAATGTACTAAAAGTTGTGTGTAGAAAGGCCGCTTAAATTTATAACAATCATTTGCCTCTGGTCTCATATTTCATATTAGTAAAGTTATTTTTGTGATGGCTGACTATAAGCAAAGTTCCACAACTCCTAATTATATTTTGACAAAGTTGTATACCCCAATTTTATTGATAGTTAGAAAAAGTGTAAATTTACAGTTACTTATACATGTATATTTCTGAAAACAGAAATTTATATTAACTTAATTAAAAGTGTTTGTTGAGGGTCACAAGAAAATTCAGCAGACAAAGCCCTGTACTTCTCTGTTGCGATCATGTGACACTATGTATTAAATAGGCTTGATACACTTTAAACTTTACTCAAATGTCCACTTTAACAAGACAATGTTTAGAATCCATTCCACCTTTAAACTGGATAAAAGTCAAAGTCAATCTAGGAGGTGAATATATGCCAAGACAGACAACTTTGTGTCTTCATTTAAGGTTATTGATTTCAAATCCCTTGCCCCTCACTGCTGTGGGTTTTCATCCTGTCAGGGACTTTGGATTCTTTCATGTGAGGACATTATTTAGCTCACTTATGGTAGGTTAGTTCCAGAGATGAAAGCTGAAATAATCCAGAATATGACTGACCTGATATTGTATAATTTTATTATGTATTAAACAAAAGAACTATTTCTGGTCAATATTTGATTTTTTTTTTATTTTATATTTCAGATCGAAGAGATTGTTAGGTGTGGTAGGAATGACAGTAACTCCCAGATTCCTCATGTCACAGCTGCTCAATTCTGTAATGTATCTTTTTTGTCCTTTCATAAAGTAGCTTATAGAAAGTTAAATTGGGGAAGACCCTTGGAGGGATATAATGAAGCTTAAAAGTGAAAATTGTAGATTCCGTTTGAGCCCCCACCCACAGGCACCCTGCTTTAGCAGTATTAAATCCTCAATACATTAAAATATTGAAATTTATGTACCCTTTGTACCAGGAATATATACTGGAGCTGAAGAATGGGGCAGCTTTTTATTGTTAACCATGATTTTGTGTAGTGTATCAATCAAGTTTAACTTTACCAATTTACCAAGATTAATCTCCCCCTAAACAATATACAGAATTGCACAAAAAAAACAAAAATGAAATAAAGAGGATATTCAAGTTTTTCCTATAAATACATGATTTATTTTCATTGAGTGGTATGAAAATAAATATTTCATGAGTGGCAGTAGCCACAAGTGAAATAATGGTAACTTTCATGCCACAAGATGTAAAAAAATCATGACTGTATTTTGCGATAGAATTTGAAAGACTTTCCCTTAAATTTTATGAACTGGCAGAATTTAAAAGAAATTATTCTAACAAGACACCAGTGAAAATACAGAAAATATGTTTCAATGCAGTGAAAAATAAATTTTAACAGTGAAAATACGGAAGATGAAAATACGCATTTTATTTCATCAATATTTCTCACTATTTCATTTATAAGTATATAATAAATAAGATAATATCATTGTGCAGAAGTTAATTATGAAAAGACAGAGTGCACTTAAACAGACAGACTCTGACCTTTACTTATGTCAGAACTGAGAAATGCACTGTCTGAACCATTGCAGGGGTAGTTATTCATTTTCATTTACGCACAAATGTTTAACACCTTTATAAACGGTATTGGTACCCCATAATTTTGAGGCATGGAGGAGCACTTGACCATTTAGTTTATTGTTTAAAAGGCAGAATGTTTGTACTGTCTGACCTTCACTTTTGGTAGAACTTAGAAATGCACTGGCTGAACCAATTTGCAGTGGTAGTTTTTTTTTCATATACCCACAAAATGTTTAAAGTACAGAAAAAGTCTCATCTTTATACTCAGTAACTTAACAATCTGGCGAATGAAGAAACCAACAGTATGTTTAAACATTTATGTCTATGTAATATCATTTTAAGGGTAGACATAATGATATACTGCATTATGGCTGCATTGAACCACTATTCAAAATTCCATTTCCCTTGATTTTACTCATATTTTTCTGGTTAAGAAGACGTACAATATTTTGATGAAACACCATATATTTTGTACTCTGTGATGCTTTTCATTGAGTGACAGTCTGCGTGCTAAACTCAATAATGAGAGCATCACATAAATAATGAAGCGGACAATGGTATGATCCTTGGGACAAGGTGAAGTTTCTCTGTGAAATTGATCTTTGACATTGAATCATATACAAATGTTGTCATTTTCACTTACTCCTGATTTTAAAATCATGTGGGATAAGTAGTCAATCACTTACAGAAAAATTTGTAATTACTGGTTAGTTATCCGGGAACGGTAAGGAGATTTGAACACTATGATATGACCAAATCATGTGTTAAAATCTTAAAAAAAAAAAAACAAATGAATTAAACTTTGTAGATTCCTATTTAAGTGATATACATGAAAATGTTGGCACTTTTATAGTGAGGATCATAACTAAGGGGTCAGCCACTAAAATGATTATTATTCTGTATTATTTATTGTTGTTGTTTGTTTCTCTTTACAGGTGCAAGAATGTTCAGGAGGTAACCATGAGTGTCACATTGTGGACAGTACTGGGTAAGTTTGTTATGATAAAGATGTAAATTCTGAAATCTCATAATTTTTGTGGTATAAAATTGATTCATTCAAGAATCGCATATCTGCAAAAGGCAAATGAAACCTGACAATGCTAGACACTCAGTTTCTATAACTTTTTTTCTATTCAGAAATGGAACTTAATCATAGAAAAATAAGAACAAATTATTAAGCTTATTTATCAGTAGAAAACCTTTTAAGAGTGACTATTAAAAAAATAGGTAAAGCTATTGTACTCACCCCGGTATTTTTGTCTTAAGTTTTTGCGTGCAAGTTGGTGTATCTCAAAAACTACTGAAGGGATTGAATTGAAACTTCACACTTGTTCTCTGTGATTTTCTGGCATGTCAGACAGGATTATCTTCCGTTTTCACCGGTGCTAGAAAAGTCTGTCTTACATCCCCCATGTAAGATTAGTCACTTCCTTTAAATGACGTTATTGACGAGAGCCTTTTATGAATGAATTGTGTTCTTAGGATGACGTCACTTAACCGTTATGAATGTAGCTGTAAGTTCATACGCTACTTTAAGAAAAAAGTGCGTAATGAGAATATCAGTTTTCGTAATTTCTGGTTAATGGATATGTAATATGCAAGAAAAAGAAACACTTGTTGGTGCAGACGGGAATATCTAGCTCTCGGGTAACTGTTTAGCGGAAACTCGGCAGAGCCTCGTTACCACTGTAAACAGTTACCCTTGAGCTAGACATTCCGGTCTGTACCGGCAGTAGATGTAAGATTCATATAATCTAATATGATGGTCACAGGTTCCATAGTTACCTTTTTACAGAGTTATGGCCCTTTTCTTACGTTCAAGAACTGAGAATAGTAGAGCACAGACAGCTTTAAGAACTTCTAGCACCTGGTGATTCAGACATGTCCATTTCTATTGATAGTCATCTGCTTCTCAATTCATGGGCCTGTTGTACCATACACACTCTCACAGCTCTTGCAGCACTGTTGAGTGCTAAAGCTTTAGCATTTTGATTTTAAATTACCTTTAACCTTTATTCTTCTAGCGGTAACTAATTTTACCTAGGCAACCAGTGTGCATCAAGATCAGTCTGCACTTCTGTGCTGTCTTATCATGGTCTACACTGATTGCTATTTGATAAGTACTTATTTTGAAATTTCCCCTAAAGTGATGCATTGTTTAGTCCAGATTTAAAGATAGACAACTCCATTTAAGATATTTAGCATGGTAACAGTTTAAATACATATAAGAATTAGATCAGTATGTAAAGTAAGGTAGCTATAGATTCAGATTTCTTGTTTCTATCTTGTTACAGGAGGGTGTTTGATGCACTAGATCCAAACACAAATGGACACTTAACAAAGTTGTTTCCATGGATTACAAATGAACTTGTAATAAGGAAAAAAATAAAGGTGTGCATTTTGAAATTTTTTTATGTTAGTAACTGCTTGTTTGTTTATTATTTACAAATTCTAACACTATCAGAAATTTTCCTATATAGACAAAGAAGGCCGGAAGCGTGCATTATTCTACAACAATGCACTCGCCGTTCTTATTATCTCCCCGTGCATTTTCACATTGAGAGCGCCATTTTGTTTTAAATCTGATAAATAAAAACATTTTTTGTGTCGAATTTTGTTGTGAAAACTATCTAGAATGAAAGAAAATGGTATTACTTATAAAATGAATCCGAACACCAATATCTAAAATTCAGTCGTTTAAGCTGTATAGACTTTTAAAGTGTTGTTTATGTGACGTCATAATGTAGCACCAAACAGCATGTGCAAAACAATCAAATCAAGTACACTATTTTAAAGTCAAAAACGACTTAAGTTTTACATTTATTTCACTTTTAATAATTTGTATTTCGCTTGAAAAATAATAGAGTGAAATAAAATAAACAAACAAAGTTTTATCAACGTTTTCAAAATTTGTTAATCTCAAAATGTTTCTACACACGTAGATTTAATGAAAGTTTCGCTTGATGACATCACTGTTTGTTGTTCGGATGCGCATCATTATATCACTCGGACGCCCTCGTGATATAATTCCTTGCATCCGAACTCCAAACAGTGATGTTATTGAGCGATAAAATCACTGTTTGGGATATATTATTATGCCCCCATTTCGAAGAAAAGGGGGTATATTGCTTTGCACTTGTCGGTCCGTCGGTCCGTAGACCAAATGGTTTCCGAGTGATAACTAAAGAACCCTTAGGCCTAGGAACTTCAAACTTGGTATGGTGATTGGTCATGACCAGTAGATGACCCCTATTGATTTTGGGGGTCAAGGGTCAAAGGTCAAGGTCACATTGACCTTGTAGCAAAATCGGTTTCCGATCAATAACTAAAGAACCTTAAGGCCTAGGAACTTCAAACTTGGTATGGTGATTGGTCATGATCAGTAGATGACCCCTATTGATTTTGGGGTCAAGGGGTCAAAGGTCAAGGTCTCATTGACCTTGTAAGCAAAAACGGTTTCCGATCAATAACTAAAGAACCTTAAGGCCTAGGAACTTCAAACTTGGTATGGTGATTGGTCATGATCAGTAGATGACCCCTATTGATTTTGGGGTCAAGGGGTCAAAGGTCAAGGTCACAATGACCTTGTAAGCAAAAGCGGTTTCCGATCAATAACTAAAGAACTTTAAGGCCTAGGAACTTCAAACTTGGTATGGTGATTGGTCATGATCAGTAGATGACCCCTATTGATTTTGGGGTCAAGGGGTCAAAGGTCAAGGTCACATTGACCTTGAAAGCAAAAATGGTTTCCGATCAATAACTAAAGAACTTTAAGGCTTAGGAACTTCAAACTTGGTATGGTGATTGATCATGATCAGTAGATGACCCCTATTGATTTTGGGGTCAAGGGGTCAAAGGTCAAGGTCACATTGACCTCTTGGGTAAAAACGGTTTCTGATCAATAACGAAAGAACCCTAAGGCATAGGAACTTCAAACTTGGTATGGTGATTGGTCATGACCAGCAGATGACCTCTATTGATTTTGGGGTTAAGGGGTCAAAGGTCAAGGTCACATTGATCTTGTAGGTAAAAACTGTTTCCGGTCAATAACGAAAGAACCCTTAGGCCTAGGGATTTCAAACTTGATATGGTGATTGGTCATGATCAGTAGATGACCCCTATTGATTTTGGGGTTAAGGGGTTTAAGGTCAAGGTCACATTGATCTTGTAGGTAAAAACTGTTTCTGATCAATAACGAAAGAACCCTTAAGCCTAGGGATTTCAAACTTGATATGGTGATTGGTCATGATCAGTAGATGACCCCTATTGATTTTGGGGTCAAGGGTCAAAGGTCAAGGTCACATTGACCTCTTGGGTAAAAACGGTTTCTGATCAATAACGAAAGAACCCTAAGGCATAGGAACTTCAAACTTGGTATGGTGATTGGTCATGACTAGCAGATGACCTCTATTGATTTTGGGGTTAAGGGGTCAAAGGTCAAGGTCACATTGATCTTGTAGGTAAAAACTGTTTCCGATCAATAACTAAAGAACCCTTAGGCCTAGGAACTTCAAACTTGGTATGGTGATTGGTCATGACCAGCAGATGACCCCTATTGATTTTGGGAAGGGGTCAAAGGGCAAGGTCACATTGACCTTGTAGGTAAAAATGGTTTCCAATCAATAACTTAAGAACCCTGAGGCCTAGGAATTTCGAACTTGGTATGGTGATTGGTCATGACCAGCAGATGACCTATTGATTTTGGGGTCAAGGGGTCAAAGGTCAAGGTCACATTGACCTTGAAGGTAAAAACGGTTTCCGATCAATTTACTAAAAAAGCTTAGGCCTAGGAACTTCAAACTTTGTATGATAATTGGTCGTGACCAGCAGATGACCCCTATTGAGTTTTGGGTCAAGGGGTCAAAGGTCAAGGTCACATTGACCTTGTAAGTAAAAACGGTTTCTGATCAATAACTTAAGAACTCTTAGGCCTAGGAACTTCAAACTTGGCATGGTGATTGGTCATGACCAGCAGATGACCTATTGATTTTGGGGTCAAGGGGTCAAAGGTCAAGGTCACTTTGACCTTGAAGGTAAAAACGGTTTCCGATCAATTGATTAAAAACGCTTAGGCCTAGGAACTTCAAACTTTGTATGATGATTGGTCGTGACCAGCAGATGACCCCTATTGAGTTTTGGTCAAGGGGTCAAAGGTTAAGGTCATGACCAGTAGATACTTGATAACCCTTATTAATTGTTTGATCACTGGGTCAGAAGTCATGCATAATAACCTTATCACATGACTAATTGGCTGCTGATAGGGGGCATACATGTTTTACAAACATATCTTGTTTCTTAAATAATGCACGGTTTTCGTTCAAATGCTTTGTAATTAATCTCTCAGGCCTATCAGTCTTCGTGATTATATTACTACGAATTTGAACTCAAAAAATTTTAACAATTTTCATCAATCTGCATAATTCACCAATATTTCCACGTCACTAGCTTAACCACTTATACAATGACAAGCCTTTGCCACCAGGAAAACTTGAACATCTGTACAGGAAAACCAAGCTTTGTATGATATTGTCTGACTAATTTTAAATTTAATCTCAATATCCCAAAATTGATAAGGGACAGTTTCAAAAATAGAAGATTTACAAATCAATTTTAGAAATTCAGGGGGTGAAAGGTTGAAAATTTACAAAATTTCAAAAAATGAGTTGCCAGCAGTATAGAGCCTGGTCAGACTGCGGGCCTGGCCCGATACTTATGACAAAGGCTTATCAGTTTTGGTACCAGCATGTAGTGGGTTGATATAAAGCTGCAGTTTTAAAGCACTCCACCAGATTTGTGTAAATTTTCCACAAAATAAAAATAAAAAGATGTTCTCATAAGTGAAAATGTTGTCAGGTGTACAAATAAAGAGGCTTAACATTAGCGCCTACGATCCTATAACATATGGAAATATGGAGAATTTTTTCCTACTCAATATTATAAATAACATGCTAGAAATATTTAAGTCTGCCAAATTTTTACCAAAAATCTTGAAATAGTAAATATATTTATCTAAGTTTTTATTTTTTGCAGACTAGTGGCATCACTCTTAAACATTGTGTGCAAATTTATAAACGGTGGACTTTTTTCACAACGCAGAATGAGCTGAAAAGGGCTTTTGTGCGAATGTAAAATCACATTTTAAATATTGCGATTTTATTATTTATATTATAAACACCAGTCAGATATAATAAAAAAATAAAACATTTGAAAAATCATTAGTGCCACACACTCTTTGAATATTCAATATGACTGTGAATATAAAAAAGGTTGATGAAAGAATTATTTAGTGTTTTTTTTCTTATTTTACAGCAAGAATGGTGTACAGGTTTTTCTGATGGCTATCATAAAATGATCATGACCTTGACAGACAGTATAACCTTGAACTCAAATGACCCATGCCAACAATTCAGCCTTTCACAGGTCAAGGACACTAACTTATTTGTACTGGTCTTAAGAAATCGTGAGAAATTTAAATGTCAGGACTCTAGTTATAAGGTATGTTGTATTATTCATGTAAATGATAAGGGACAAAAAGTAGTGGGACTATCCTCTTCAATCTGGCATTGGCATTAACACCAGCGTCAGCTTCAGCGTAACACCTTGGTCAATGTATTTCATTTGTGTGCCAGGTGTTATCTCTACTGTAAATTTTATGAAGGGAATGGGTTGAAACTTCACACACTTATTTGAGAGCATAATAAGAGGTCAATGTTTAAAGTGTATAAAACTAACATAGGTTTTGACAGAATTATTGCCCTTTTTAAATCTATATTATCCAGGCTCTTGCTATACTATCAAGCACTGAGAATAGTCGAGCATGCTGTCCCACTGACAGCTCTTGCTTTCTGAGAAGCTTTTTTAGTATGGGAATATGCTGCAAACTTTTAATCTATGGTTCTTATCAATACATACAGTATACGGGTATATGGTAGAATTCATATGACTAGCACCTTAACTTTCAAAACTATTACCATTTTGAACTTAAAATTTATATAAAAATTGTTAATTTTGTGTTACTTGCTCATGGTGTCTTTTTTCTTTTAAACTTTACCTAGTCCTCTAACTTAGAGGACATGGAGTCTTAACAATAGAGTTTTGCCTTTCCATTTCCTGCCTTGGCACTAATCCTGAACAATTTACATTGAAAATCATTGACCAATGTGGCAGTTTTGGGAAACGTTCACAGTCTTAAGCGTTATTTCTTGTTATGTTGGAAAGTAAATTGTTTATTTCATTGTTTGTTATAGGTGTTAATAAGTATCTCAGAATTCCAGTGTGGTGACTTGTTTTTTTACTGAAAAAATGTCATTTCACAGGGGATTGGTTATGGAAAGTTTGACCAAACTTCAAGAATAATAACAAATTGAACATGAATCACCACACTGTTTAGTCACTATCAATTCAACATATGATATTAAAGATTTCAAGTAGATCTTCAAAATGCCTTTTATATAAATCCAAATAATATAAATTAAGTATCATTAATAGACATTAATTGAAAATATAATAAAAAAATTACATTAATTATCTCAATATAAGATTATATTTGATCAAAACATGACATTGTTGTAGTGTGTATTAAACATAAATTCAAATTAATATGTTGTAAATTCTTAGCAAATACACTGTGTGTATCCCATAATGCTTGAATGTGAAAAAGACAAGGAAATTGTGTAATAGATCTCATTCTGTTAAATATATGGTCATAAGGAGCAATACATTTGAACAAATATATTTTATAGTAATCAAACTGAAAGAAATGAATCAGAGCATATGGCTTATAAGAATTATGTTTTAACCCGCGTTTCAAACATTTTCAGAAAAATGTTTACTTTTCAAGATCATTTCTGAAAATGACATGCTTTACTCTTGTGTTTGAGGAATTATGGAAAAGGGTCTGAAAATTGGAATTGCAAGTACCACACAGACAAGTTAGACAGCACCATCATGAATTCAAGACTGGTTCTATGCTTGTCATATTTATATTTCTTGGTTATCTACACAAACACTTGAAGAATAAACAATATGAAAGTTTCTTAGCAGTTTCACTTAAAAACAATCCATTGGATGTGATAAATTGATCTTTGTTACAAGCATGCCTTTTCAACTTGTTATTAAATGTTTGTTCATGAGAGATGAGAGGCTTCTTGAATGAGTCTGTTCATGCCCTTGAGCTAAATTTACAAATATTGCAACAAACAATTAAATCAAGGAAAATGCCATCACAGACTACTAAATTCTATTTGGATAGTTCTATACAGTATACTAAAATATGAAGTGTATACATTGCCATTGAAATACTGCTTGATTGATTGTGTTTGTGAGATCACACTTTGTTAAGTCTGTTCATGAGATACTGCTTTGTTGAGTCTGTTCATGAGATGCCTGATTATGTCTGTTCATTAAATACTGCATAATTGAGTCTGTTCATGAGATACTGCTTGATTGAGCCTGTTCATGAGATACTGTTTTGTTGAGTTTGTTCACGAGATACTGCCTGATTGAGTGTGTTCATGAGATACTGCATAATTGAGTCTGTTCATGAGATACTGCTTGATTGAGCCTCTTCATGAGATACTGCTTTGTTGAGTTTGTTCATGAGATACTGCCTGATTAAGTCTGTTCATGAGATACTGCTTGATTGAGACTGTTTATGGGGGTACTGCTTGATTTAGTCTGTTCATGAGATACTGCTTGATTGAGCCTGTTCATGAGATACTGCTTTGTTGAGTTTGTTCATGAGATACTGCCTGATAAAGTCTGTTCATGAGATACTGCTTGATTGAGTCTGTTCATGAGATAATGCCTGATTGAGACTGTTCATGAGATACTGCTTGATTGAGACTGTTAATGAGATACTGCCTGGTTGAGTCTGTTCATGAGATACCTGATTGAGTCTGTTCATGAGATACTGCTTGATTATGTCTGTTCAAGAGATACTGCCTGATTAAGTCTGTTCATGAGATACTGCTTGATTGAGTCTGTTCATGAGATACTGCTTTGTTGAGTTTGTTCACGAGATACTGCCTGATTGAGTCTGTTCATGAGATACTGCCTGAATGAGTCTGTTCATGAGATACTGCTTTGTTGAGTTTGTTCATGAGATATTGCCTGATAAAGTCTGTTCATGAGATACTGTCTGATTGAGTCTGTTCATGAGATAATGCCTGATTGAGACTGTTCATGAGATACTGCTTGATTGAGGCTGTTTATGAGATACTGCCTGGTTGAGTCTGTTCATGAGATACCTGATTGAGTCTGTTCATGAGATACTGCTTGATTATGTCTGTTCAAGAGATACTGCCTGATTAAGTCTGTTCATGAGATACTGCTTGATTGAGTCTGTTCATGAGATACTGCTTTGTTGAGTTTGTTCACGAGATACTGCCTGATTGAGTCTGTTCATGAGATACTGCCTGATTGAGTCTGTTCATGAGATACCGTGGCCGAGTGGTTAAGGTCGTTGACTTCAAACCACTTGCCCCTCACCGCTGTGGGTTCGAATCTGACAGGGACTTTGGATTCTTTCATGTGAGGAAGCTATCCAGCTAGCTTACGGCACGTCGGTGGTTCTACTCAGGTGCCCGTTCGTGCCTGAAATAATGCACGGAAGGGCACCTGAGATCTTCCTCCACCAGTAAAGCTGGAACTTCGCGATATGACCTATACTGTGTCGATGTGACGTAAAACCCAAAACAAACAAACAAACAATTCATGAGATACTGCCTGATTGAGTCTGTTCATGAGATACTGCCTGATTGAGTCTGTTCATGAGATACTGCTTTGTTGAGTCTGTTTATGAGATACTGCTTGATTGAGTTTGTTCATGATACTGCCTGATTGAGTGTGTTTCTGGGGGACTACTTAATTGTCTGTTCCCAGGATACTGCTTGATTGTTACTGTCTGCTTGATTGTGTCTGTCCCTGGGATACTGCTTGATTGTGTCTGTCCCTGGGATACTGATTGATTGGGTCTGTTCATGAGATACTGCTTAGTTGAGTCTGTTCATGAGATACTGCTCTGTTGAGTCTGTTCATGAGATACTGCCAGATTTAGTCTGTTCATGAGATACTGCTTGATTGAGTCTGTTCATGAGATACGGCTTGATTGAGTCTGTTCATAAGATAATGCCTTATTGAGTCTGTTCATGAGATACTTCTTGATTGAGACTGTTTATGAGGTACTGCTTGATTGAGTCTCTTCATGGATACTGCTTGATTGAGTCTGTTCATGAGATACTGCTTGATTGAGTCTGTTCATGAGATACTGCCTGATTGAGTCTGTTCATGAGATACTGCTTTGTTGAGTCTGTTCATGAGATACTGCTTTGTTGAGTCTGTTCATGAGGTACTGCCTGATTGTGACTGTTCATGAGATACTGCTAAAATTGTGTCTTTTCATGATTGAGTCTGTTTCTGGGGTACTACTTAATTTTCTGTTCCCAGGATACTGCTTGATTGAGTCTGTTTCTAGGTTACTGTCTGCTTGATTGTGTCTGTCCCTGGGATACTGATTGATTTACTTTGTGCATGGCGTTTCCTTGATTATACCCCCGCACAACAAAGTTGTAAGGGGGGTATACTGGAATCAGCTTGTCCGTCCGGCTGTCCGGCCGTCCGTCGGTTTTTTCTTGTCCGCCCAATAACTTAAGATATCTTTGACCCTTAGTCTTCATATTTGGCATGGAGGTTAGTCATGATTAGTAGATGACCCCTATTGATTTTGAGGTCACTAGGTCAAAGGTCAAGGTCACAGGGGCCTTGACTTCAAAAACCTTGTCCGCCCAATAACTTAAGATTCCTTTGACCTACAGTCTTCATATTTGGCATGGAGGTTAGTCATGATTAGTAGATGACCCCTATTGATTTTGAGGTCACCAGGTTTAAGGTCAAGGTCACAGGGGCCTTGACTTCAAAAACCTTGTCCGCCCAATAACTTAAGATTCCTTTGACCTACAGTCGTCATATTTGGCATGAAGGTTAGGCATGATAAGTAGATGACCCCTATTGATTTTGAGGTCACTAGGTCAAAGGTCAAGGTCACAGGGGCCTTGACTTCAAAAAGCTTGTCCGCCCAATAACTTAAGATTCCTTTGACCCATAGTCTTCATATTTGGCATGGAGGTTAGTCATGATTAGTAGATGACCCCTATTGATTTTGAGGTCACTAGGTCAAAGGTCAAGGTCACAGGGGCCATGACTTTAAAAAGCTTGTCCGCCCAATAACTTAAGATTCCTTTGACCCATAGTCTTCATATTTGGCATGGAGGTTAGTCATGATTTGTTGATGACCCCTATTGATTTTGAGGTCATCAGGTCAAAGGTCAAGGTCGCAGGGGCCTTGACTTCAAAAAACTTGTCCGCCCAATAACTTAAGATTCCTTTGACCCATAGTCTTCATATTTGGCATTGAGGTTAGACATGATTAGTAGATGACCCCTATTGACATTGAGGTCACCAGGTCAAAGGTCAGGGTCACAGGGGCCTTGACTTCAAAAAGCTTGTCCGCCCTATAACTTAAGATTCCTTTGACCCACAGTCTTCATGTTTGGCATGGAGGTAAGTCATGATTAGTAGATGACCCCTATTAATTTTGAGGTCACCAGGTCAAAGGTCAAGGTCACGGGGACTTTGACTTCAAAAAGTTTGTCCACCCATTTACTTAAGATTCCTTTGACCCACAGTCTACATATTTGGCATGGATGTTGATCATGACTATAAGGTGACCCCTATTGACTTTCAGGTCACTGGGTCGAAGGTCAAGGTCACAGGGACCTTGACAAAAAAAGCTTTTCTTCTCAATTGCTAAAGAATGTCCTGTCCGCAATGTATTGATTTTGACATTTTCACATTTTAAGCTTGTAGAATACATAACTTAGCAATGCACTGGCTTAGTAACCTCAGATTTGGCAGGGAGGTTGTCCTTGAGCTCTAAATGGCCACTGTTGATTCTGACAAAGTGGTATGCGGGGGTATTCACGCCAAGATAGTGGCAGTTCTAGTTCTAGTTGAATCTGTTTGTAAAAGTCCACTTGATTGGGTCTGTTCACAAGATACCTCTTGTCTGTTTCTGGGATACTGCTTGATTGAGTATGTTCATCCTGATTGAGACTGTTCCTCGGATACTGCTGGTTGTTCACACAATGATTCTGTTCATGGGATACTGCTTGTTTGAGTCTGTGTGAATAAGTCTGTTCATGATGTACTGCTTGATTTAATCTGTTCACAAGTTTATGCGTTATAGAGTCTATCCATGAGAGACTGTGTGAATGAGTCGAGATCTATTCTTAAGAGACTGCTTGTTTGAATTTGAGATGCTGCTTAACCAAATCTGTTTATTGGACACTGCTGTTGATTTTAAAATTGCATTTTTATGCCATGTTATTTTTACAGTTTTGTACCTTTTCAGATATGGTGCAAGATTAATGCACATGATTGTAGATCTATCAAAAAATAAGATTATTTAAGTAGAATAATTATTCTTGTGTTGTTGAAGTTGTTCAGAAAGAAAAATTACATCAGTAAACATGTTTTTGGTATTTGTTATGAAATACTGATCAATCCTTTTTTTATAACATATTTTTTTGGAACATACCCAATAGTGGGCAAAATTAATACTTGCTCCCATCTAAATAAGGTTCATGTACACACCACAACATTACATTTATATTATATAATATTATTTTTTATCTTAAATATATTATATACAACCTCTATACTGTTTACCACCAGTGGCCTTCACTTCAGGATGCAGGATTGTTCCATGAAAATGATAAAAATCCTGTTGGATTTCCTCTATGTACACAGGTCTGTTCTTTCTAGAATTACAAGAAACACATCAAAGAAAAGTTAGTTCTTGAATAAATTTATAATGTTTATAGATATAAGTTTTTTTGGGACTTACAACTTTTTTCTAGTTGCTAAGATAAAACTGTACCAGGCAATTTGTATGGTTTTGGAAGATGACTGGTTCACTGTTTAGGGTTTCACTGTATAGGGAAATAACCACATGGTTGTGTGTCAGACTGGAAGCAGCAACCTGATATGGTGTTAATAAGCACTGATAATTATGAAGAATAGGCTTCAATTTCCTTTTTCAGCAATGTTCAAACTGTCAACCTGCCATCTATAACCCTGTGTATCAACTTTCAATCCCAAGATGTACAGTTTGTGAGGTGAACAGAACCTTGACCAGTTGCCAGTGCCAGTGCTTTTGTGATACAGATTTGGACACTTGCCATGGACAGTTCAATACACATTTAAACAATTTTCCAACTCGGTCCTGCTTCTGTAAGTGTTGTAAATATTTTACTCTTATTTCTTTAATTTTCCATATACAGTCAGGGATTATTTTTGGCTTGTTTTATAGCCAATATCCGGTCATATTCCCAAAATAAAAATATTAAAATGCAAATTCTGAAATCTTTGAAAATAAGGGCTTCTTCACTGTTAATATTGTGCTTAAATTTTGAAGATACCATCTTTGCATTAATTTAGTCACTGCAAAATTAAGTCATGCATTTGTTCCCCAATTTTTTTACAAAACATTGCTGAAATATCCAATTCCATTGGTATTTGTAATGTTCCCAAAATCCTGACTGTAATACAGTCAAATCTATGAACAATGGCCATCCAAAGAGACACCAAGCATGACCTTTATAGACAAGTGGTCTTTATTTAGAGGTTACTCTGTTTTGCTTAATCAATTTAGGTTTGTCAAAGATAGGTCTTTATCATGCACAAGGTGATCCTTAACACAGGGTTTTTTACTGTATAACTAGTCTCAATGAATTTAGAGTAAGTTACAGAACAATCTTGATTCTCTCATAATATTTCCTCCTTTCATGATTTACAAGTTTTGTCTGCATCACTTTATTGAAGTTTTATGAAAATTAAATAACTTAAGAGATATCAATTCATTGATTATTTACAAAAAGATTAACAAGAGCCAGCTGAAGTTTTGAAATGAATTTGACCGAAGCTTTTCTTTGATTGCGAATTAAGGGGATTTATCAAAAGATAACCAATTGATCCAGCAGTGTAGAGCCTGGTCAAACTGAACAGATGTACAGGCTAGCCTGGCTTTATACTGGTGGCACAAACTTGAATCACTTAAAAGTTCCAGGAGGTTATAGTTGAATATACTAACTTTTGAAGAAATTATTCAAATTCTAAGTGACGAATATATATTCTTTAATATATACTTTGATTTTCTAGATTCACCAAATTATAGAACAGAATTTGCTCCAAGTTCTCCCTCACAAATGACAAATATTGACAGGTGCCCAATACCTTGTGTAGCCATGTAAGTATTACTTAGCTGACCAAGACTTTACAATTAGTGAAGGTGGCCAATACTTTGTGTAACAATGCAAGTTTGATTGCTTATCAAACCATCAGGAGGCTCGGTTTTCAAGTCTTCATAGTTTTTCACTTTAAGCATTTTCTTCAAATATCTGATAAAAAAAATGATCCCTCTGAAGCACTAAAAAATGCAAAATTACATGATAATTGCAGACATGTTTTGATTGAGACTGTACTTGAGGGATTCAATGTAATGAAAAAGTGCAACATCCCTTACACCCCCTAGCACTTGCTTCAAAGGTATTCAATTCTCAACACTTAAAAGTGCTGGACACAATGATCCCAAAGAACCAGAAAAATATAACAACACTGAAGAAACTTAGCCAACAGCTTTCAAGGATTTAAGTAGGGATATGAATTGCATTCAGCAATAGATCTGATGGTTCTGTTTATCAACACTCCTTATCCTTGTTGAATTTGTATTTGTTGTTTAGAATTCAAAACTGTTCAGGGATTTCAGTATCAAAATGATATAAATGAGCAGTGAACAATGGAAACTTGTAAGGCTACAAGGGTGTAAATAAAAAAGTGGCCTGGCCATAATACTGATGATATAGAAATTGGTCAATGCTTCTAATTAGTACTATAAGAAATTTGATGAAAAAGATATATAGATAAGATTCAGGTTTTTTTTTATAAATACAGAATTTATTTTCATCGAATGGCAAGAAAATAAATATTTCATGAGTGTATTTATCTTTAACCTATGAATTTCTAAATGCCAGTAACTTCATTCGGGGTCTCACTCAAGTGTAATACAAACTTTCTTCTGTTTGGTCATATTTGTCCATGTGATATGTCAGCATTAAATATTGAAAAATATATACATGCAGAGATATTTAATAAATTCATTATCACCGCTTGCCTTATATTCAAAGATATACAACTGTTTTCTTAAAGGTGGAAAAAACAACATGTTTTGTTTACTATGTTTAACTAAAGAGGATCTGTGCATGTGGTACATGTACTAAAAAACTGTCTCAATATAGAAAAATATATACAGATATATAATAAAATTCATTATCACCACTTGTTTTCAGAGATATAAAACGGCAGTCTTAAAGGTGTTAAAAAAAACATGATTTGTTTTCTTATGTTTAACTTTCACTTTTTTGTGTCGCCTCTACGGAGTAGTGGCGACATATAGGGATCACTTCTCCATCGTCTGTCTGTCCTTCTGTCTGTCCGTCTGTCCGTCACAAAACTTGTCCGGACTACTCCTCATAAACTATTGGTGCAATTTCATCCAAACTTTACAGGAATAATCAGTACCAAGGGTAGTTGTGCATATTGTCAGCATTTTCCGGTTCAATGATTTTTGGCAGAGTTATGGCCCTTTAATAATTATGTCTCCCCCACCTCGGGGGGAGACATATTGTTTTTGCCCTGTCCGTCCGTCAGTCCGTCCGTCAGTCCGTCCGTCCGTCAGTCCGTCCGTCCGTCCGTCCGTCCATTCTTCGTTTCCGGACGATAACTAGAGTTCCTTTTGACCTACAGCTCTCAAACTTCATAGGATGAATGGTCTTATTGAGCAGATGATCCCTATTGTTTTTGGGGTCAGTAGGTCAAAGGTCAAGGTCACAGTGACCGTTGGTCAATTTCTCGTTTCCGGACGATAACTAGAGTTCCTTTTGACCTACAGCTCTCAAACTTCATAGGATGAATGGTCTTATTGAGCAGATGATCCCTATTGTTTTTGGGGTCAGTAGGTCAAAGGTCAAGGTCACAGTGACCGTTGGTCAATTTCTCGTTTCCGGATGATAACTCGAGTTCCTTTTGACCTACAGCCCTCAAACTTCATAGGATGATTGGTCTTATAGAGCTGATAATCCCTATTGTTTTTGGGGTCAGTAGGTCAAAGGTCAAGGTCACACTGACCGTTGGTCAATTTCTCGTTTCCGGATGATAACTAGAGTTCCTTTAGACCTACAGACCTCAAACTTCATAGGATGATTGGTCTTATTGAGCAGATGATCCCTATTGTTTTTTGGGGTCAGTAGTTCAAAGGTCAAGGTCACAGTGACCGTTGGTCAATTTCTCGTTTCCGGATGATAACTAGAGTTCCTTTTGACCTACAGCCCTCAAACTTCATAGGATGATTGGTCTTATAGAGCAGATGATCCCTATTGTTTTTGGGGTCAGTAGGTCAAAGGTCAAGGTCACAGTGACCGTTGGTCAATTTCTCATTTCCGGATGATAACTAGAGTTCCTTTTGACCTACAACCCTCAAACTTCATAGGATGATTGGTCTTATTAATCAAATGATCCCTATTGTTTTAATGGTCAGTAGGTCAAAGGTCAAGGTCACAGCGACCGTTGGTTAATTTCTCCTTTCCGGATGATAACTAGAGTTCCTTTAGACCTACAACCCTCAAACTTCATAGGATGATTGGTCTTATTGAGCAGATGATCCCTCTTGTTTATGGGGTCAGTAGGTCAAAGGTTAAGGTCACAGTGACCATTGGTCATTTTCTCATTTCCGGATGATAACTAGAGTTCTTATCAGTGAGGACATTTAACTATTATTGATATATCAGTGATATATCAGTTGTCTGGTTTTATATACTCTGTTCTTTTATCTCCATTTCCATTCCTGTTTCCATTCACAGTTATTCTCAGCAGTGGGGGAGACATGCGCTTTTTTACAAAAGCATCCTCTAGTTTTTAATTTTAAAGTTTGTCCGGACTACTTCTCTTATACCACTAAAGCAATTTCAATGAAATATTACAGGATTGATCTGTAGCTTAAGTCCTTGCGCATATTTGCAAGGGTTTCCCGGTTGAATGATTTTTGGCTGAGTTATGGCCCTTTGATATAAAAGATGTATTTTTCTGTGTGTTGCCAGATACACAAAAGCTTGTCCGGACTACTCCTTATAAACTACTGGTGCAGTTTCATCTAAACTTTACAGGAATGATCAGTACCAAGGGTAGTTGTGCATATTATCTGCATTTTCCGGTTCAATGATTTTTGTCAGAGTTATGGCCCTTTTATAATTTTTATTTTTAAAGTTTGTCCGGACTACTTCTCTTATACCACTAAAGCAATTTCAATGAAACTGTACAGGATTGATCTGTAGCTCAAGTCCTTGCGCATATTGCACGGGTTTTCCGGTTGAATGATTTTTGGCCGAGTTATGGCCCTTTGATAAAAAGGTGTTTTTTCTGTGTGTTGCCAGATACACAAAAGCTTGTCCGGAGTCTACTCTTCATAAACTACTGGTGCAATTTTACCCAAACTTTACAGGAATGATCAGTACCAAGGGTAGTTGTGCACTGTCCGTCTGTCTGTCCGTCTGTCACAAACTTTGTCCCAACATGAAATTGGCTATCATGAGGCGACACATGTGATTACTGATCGCTCTTGTGTTTAGAGAGGATCTAGATGTATGCGATGGACTTGCGCATTGTAAAGCCAGTTCTGATAATTACCCAACATGCATCTGGAAAGATGATGATGAACTGAAATCGGTGAATATATCCAGGTATTTCCCTACAAAATCTCCACCAAGACCTCCAGTACCATCTACCACTGGTGAGTAGTTACCTAAATTTATCACATGAAACCCTTGATTTGAATATGTAAAATTAAACCTTTGATTTCAATAAACTTTGTAGTATAATAAGGGCTGTACGAATTTTTGAAGATTTTTATATTCATACATTATATTTGAATATTCATATCATGCAGTTTGTTCTGAGCTAAAATGTTTCTTTCTCCTATATTTTGTCCAAAATTATTTACGTCTAAATACCATGTTATTTCAATTATCTTAGAATATATATATATATCTAAAGTTAGAGTAGAAAACTATATTAAGTTAAAGTATTACTCAACCTTGGTTATTCATTTTTGTCAATTTCAGTGCATTTATTACTTTTTGAATGATCTGACGTAGGAAATGTTTACAACTACATTTACAATGGATTGTTAAAATCTCTTGTGCTTGAAATACTCAAAAAACAGGAAAAAATACTTTTTTTCCTGTTGTAGGTTTAGAAAAGATAACATGTATTTGTTTTTCCACACTTAGGTGGCCTAAAGCCATTACTGACTACTTCTGATGGACCTTTCTCACGGCCGCATCAGTTACCTAGCAACAAACCACCTGTAGCTTCTACGTCTGCTTCAGCATTTTTCCCGCCACAGAAGCCGCCAACACAGCCGTCTGCTGACAAAACGTATGATACCAGTAACATTTTGTTTTATTTATAACGACAAAGATGATTACATGGAAAGTTGTTTTGTTTGTTTATTTGTTTTAATGCAGCAGTTGACACATTTGGGCAAACATGTATTTAGGCAGTTGGGTTGAGGTGTCAATATTTTAACACTTAGAACATTTTGGTAAAAAATTTCAATGTCTTTAAGATGTGACCCTTGGGCCCCAAATGTTACTTTAACTTTAAGTTGTACATGAAAATTCATAAGAAGTTTGTTATTTAGGAAATAGATATCAATTCAGAGTGCATTGTTTGAGTTCAAAATGCGTAGGAATAAAATATTATAATCACGAAGGCCAATAGGTCTCAATGATTAATTACAAAGCATTTGAACGAAAAATCGTGCTATTTTATACTACAATGCACGAAGAATTTCCATTCTAACATGTCAAGAAAAAATTTATAGTTAAACTTTTTGTTGGACTATATGTTTGGTGGTGAAATTTGTTTTTGTTTCAGAGTTTCCAGTAGAAACGTTCTTTAAAGTTCTTTAAAAGGTTCTCCTGCAAAAAACTGTTGTTTAGTTAACCATTTTCAAAAACATTTTGAGAATTATGAATTTTGAAAATGTTGATGAATTTTTGTTTTGTTATTTTATTTCACTTTATATTTTTCAAATGAAATACAATGTTTAGAGTATTAATAGTAAAATAAAAGTGTGATATTTAACTGGTTTGCGACTTTTCATTGGTTTGAAATAAATCATGCTTCCCACCTTTTTTGTTTATATAAGAGAAATCTCTGATACAGTGTTAGAATTAATGTCATTTAGTTTGAACAGATACCCATTTTGTTTATGTAAACACCTTGTTTTGATATGACGTTCTACATGTTATGATGGCTAGGTTGTTTACTAAAAACTTTACAATATTTTTCTAAATAAAGATCTCAGCCAGATATCAATTTAACAGGTTTATTCTATTTTCAGCACAACAACAAATTTAACACCCCCTGTGTTTCATTCAACAAAACAAACATCAGTGGTAGCACCAGTGACGAGCGGTTCTGTAATCCATCCCGTTAGCGGATCAAAAATGTCATCACGAGTGACTGATTTACAAACTAAAGCTTCGGGTCCGTTGCAGACAGGATCAACAACAATAGCAGTGAAATCTTCTGATAAAAGGTACAATCTTACAGTTCTCCCCGCGGGAACCGCGTCCTTGGCCCATTCTGTTGTAATCAGAAAATTTGTTTCTTAAAACACACTGAATGCCACAAAATACTGTTTCTTCCATTAAAGTGAAAGTGGAAGTGCTGCTTTTTGTGAATTTGGATAGAAATTGTTAGAAATATTTTCATTTCAAATGAAATCTGTCATTGATAGGAAAATCCAAAGCTGCCTGCATGTGTTGAAAATACTGTTCTTTATTTTACCCATATTTTAACAGTTAAACTGATAATTTCATGTTCTGAAGTGAAGGTTGTCTGCTGAAACTGTAGTGAAATCATATTTTGTTAAAAGAATTATATATACTGAAGCCATAAAGGGCCATCAATTTACATACCACAGTAACATAGTGCTCTCAATTTAAGCTCCCATTCAAAACATGGCATACTGACCATAGATGTTTCTAATTTAAATCATTGAGTTATTCTATGAATGACGTGTGTATTTTAATGTCAAGATGCGACAGTTAAACACAATTCAATAAAATAGTAAATACAAGTTCTTTTTATTTGTACAATTTCCTGGAAATAATAAGAACAATGATACCATAGGGGACCATCCTACATAATGGCATAACCTACAAAAACTTGTTAGGATACAAAAATAATTGGATCAAAATAAAGATCAATTTTAGGATCAGGATCAATATTTGAATCAACTGTAAAATGCCCATATTTTTTTAAATAACAAAACTCTTTTTATGAAATTTCATAAACATGCTGTTCAAATCCTTATTAGATATTAAATTTTTAAATATGATCTTTATAATGAATCATAGTGAACATGAGGTGAGGCTTTATAGTGGTGGCAAAAACAACATAATGGGTTTGTGACCAGCATGGATCCAGACCAGCCTGCACATCTATCAGTTTCTCTACTTGTTATAGGGTCTGTAAGCAAACAGCATGGATCCTGATCAGACTGCGTGGTCGCAAACCCATTATGTTGGTTTTGTCATGACGTGGCTCATATTTCTTTTCTTGTCAATTTTGCTAATGGTCATCAGAGAATAATTAAAGAACATGTATTAAGAATTCATCACATTGTTTAATTTTAATATCTACATGTATAAGCCTTATGAATAATTAAGGTACAGAATTTAGCATTACAGTTTAATTGTTTGAGAAGTAGTTAAACTATCCTTCTCCCCCATGCATCAGCATACATCTTGATTAGGGTCTTGCATGCAACTTCATGTATCTTGACTATTTTCTGCTGAATTCTAGTACATGTATATAATTGTAGGTCATTTAACAAGGACCATAAGTGCTTGAAATTTTACTGAATTTTGTTACTCCATTTAACCACAACAACTGAAAACTTCATACATGTTGATCATATTTGTTTTTCACCAGCCAAGGCCCATAACTCTTGTTTTTCTAATAGATTACATTTGTATGTAAATTATGTTTTAAATTGATTTTAGATTTGCTGACTTGTCTACAAACATCCCCTTTTCACTTTTACAAAATTTGTGCTTGTATATATTATATGTTTTTGCTACATAATTTAGTTATATATTTTATTGAATCTTATTTTGTTACAGTTCTAGTGATTCAGATAAAGGTTTAAGTGGTGGCGCTATTGCTGCGTTGGTAATTGGTCTTCTTGCTCTGGTAGCTATAATTGTGTTTATAGCTGTGAAGATGTACAATAAAAAGTTCAGGAGACCAGGAGCTGATGGTATGATGCAATCAGTTTTTAACAAAAAAAAAAAAATCTGCATCTGCACAGTCTGATCAGGATCCATGCTGTTTGCTTACAAACCCTATTACAATTAGAGAAACAGCGAACAGCATTGGTCCTGATCAGACTGCGCGAATGCGCATGCTGGTCTGGATTCATGCTGGTTGCAAACACACTATCTTGGTTTTGTCATGGCGCAGCTCAAATTACAGTTTTACTAATTGTTGGATTGAAGATTGTTTCTAAAAGTAATAGGACTGAGCATTTTATGTCCTCAATTAAAAATTTACATACATACATTTAATTGTTTTGTTTTTTTTATTTGAAAGAACTTTAAATGTTTTTTCAATACATGTATTTGTGTACCATTTAATGTTTTGTGTACCATTTAAAATATATCTAGACAAATTACTTTTTGTGCACATTTTCAAATCATTTCCTCTCCGTTTTTCTAAAATCATCATTTAAATTGTGCAAAATTACCAAAATATGAAAAGCATTGCAATTCCAAGCATATTTCTTTATTATCCCTTGCAGATTTTACCATTTTAATTGCTTCACTTGATCTATATAAGAATCTAAAATTTAAAATTTTAGGCTTTTTTACCTTAGTGAAGTTCCTTTAACAAGGGACACATATCCAAACTTTTTCTCTTTATACAGAGAAAGAAAAACATGTTTATAAATAACAGCTGTGTGGAAATTACAAGTACAAGGGGTTATGTATTATTGTCTGCGATTTTGAAACACAATGTCGACACTAAATTTATGCTGTACCGTATATATATTTTCTAGAATTACTTTTTACACTCTCCCAATATTGTGTCGAGTCCCTGTGGGGAGAGCATTGAACCATGAATTGGGAGACCCAGGTTTGTTTGCCGGATGGTGCAGGTTATTTTTGTTTTGATTGATCATGAAATCTTTTCTTCGGTCTTTTGCACTGAACCTCTGCTCTGGTATATACAGAAGTTTCAGTTCCATACGAAAGTGAAGGCAACTTATACTAGTAAACTGCTTGACAGCCTGCCAAGGAACGATGCACTGGCTGAAATGTGCTTTGGTAAATTCAGTGTGGCTTTCTACTGTGATCCAGAGTAAAAAATACAAACACCTCACCCACAAAATTTGCATAACAGATTGACCAACGGAATGATGTTTTGGGGCTATTTTAGTCAAACATAAAAACATCTATATATACACCTGTTGTTGTAATGATGATCCCCGAGCATAAAAACATGTTTTGATGTAAAAATTATTTATTATCTTATCAGGGCTAGTTTGTTCAGAATATTTTTGTTTTTCTTTCATATTTTGTTTTTGTTTTGGATGTTTACTTAGTCAGCTGATTTAGTTAAAAAAAAAATTATGAAATTGTCATGGCAATAATTAATTTGAGAAATGGTTAGTAACAGTAGGATGGTCTGCTTATTTTCTTTATCTGTTTGTCAATGTCATGTGACTTTCAGCAGGGGTGTGGAAATGTGAATTTTTACCACTTGCCCACAGAGAAGTTGGACAGAAATGTTTACTTGTCGCAGTTTAACTTTACTTGCCCATATAGAATACAAAACATTGGACATACGTTTAAATGAAAGTTTATGAGAGGTGACAGTGTCCTTGCATAGTTAGATGTGAACAGATTTCCCTGCATAAAGACCACACATCATTTCTGTAGTTTGAGTAAACATTCTATTTAATATTATAGACGTTGAAATATGAAATCTTTTTAGTCCCCTACCGGTTTACCGGAGGGGACTTTAGGTTTACCCTCCGTCCATCTGTCTGTCAGTCCGTACGAACCCAGAGGTACTTGTGTGACTTGGAGAACAATGGGTAACAGTAAATTCTCTTTGATCCTATTCATTCTGTTTTTACTTGTATGTCTTTTTTTAAGCCTTGTGTGACTAAAAATGGCCAAACAGATCAAAGGAAAAGTCACATAAGTACCATTTTGTGAGTAGATCCGTCTGTCCACAAAACTGGATCCCGCAATAATGCAAAAAGTACTGAAAATATTTTTATGAAACTTGATAGAATCTATATGGATAGATGGCAGTTATGGAGATTATGCACGTCTTTTTCTTTTCTTCCTATGTTGAAAATTCTGGTTGATATAACAACAAATAGACTGAAAATATGGCAAATTTTCAAACATAAAAATGCAAAAAGTACTGAAAATATTTTATTTGAAACATTGGTAGATGGCAGTCTGGAGATTATGCATGTTTTTTTCTTTTTTTCCTTTTTTGAAAAAATTGGTTGCCATGGCAACAAATGGGCTTAAAACATGGCAAATATAACAATATTTGAGATTAGTCAAAAAAAGCTCAAATTTTTTTATGATTGAAACTTAAAATATGGATAGATGGTAGAATGGAAATTATATACATCATTTTAATCTTGACTATAGGGAGTATATTGATAACTGTCATACTTAACAAATGTCGGCAACCTCGTCAAGATTTCTGATTCTAGTTTTTAGGCTTTCTTCACTATAAGTTCTTTATTTCTTAAGGTATTTATTTCAAACTTCAAACATAAGTGTCTGGTCATCAACCACATCATATGTGACAATGTTTACAACTCTTGCACAAAAATTATCAGAATTGCCTCCCTTGAACTTAGAATTTTCATGAAAAAAAATGATTTTTTTTAATAGTTTCTTTATTTCTTAATGTATCTTCTTCAAGTATCATATATATGTTTCCTATTATCACTTAAATCATTTGTGAGAATGTTCAATACTCTAGCAAGACTATTTCCAGAATTATGTCCTCCTTGAACTTAGATTTTTTTTCGAGAAATTGGTATATTTTACTCCAACTTCTTCATTACTTATAGGATTTACTTCAAACTCCCACATCATAATAATATGACAAGGTTTATAAATCTAGCATCCATATTTCCAGAATTATATCCTCCTTATTAAAGTTTGAATTTTTCTAATTCATTCTTTAAACTGTCTTTTACTTCAAATTCAAAATAAACATTCATTATGAACAGCTTTATTACTAATTGTTCTTTGTTAATACTCACATCATGTATGACGTCTTGCATCTTTATTTCAAGATTTATCTTCTCTTTAAGAATTTTGCTTTTATATGTTATATTTTGGTAACAGGGATGTTCAAAAAATTAACTGTAGAGTGTCCCTCAGTCCGTCTGTCTGTTCATAAAAAACTGTTTCCTGTGATCACTTTTAAATATTTTTTCCAACAAATTTACTTAAAATAGAGAAAATATTGAAACATTAGTGAATGGCCAATGGCCCTTCAGAATGTTGCTGGGATTCTAACTGGTAGGGGACTTCTGGATTGCTTGCAATACTATGATAGTTGCTTGTTGTACAAGCTATTCACAGTATATCAAAATTATGAAAACCCTTGGATGGTTTTTGATAACATTCAAGCACAATTGTTTTTCATATTTACAACCAAGGGATAGGGCATACACTGTACATGATAATTATCGTGATTATAACATGTTTATGAATTTTCAGTACAGAAAATATGTTTCCAAGTTCGTATGAACTCAAAGCTTGTAGTGCATCTGTACTACTGTCAACTTCTGCTTCCAGTAGTTGACCAGTACGGGTGTCTTCTGCTTCTTGGAACTGACCAGTGCTGGTTACAGATGAGGAAAAACGGTCATGACCTCAAGAAGGGCTCAAACCAATGATCCCTGGGTTGATGGTCAGCCACATAATAATAAGAACACAGTTCGTCATGGTTATTTTTAATTTTGATGCAGATATTTACAACTGATTTTGGCTAAATTTACCAAACTGTATAAAATAAATACTTGTTGACCAACCATTACTAAGTTTTTATAATACGTGCATCCTTTGCAGAGTGGCCCTCTATAATTATAGTAATCACCTATTCACAACAACAGTATCATTTCTTCCTAAAGTAATAATGCACAATAAAGTCAACTCCTTTAAAGCATCACATCTGAGGAATAACCAAAGTATTTGTCTCCTAAAGGGTGTATCTCTGTAGAGGTTGTACTGTATTTTGTGACTGGCTGTGAATCTTCCCAATTTCACTACGCAGCTTATGGATGTTTTTGTATGTAAAAAAAAGACAATGTGCACAGTAAGCAAAGATGCTCTTAGATGTCCTTTCTCGACAGTTGTCTTAAATCAAATTCATAGAATAGTACATGTATATGGAATTCTTATTCATAGGATTGTACATGTGTGTGGTTATTAATTATATTTTTTCTGCTGAAACTGATTATTGCCTTTGAACAGGTTCTGTTTATTCTGTTAGTTGCTTAATTTTTGTATTTTGATCATTTTGAAATCTGTTAACATTCGATCATGCTGTTCCAAAGAAAATTAATTACAGTATTTCAGCAGGTTAAAATGGATTAATAACAATATATCAACTGAGGTAAAAAAACATAAAACACATAAAATTTTTATATACATCATGTCTGAAAAAATGCAATAGATAATAAAGAAAAGCATACTCAGAGTTCAGTTGAAAATCAATTTGTTGTACAATTCTTATCATTGTTTGAGAGAAAAAGAGTTGAAACGCTTTTCATTTAAGGTGATTTTGCACATTATAAATTATTGTTCTGGGAAAATGGAGTGACAGAATGATTTGAAATTTTGCACACAACAATTTATTAGTCCAGACCTTTCTTTCAAGTATCATATGTTGTCATTATACTAAACAGAATAAGTTTATACAATGTAAATTTCATTTTAAAACTATGATTTGCTTTAAAACATTGCAATGTACTCTGAAGATTTAATTCTTCATTTCAGAATCTGCAAAGTATCGGGCCGGAAGTTCAATGTTTGACAGCACTGTGTTTTTGAGAAATCTCGATCAGGTATCAATAAATGCTTCAGCTCCAAATGCAACCAATGTACCTTATCAAGAAATGACAAACTAAGATGAAATTGATGTGTCAAACTAGTTCACACTTGATTTACAAATTTGAGAAGACAAACTAAGTGCATGGAAGTTTTGTTTTTGCATTGATTTGTCAAAGAAGCGCACACTTGATTTACAAATTTGAAATGACAAACTAAGTGAAATTTTTGTGTTGGAATTGCTGTGTCAAACTAGTTCTTACAAATTAATTCTGGTTACAATAATAATAATAACAATAATAATAATGAAAATTAGAGAATTTATTGAATTTTATCATTTAGAGATTTGTTTAAAAGTAAAGAAGTAGGTTGCATAAGTAATATTTATATGGAAATGTTAAAGCAATTGCTTACATGATTAAAAATGAGCATCTTTTGTTGTTTATTTCATGTTCAGATGGAATTTTAATGTAGAATAAAGTGTATTATAACTTTAACCTAAAATTCATTTTGATATAACAGTTAAGTATTGCCATGTAGCATTAACCCCTTCTACCTAAATATCTTAAATGGACAAACCAAAAAAGAACAAAAACATTCATCATTAAGCCACTTAATAGATTTTGACCAAACTGTATACATGTATTGGAATGATCCATAGATGACCTTCAGCAATTTATCCATTGGCCAAATGACCTCTTTTGTAATTGAAAGTTTTTGGTTAATTAGGACTTTTGTGTCCCAAGGACACATGGGGATAAAAACAACTGCTGAAATGTTTCTTAACCACTTAAAAATTTACACATGAATCAAAAAATGTTTTTTTTTTTTCAGTTTTGACTTATGATGTAATGATATTTCAAGTAGTGCAAATCATATTTGTTTGCCAATTGCTGTGATATTTTGTTATAAGCAAAGAAATCTGTACAAATAAATAGAATTAAAATGATATATATTAAATTGTCTGTCTCGTTTATTTGTTATATTAATGAATAAAACATTTGAGCCGTGTCACGACAAAACCAACATAATGGGTTTGTGACCAGCATGGATCCAGACGAGCCTCTGCGTAGTCTGATCAGGATCCATGCTGTTTGCTTACAAACCCTTTTACAAGTAGAGAAACTAAAAGCGAACAGCATGGATCCTGATCAGGCTGGTCGCAAATGCACTATGTTGTTTTTGTTGTGACGCGACTCATTTTTGATAATGATGAGGATCCATGCTGTTCGCTTACAAACCCTATTACAAGTAGAGAAACTGATAGCGAACAGCATGGATCCTGATCAGGCTGGTCTGGATCCATGCTGGTTGCAAACGCACTTTGTTGGTTTTGCCGTGACGCGGCTCATTTTTTCTTAACAATCATTGAGCTCCTCAAGAGAGAGTTAATAGATTGATGATATGACAGGGTGCCATTTAAAAAGTTTTTAGTAAGAATGCTCCAACCATTTAAGCAGCACCCCTCCAGATTAATGCTTATTTTCATGAAAATTTTGAAAATAAAATAAATTGTATATTACTGTATAGTAACCAAAAGCGATCATTTTACACCATATCAATGGCACTTTCAACCCACTTTCATTTCAAAATTACAATAAGAGGTCAAAATATGCAAAAAAATGCTCTCACTGCGTTAGTAACGCAGTAGAAAAACAGGTACACATAATGAAAAAATTCACCATTAATCGGTCATAACATGTAAATTATCACTTATATCTTGAATCTTTCTATTTTACCTAAAATCTTAGTACATTTTTCACAAGTTTGGCTTATTGAAATATTTTCGCTCATCTGGAGTCATGCTGCTTTAACCTATGGTTAGACTTTGGCGCCAGTATTAAGATGTGCCTGCATGCATATCCGCCCAGTCTGTCAGACTTTATACTGTTGTTAGCTCAGATTTTGCATTTTAATATTGAAATGCCTGATTTTGAAATGAACTGATCCAAATTCAATGCAGGACAAATACGTAATGCATAATACCCATATTAAAGCTGCACGCCTCCATATGAACCAAAATGTTTCAAGAAAAATAAACATATTTTTGCATATTTTAACCTCTTCAGTAACTTACGCGGTTTACAACTTGTAAATTATTTTTCTTTTTCACTTCACAATATTTTACATTAAATTGCAAAATGTATAGCATGGAGCTGGAGGCATGCAGCTTTAAGGCTATTAATGAGACAATTTTAAATACTTCATTGCTGTCAGGGATGTAATTGTAGTACCTGGAACAGCTTCATTTCACATTCCCTTACATGTTAGATAGGTGCTGGAGTGTGAAGACTATTTCATTGGAACATATGGTCCCATGGAGTGCCAATTTAATTGCCCAGGTGCATTATTCTGTCCCAAGTTATGTGATTTGATTGTTTTTACATAAAGAATTTGACTATATAACGTGCATGAAAGAGCACGTTGCTCATTCGAGTTATTGTTAGCTTATGAAACTGAATTTGACATTGACTATGAATCTGGCGTATGTTATTTACACTTCGTCTTGCAATCGGTGAGACCTCCTCGGTCATCGAGAATAGTACACCAGAAGCTATTGCATGAATCATATATTAACATAGCCTTATACAACACTTAAAAGCACTTTATGTAAAAAAAACAGCATATTTATGTAACAAAAACATATGAGTCAACTTTTACATAACTTTATATAAGAAAGGAATATAAACGTACATGCATAGATTCTAATAATTGCATCTCCTAAAGTACGGTTATATTTATACATGCATAACAATTACTCTTAAATGCCACACGTAAAGGTTTGTATCCTAAAATACCTTCAAATTGTGTTTTAACCAAATAATATAAATGTTTAGAAGGATTATGTCTTCTGTAAACAATACAAAAATTCAAGCACTACTTTAGGACCTTTTCGTCTGTATTATGATATTCTTATGCCGGCGTAGCCAAGTCGGCAGTTATTCGGTTCCATAATATTTGGTTCCTTCTAATCAAATTGGTATAAAAGCATGTAAATATCAAAGATATTAAGTTAAAGCATACATTTATAAAGAAATAACATAAACATAACTACATACGCTTATAACAAATTGTAACTGCACAAGACGCTCGCAAATTTGATACAATGTACATGTATCTAGATACATTGTACGGACGATAAGATACAACAATAATTTGCATGTTATGCGCGTTTAATGACTTATTTTGCAGTTTTTACCACCTTAATTAGTTCTACTGCCTGACTAAAGGACTATTTTTGCCATGTTCTGACCACTTATTTTCATAATTTTCATAGCTTTAAGTGTCGTTTGCATTGTGTAAATTACTTTCCTTGTTTATTTGACAATATTTTAATTTTTATTATTTAAAAAAAACAACAACATGAAAATTAGCATGAAACCGGAGCCATATGCTGCTTTAATATCGTCTTGTTTACAAATCCTCTTGTTTTCATATCTTCGCGTTTTCAATATACTTCTCGTGATTTCAATATAATATTCTCTTCTTAAGCGATATATAGCTTTTAGAGCGGCTTTTTAAACCCCCCCCCCTTGTCTAAAATTTGTTTTTAAAAATACTCATTTTTCGGGTGACCCCAACAAAAGCCAGATTTGGACTTGTGAGAAGTTAAAAATTGACCCTTGCATGATCAACGGATAAACGTGTTAAGCAACGCTGAAAATTATTTGACTATATCTCGATCCAGTTGAAAGTTGTAGTACTTTAAAGTCATTTTGATGGAAAAAACTGAACCAAATAAGTGATTATTTAGCAATTTTTAGTGTCCCTGGATAAACTAATGGTAACAGACTTTAGCCTAGAGCATATGTTGCAAAGGCAATGGTCCAGTCAACATTTGTGCCAAGTTTGATTAGTATTGAGGCAGTTTTTATAGTTTTATAGCAATTTGAATTTGTAACGGGAGACTTTTCAACGAAAACAGCAATTTTTCACAAAAGGCTCATGAAGTAATGGGTTAAGATTGATCAGGAATTTGGTCGGTCCCTTTAACCCATGATTTAACATTCTAGATCCGCAAGTGTTTAGCCTTTATCGCCAGCATAGACCCAGACGAGTAACACATACCTGGAGTTTGATTGGAAGCTGAATTATTATATAATGATGCTGAAATGCTGAAAACTTGATTCAAATTATGACCGATTAATTACTCAAATATAGCAAGTTAAGCCAACTGAAGGTTAAGAATAAGTACACGTAGGAAGAAACTTATAAGAAAACACAGATGTATATGCACTAACTAACCCTATTTGAACATGAACAGTGTCTTTCAAATATTTGAAATACCCTGACCTGAATAAGGCTTTGCTTCGGTATAATTAATGTCAGTCAGCACACCTATCTGATTAAAAGAGGAGGGTTTAGTCAGAAATTAGGATCAGTCTTTCAGTTTAATCTGTTCCTTCTCTTATCTTACATGAGTAAAAGTTGCAGTGAACAACCATTTGAATCACTTTGACATCATTTATTTCGTTTGCTTTTCTTTCATTTTTATCTTTACAATCTACTTCTTTAACAGGTTCAACAGTCAACACTTGCAGTGGTTTAGCTATTAAATCACTAATGAAATATCGCAAAAGCTTTAACTTCTAAGTTTGTTTGTTTGTTTGTTTGGGATTTACGTCACACCGACACGGTATAGGTCATATCGCGAGGTTCCAGCTTTACTGGTGGAGGAAGACCTCAGGTGCCCTTCTGTACATTATTTCAGGCACGAACGGGCACCTGCATGAGTAGAACCACCGACGTTCCGTAAGCTAGCTGGATAGCTTCCTCACATGAAAGAATCAAAAGTCAGCGACCTTAACTTCTAAGAGTACTGTTTCTACATCAAAGAATAATACATTAAACACCTTTTCAAGCAGCATGTCTCCAGATTCACGCTAATTTTCATGAAATTTGTGAAAATGTATTTAAAATTAAAATATCAGAACAGAACAGATTTTATCATACAATAAATGTATAACTTCCATAGCATTAAACATAATTATATACAACATACTGCCAGAGTGAAAATACAAACATACAAATTAAACACAGAATCCCTACTAAAGACCACCTCGGATTTAAGACCAATTTGCTAATCAAGATAATTATCCGTTACAGTGCCAATGACGTTACCGGATCTTCCACTTCTTGCTGTTATTCCGCGCCGCAGATTTCCAAGATTGTATCAACCTTGGGCGCTCGGAAGTTGTACGTGTGTGTATATGGTGTATGCTAATTACATCATCACGTTGCCATTACAACTTGACTTTGTGAACTGTGTGCATATGGCAAACAGCCAATGCAAAAGACTCATTATTTCATATGGGTTAAGTTGAGTATAGAGCCCTCTCATACTAGTAAGTCACTCATACATAGAATGCTTCGGGCTGGGCGGCGGGGGGATTCATATCTGAAATCCGTTCAAACACGCGGTTTTACTTAACTTAAAAAAAGTTTTTCATATACTAAAAATAACCTCACAACTATTAGCAAAATCATAAAATGTTTAAACTTCATCGATAAATTTACTATAAAGCCTAGCTAATTTTCTGTAAGAATACCCCGTACATTCGGGGTTAATAGTAATTCGGAGTTAATAGTAATTATTGATAGCATATCAAGTTGCTGTGGCGAATTTTTCATATTCATTGTATTCTCTTACAGCCCATGACTACGATGTAATCGTATTGTTGAAAGTAAAAAAAAAATCAAAATATACATATTTACCTTTACTTTAACTTGTTTATCTTTTGGAGTACTCGGTCAAAAGTACTTTTTGATTGATATGTTTGTGAATTTTTAACGTTTACATTACTGATTCATATTGTTTACCAATACATATCATATTAACAAGCGGAAATTGACCCAACTGAAATTTTTATGAATTCAACTATTTATAGATGTACAAATCCCATTGAAAAGATACTTGCATACGCAAACAAATAAAAATCTGCGTTAGCTATTATATATAAGCCGATTTTTACCTTCACTTTTTTTCGAAGAAAAAAAAGGTATTGTTACTGTCAGATCTGCGTTCCAGTTGCCGTTCCCAAAACATTTACGTTGATTATAAATTTTCTTAACGTACTATCTTCTTTCTGACTTGGCCATAACAACAATTGGGACAATACCTTAAAGTAGATCAGACTAAAATTGACCTCTATCTTCAAGGTCAGATGTCTAAATTTTGCTTTTTGCTATTAGTGGCCATAACTTGTTTATATTTGAATGATCGACTCACTTGCTTTTTGTATGGAAGTCAGCTAGATTACTTTTATTACATTTTGCTACTTTTATGACATGCATGTATTATATTTTCTCATATTCAACACTTTTTTCTGCAGGTGGTAAGCATCTTACATGTTCTTAACCCATATTTAAAAAAAATGTTTGCATTTTCTTAAAAAAAATAATAAAGAAAATAATAATATCTGTTACTAAATGTAAAATTGCTAATAACTAGCTATTTGTGTGGCATTTCGGTGTAGTTGTGAAACGTGAAAAAAGTCGAGTAAACGAGTGATAAAATTATTGTTATATTGACATGCATCTGTATAAGCAGGTTATTACGAAGGCTTGCATTGTAAATCATCAGTAACCGAATTTTCGATGCTATGAGTTTCCAATTATAATTATTTTACAAGATACTTATGCACCGTGGGTAAGCAATTTTGGTCACGTGACCCCAAAAGTCACGTACACGGCCAAAATGAGCCAAAACAGCTCGGCTAAGGTAAGTTTTTTTGTAATTATTTTTCTATCGAGCAATTTTAAATAATGCTACATAGCCTACCGACCGCGGCATTTCCGATGCTTTCTAAATATGCATTTGGTGTCGTGTAACGTTTTGTATTTTCTGAGAACATTCAAACATTATTCACAAATTTGTCGATGACAACGTGCACACTTTTGTGTAAAAATGTTGATAATAACATCATAAACGATACGCATGTCAGTGCTAAGTAAAATTTCACGTTTTGTTATGTTTTGCTTCTCTACAGTAGAGTTTAAACAAGTATAAATTGCAGTATACACACACGAAACTTCCCATTAACTTCTATCTATTACAAACACATGCAGCCGGTGTGTGCCTTGGATACTATTCTCTCACTATTTTGATAAATTAAATATTTTTTTATTCAAAATGTTTTTTCAAACATATTTTCAGTAAAACAGTAAATGCAAGTAAAGTCTTTATTTATAGTATTTGTATATGAATGAAATTAAAATAACAACTTGCTTTCTTTGTTTAATTGAAAATATGTTTGAAAAACATTTTGAATAAAAAAAATATTCAATTTGTCAAAATAGTGAAGGGAAAAGTATCCAAGCCAGGCACCGGCTGCATGTGATAAAATTGAAATGATCAGTGTATCAAGCCTATGAATGTGATGTTTATTATTTTCTGATATACGAAGTTTTTTTTTTCTTTAAATAAATTAATTCTGCTGAATAAAGATGCCTGACATGCTATATGACCGTGTATAAACGGTTGTTTGCAATACAACTCTCTCTAAAGCTCTGGTTATATAAGCTTTCAGCCGTTTATATTGGGCCATATAACCTATCAAACATCTTTATCACGAAAAATATACATTCAACATACAATAGGATCCATGCTGTTCGCTATCAGTTTCTCTACTTGTTATTGAGTTGGTAAGCGAACAGCATGGATCCTGATCAGACTGCGCGGATGCGCAGGCTTGTCTGGATCCATGCTGGACACAAACCCATTATGTTGGTTTTGTCTAGACGCGGCTCATATATATATATATACAACGAAGATCATTGTTCATGTAGATTTATATAATACGCATAGCCCTATTATCAAATAACCCATGAAAATAAACATGACACACGGACCCCTTTCAAATTTCCATACAATTGTGTTCAAAAAGAAAAGTAAAAGCATGAAAAGTGCTACTGAATTGGAGCATTTCAAACTTTAGTAAAAAATCGATTAGCATAAATCATACAAATCAAAAGGTCCTAATTAATACAAAGATTCGATTTCACCAATCAGTGATTTTGTCACATATTTAAAATTTGATATATCGCTTGCATATTTAATTTGTAATCTATATGCATTGAGTTTATGAAAGTATTCTTGTCCTGAACATGAATAAAGAGCCGTTTCAAAAAAGGCTTTCATATGAACAGTATATAGAATTACGGAAATGTTCTTTTTGGTGTGAATAAACGAAATCGATCGATTTAAAACTGTATTAATGTATGAAATACAAAATGTACATTGAAAAGAGGTCTGAATTCTGGTTTTATTTGAATACACTAGGTGCAGATATGGATGAAACGTCGATAAAAAGCTTTCAGTTATTTATATTGGATGTATTGATTTGGTAGTGTATATTAAAATTTATATTTCAAAATGTTTTCGTGTTTGAAAATGTCCTGTTGAGTCGTGATTCGTACGTGCATACGTGAAACAAATATTGTTCTATAACAAGAATTAATACAGGATTTATGCCAGACCCATTCTTCAACTGGATTTTGTATATTGTATCATTTTCAATGCGAATTTTTGAATACTGGATCTTTAGTAAAACAAATGAGAAAAAAATAACATGATGTGAATTTGAAAATCATCAACAAAAGGGCGATTGCTTTGAAAGCATCATCTGTTAAAGAAGATATCAATGATGACCGAGAGAAATTTTGCTGTTGCGCAACTTCCAGGAGAGACAGCCGGTCAAACTTTATCCATCTCCAGACTCCGAAATCACAGAAGTACAAATGACACCTCCCGCGCTCAGCTGGTCTCCAGTGACGTCAATAGGGAACCAAGAAGACCTTCTATGAGCTTGGAACCATCCAGGCACGAACATGGTCCCCGATCACGGAATACAAGACGGGGAAGTCTGCAAGTGCAAAGAAGACCCAGTCAAGTGACTGAGGAACGGATGGCTTCAAACGCGCTTGGAGAGAGTATACAACAAAGTGACGACTTTTCACGAACTGACATAAATCGCGATAGAAGAATTTCAAACGGCCATGTAGCTAGATACAATAATAATGTCAGAGATGCTCACGTGCCTAGAGACACTCACGTGACAAGGGACGCTCATGTGACAAGAGACACTCACGTGGCAAGAGATACTCACGTGACAAGAGATACTAGTGACAATAGTAGAAGATATTCTGAACACTCGCATTATCATCAACGTCCTGTAACAGAACCAATGACGTTACGGGATCTACCACCGGTTGACGTTGTACATAGGCGGAGGGATTTCCAAGGAGTTTCATCAGCAAGGACGCGCGGAAGTAGTACCTGTATGTTTATTACGTCACAAACCCATATTTAGAAAAATTCTAATATTCAAAGTCTGAATCACCTTTTTAAACTAGGACTGATTTCATAACTATTTGCAAAGAATATTGTAGGCGCAGTTAATATTGTATGAATATATATCTATGCTGCAATTTAAAAATTAGATCTAATTGATTTTTACTAATTGAAAGAAAGAAAATAAAAGCGCCATTGTCGGAAAGATACAAATGTAATTGCGCCATTGTCGGAAAAAGGGTTATTTCCCCAGTATTTTCTTTCAAGTGAACAGATTTATTTTTCATCATATTTAATAAGTTTGATGAAAATACACTGATTTTAAGTCATGCATTAAATCAATGGTGTATTTCCATCTTTATTTATTGATTGATTTAATTTAACGCATTTTCATTATAACAAAACATGATCATATTACAATGTTGTAAGCCATTGTCAAGCCGGTTTCCTTTTTATATTGTCTCTTTAAAGATAATATTATCTTTTAGATGATGATTTACAAGAAAAGGACGATCGTTATGTTGTCCCGGCACTACCTATGCCTGTAGCAATCATTTGTTGTGTTCTTAATTTCATTATACCCGGATTCGGTAAGATGTTTTCCCGCCATTTTAACAACACTTTACACGTTTTCCCCACAGACACTTGAGGTGTGGTGCTCAAAAAGCCTTTTAAATCCAAATAAAATGCATATTTGTCAATTCCAGTACATGTAATGATCATATATATCAAATAAACTTAATATAAGCCGTTTTGAGTAAAAATAATAATTCAACGTCTATAATAATATTATAGACGTTAAAAAAATGATTTTTTTTTCAAAACGGCTTATATTATTTTGATATATATGATCAATACATGTACTGGGATTGACAAATATGCATTTTAATTTGATTTTAAAGGCGTTTTGAGCTCCACACCCCAAGTGTCTATGGTTTTCCCGCCATTTTAACTCCAATTTACCCGTATTTTGCAAGTTGTTTTAAGAACATTTTAACCAACATTAATTCTTACTTTAAATAATCCGTATCAAATTAGCTGATTTCAGCCAATTTAACTTTATTTTTCATTTAATCTTATTTTGTAAGACCTCCTGACTCTACATCTATCAAACTTGCATTTGGTAAAGACCTATTCCCAGTGAAATTGTGGTAAAGATTGTTTGTAAGTAGTCATTAAGGCATTATTGCATTTAGCCATGAGAAATTAGACAAAATTACATCAATGAAGCCTATATATAATCCAGCGATCACCAGGATGATCCAGTTAGGGTTTTAGAAAATTTGGTAGAAAATTACCTTGCCATGTTACGCTCAAAATATCCAAATACTGAATACATTGTAGTTTTTAATTTTATTGTTTTAATGATTATCTTAATGTTAATCTACATTTAACCCAGTTGACTCTTGGGGCGTACCCAATTTTAACATCAGGGCAAGAATACCCTTTAAATGCTTTACTTCTGAAAGACTATAAAGTAAATACAGTGACACCCTGGCAGGTTCAATCTAAACCTTTAAGGTCATGATTCGTATGAACTTTGGATAATCCTAATGATTTTTTAGAGAATGCCATGAAGTTTTTCCCTTGTGATTTTGAGGGAATGCTACGAATTAATCCCTTGTGATTTTTAAGGGAATGCTACGAATTAATCTCTTGTGATTTTTGAGGAAATGCTATGAATTATTCCCTTGTGATTTTTGAAATTAGCTATGAATTATTCCCTTGTGATTTTGAGGGAATTCTATGAATTATTCCCTTGTATTTTTTTAGAGTAGCAATGAATTATTCCCTTGTAATTTTTGAGAGTAGCTATGAATTATTCCCTTGTAATTTTTGAGATTGCTATGAATAATTCCCGTGTATTTTTTGAGAGTTGCTATGCATTATTCCCGTGTATTTTTTAGAGTAGCTTTGAATTATTCCATTGTAATTTTTTACAGTATAGCTATGAGTTATTCCCTTGTAATTTTTGAGAGTAGCTATGAATTATTCCCTTGTGAATTTTGAGAGTAGCTTTGAATTATTCCCTTGTGATTTTTGAGGGAATGCTACGAATTAATCTCTTGTGATTTTTGAGGAAATGCTATGAATTATTCCCTTGTGATTTTTTAGATTAGCTATGAATTATTCCCTTGTGATTTTGAGGGAATTCTATGAATTATTCCCTTGTATTTTTTGAGAGTAGCAATGATTTATTCCCTTGTTATTTTTGAGAGTATCTATGAATTATTCCCTTGTAATTTTTGAGAGTTGCTATGAATAATTCCCGTGTATTTTTTGAGAGTTGCTATGAATTATTCCCGTGTATTTTTTAGAGTAGCTTTGAATTATTCCATTGTATTTTTTTACAGTATAGCTATGAGTTATTCCCTTGTAATTTTTGAGAGTAGCTATGAATCATTCCCTTGTGAATTTTGAGAGAGGCTATGAATTATTCCCTTGTGAATTTTGAGAGTAGCTTTGAATTATTCCCTTGTGATTTTTGAGGGAATGCATGTCATTATTCCCTTGCCTCGTGACATTTAAGAGAATGCTGAAAATTACTTTCTTGCCTTTTGATTTTTAAGAGAATCATTCCTTGTGATTTTTGAGAGAGAAGGGTATAATAAAACTAATTTTCAGTTACTGAAACGTGTTTATTCACTCGATCATTTTCATCACAATGATAAAAGTAAAGCATAATGCAAGAAATACCCCAAGAAAGTTGAATATGATTTTTCTAAAAATCGTCTTTTTCCACTGTGCATGCGAGCTATTATAAAAGCCGTCCAGAGACGTTCAGTCAGAATAATACATATCTAATAAATCACTGGTTTACATATCAAATATCCACTGTGCCATTTATTGGATATTTTGACAGCATTTTGGCTTACTTTTTTGATGAATAATCGGTATGAATAAATTTATTGAATGCTTACACATCACTACCATTTAAAGAGAGGAAAATGCTATTGAAAATTTCAATACCATGAATAAATGACACAAAATGAATTTGACAAAAGGAAATTTGTATTTATATTAATAACAGACTTGACTTGAAATTGAAAATTACATAAAAAAGGGAGTAATAAGTCGATAAATTTACTATTTTTATAATTACAAATGAAAAATTCGCATATAAAAAACTTCTCAAAATAATGCATTCAAACATTGGCAGTATGGAAAGTTTTTCAATTATCTTTTTTGTTTACTTTTTAGTTACTACTTGACTTTAATTGAAATAGAATGTATTGAATTTTGAATTCCTGAATGTATTTCATAAAATTGTGATAAACAAAAGTTAGGCGGATGCGCAGGCTGGTCTGATTCCATGCTGATCGCAAACCCGGCTCATTTGTACATGCATATAGCATCTAATGAGAAAATATAATACATAATTAAATACATATACAGTAAGATAAAACATAGAATTATATCAAGTCCGGTAAAATGAGACAAAAAGAATTTAAATCACATTCTTGCCTACCTAATTTTCCAAAGACAAGTGACACAAAGAAATTTTGTTTAGTTAATGTCCTTTTTTATTTTTCTTTTTGGAAATAATGGTTGCCAAAAATTGTCAAAAACATTAATTCTTAACAATTGTCTTTAAAAGTTTTTTAAACAAAAAAAAGGGGGGATCATATTTTCTCAGTATTTTTTTCCTAGTCAGTTCATCAGTGGAGAACGTTTTTCCAAAAAAAAAGTGGTAACAAACGACCCTGAAAATACAACTTTAACGTTATCCTTACTAGCTCGTACATGTATATGTTTATAAAATCATTTTGTACTAATAACTGTATTTTGTACATTTATATATTGTATATCATTTATTTCTACAGGTTCTATGGCCGCTTCGTTATGTATATTTTGCTGTGCAAAAACCGAGGACATGACTTGCGGGGAAAAGCTCGGCTCTTGCTGCACGGTGTTTGGTATTGGGGTTCTTCAGTTGCTTCTAGTCGCTTGCTTCCTCATTGGATGGATATGGAGCTGTATTTGGGGAATTACGTTTATTGGAATGTCAGGTTAACTTGATAAGTTTTAAGTTTGAACACCTCATACACTTGTATACATCATTGCAAATATATCCCTTGTACAACTGTAACATATGCTATGTTCCGTTAGGGCCATTGCAGCCATCGCGACAGACACATAACTCGAAACCACCATGATGAAAAGTCGAAAAATGGAAAATCGAAATAACGAAACCACGATAGTGAAGGGTCGAAAGTATGATGGTGAAAACACGAAATTTTATCGAGTTTTCACCATCATGGTTTCGTTATTTCCACTTTTCACCATCGTTGTTTAGTTAATTCGACTTTTCACCATCTCAATTTTGTGTTTTCGTGGTTTGAGTTATGTGTGTGTCGCGATTGCCGTAACGGGACAGGGTAGTCATAATATCCCCAGACTGTAAGAACATTGTTACTGTCGATTCAATCATAATGATATTATCTTTAAGGTTGTCAACTTAACAATTTTAGAAAGTATATTTGTAACAATTAGTTTATAAGTAAAGGTTTCAGCATTCTAGCAATTTTCGGAATGAATTGTTGAATCCAAGTGAATATTTGGGTGTAACAGAACATTTGATTAAATCAATTCTACTACTTATTTCTCTTGTAGCATCCTACTACCACGACGATGATTATATTGACGACTATTACACAGAAACTAACAATCCTGCTTACCGGGGTCGAGTGCGCGGGCGCACACCGCTCCCAACGCCCCAGGTGGTCGAAGATCAGCCATACCCGGGAATCCGCTATGAAGATATCCAACGGCAGCGCCAACGACGTCGGGAAGCTCAACGTCGGACAAGATCACGAATATCTCTCACGCCGTCTAATCTGATATACCCTATGAGGGCGCCGTCAAATATTGCGTATAATTCACCACCGCCGCCGTATCAGAGTAGCCGATCTCCACCACCGGCTTATCAAAATAACACAAGTGGAGGCTTAAATTATGAAAATAGTGGGAGACCAAGACAGGTAATCCAATACATATTTTCTGAATTGTTCACTTCATCATTTCTGAAAGTATAGTTGTTACAATCAGCTTTCAAGTAAATGATTCACGGGTCATATTTACAAATCGTAAGTATGTCTGTGTTAATTTTATTTTTACATCCGTCTCTTGTCTTTGATTTAATGGGACTCAGCTGTGATCCAAAAGCCTAAAAGACGTGATATTTAAATGTCTTACATATATTTACCGGGGGACAAGAGATTCAAAATAGGATACATAAATATTAATCGTTTATCAAATACTTTTGCTCTGTTCTTAGCCCGATGCGTTTAATGAGGACATTTTCACAAATAAAATAATTGTTTTTCAAAAAGCAGAGAAGGCGAATGATCTGAAAATGTGCACACACATTATTGGTCCAGGCCTACATCTAATAATAAATTAATTTTGAAAAAAATACCAGTCATGTTATACCAAAGAAAAAAAGAAACAAAACTCAGAGGAGTTAACCTTTATGTGATTATTAAATACAAAAATGTACACTATTATAACTTTACAACTTTGCATATTTCAGAATGATGAAGCAATAGAAGAAGAAGTGCATAGATGACAGTGCCCCATATCTTTCATTTACATACATGGCTGCATTATAGACATTTTTATAAAATGCCTAGGTTTTGATGTAATTTGTTACTTTGTTTTAAATAAATTCTTTTTGTAATTTGCACCTTTAACTGCGTTTATAAAACCAACCTTGCTATACAGTGCTAGGAGAACCCAATACTGGTCGAATCTGGATCATCTCGCCGATTATTCATGATCATCTCGGAGACAATACGAAAAACTGAAAGTAGTCTCACAACGTGACTTAAACAAAAATATAGGCCGTAATCTTTTTATAATGAGCAACAAATGTATCAAAATAAAGTATACTTTGGTAATAATAAAGACCTACCATTATAGACCAATTCACTTTAAAAAAAAATTGACAGATAGCAGGTTAACGATTAAAATCACTCCAGCTGCTCTGTAAACACGTTCGTTAAAAAATTTTGTTTCGTCTTGAAAAAAGTAAAATTACTAACAGAAGAAACAGTTCAATTCCAGTTAAAGCCTTATACATTTTTTTAACTTTCAAAATACTTCTTTTTGAAATGGCTCATTTTTGAAGGATTGGGTTTAAGTTGGTAAGCTGCCATCAGATTTGTTGTTTTTTTCTTGGTCAGACCGAGCATATTTTACTAGTACTTTCTGATCCTGGATCTTTATATATAATGACTGCAAATGAAGGTCCATTAACGAAAAAGAAGCTTCGCAAATGTTTGCATGATGTGCTAATAAATGTTTGCCTACAGATTTTGTTCAGTTAGGTGATATGACATTTCAGGTTTCAAAGCAATTGTTAGCGTTGAAATTAACAATATGTATGTACATAGATAAATCAATACCTGATACGTACTGTAGGTAAAATTAGCAAAACAATACGTAAAGAAAACACAACTTAAAAGTTGTAAGAAAATGTAATAATTAACTACGTCATAGGGTTCTTAAATCATTTTATCACATAGATAATTATCTTTAAACAAAACAGTCAATATTCATATTTTCCGTGAATAATTACAATTCAATTTCAATTCAATAATTTTTACGCAAAAAAAAAACAACATATAAATGTACATCACCAATATAACATATAAACAATGGCTGTACAAATACAAAGAATAAATTAAGCATGCAGCATGAAGTCATATTTATTAGCTATATCAAATTCTGTCGACAATAAAAAAAAACAATAAGATACTATAGCTGATTAATATATAAGAAATATGAAATAAGAAATTACTACGTTTATATAACATAATTCACTCTTGAAATTTTCCGCCCCAAAGGTAAGCTTTTTAACGTATTTTGCAAGTTTATTAATAATATTACTTTGTTGACATTTAAAAGAGATTTGAATTTTAACAAACTTGGCCAGTGTCTTAAAAATGACATATTCTAAAAGGAAATGAAATTCATGTTCAATACTTTTCATATTGCAATTGGTGCATATTCTTTGACATCTATTAATGTTTTCTTTCTTCAGTAGCTAAATTATGAGCAAAACAAGCAATTCTATAGCTATCATGTTTTACACATTTTTTTTTTCTAATTTAAAACTAGATTTAAATAAACAATAAGTAGTAATTCCCTGAGATTCTTTGAGCTCTGAATACCTTATTGTAGACATTGATCACAAAAAGTTCTTATTACTGTTTGGATTTGTATGTTAGTGATTTCGTTTATCCCATAAGTAAGAGTCTAGTAATTATTTGACACTTACAGGGACTCCACTGAGGTTTTTTGAAGTGAAGGGACCGAAAATATATTTTTGATATTTTTGTATAAGTACATGTATGTATGGACCAACAACTCATGTACAAATTTTCAGAACATTCGCTCACTCCGTTTCCCAGAAATAATCAATTTTATTGTGCAAAGTGGCCCAATAAATGAAAACCGTTTAAACGCCTTTCACTCTAATCGGCCAAAAATAGCATAAAAATCGGTTATTAATTTGATGCCGTGTATATGTATGTATCATCTATTGCTTGGTTTCAAATTTAAATACACCAGTTGATTTCAGAAAGAATTTAAAAATTTATTATTTTATAGGCTATTGGACCTCTGTGGAGTTCCTTTAAAGACCAATTGTTCACTAATATTCCATGATCATCACGCATATTAATTACTAAAGAATTCGAGGTTTTCATAATTCTGAAGCCATATTTTATCAGTCTGATTTTACGACCTATATTGTCAACTTGCAATACAAGGAGTCAGTTGACTAACTTTTAAGACATTTTTGTTTTTTAATTGTAAATGATTTTTTCTAAACCAGATGCCTGACGAAAACTCCAAAATTCACATCCATAATTCAAAATCGAAGAAATCATGGAATAAAATACCGGTAACTTTATTTTATCTTTAATGTCCAGTGAGACAGTTTAAAACAATGAAGTAAGCGAAAACATGACTTTAATAGCTAGTCTATACAATGACTATTTGCCTGATATTAACTTCTATTGGCAAGGCAAACAAAGTTACACCTAAATATAAAAATTAAGTAACATTTTAAAGTCTATGATTATCATAAAACATATCAATAGTTTCGTGTCTATTACCTTTCTTACATACCATCACTATACAGTTTTATCAATATTTACACTAATACTCCAATTGTAAGAATAAGAATGTAAATTATTTAGAAGTTTTTGAAACCCGTTTTGGAAATAAGATATTAACACTGTATCATCGGCAAAAAAGAAAGAAAAAAGAGATGTAATTGATCGACAGCGAACAAGTCAATAGAATAGTCATGTAAATCTTGATACATATTAAGAAAAAGAATAACATTATTGAATAGTCGGCGCTACCCCATTTCCGTTTTTTTTTTGGTATGGTTCACGATGTTTGTTTAAAAAAAAACACCTTTGTATTTATTTCAAAAAAAGGTTATGATTTGCATTTAAGAAAAACTTGTGACCAGGAATAATTGAATAAAACGTGTATACTAACAGTCAGACAATATACAACCCGTCAATTTTAGAAATTTACCCTTTCATTTTCGGAGAGTAAACTTTTTTTGCATTTTCCGTCTTCTATTGCTGTTTTGATGCTGTTTGTTCATGTATGTGAAGTGGGGCAAATTAAATTTGAAATTTGTCTAAGAATTGAACACAGTCTATGAAGCCTCCTTTGTTGTTTTTTTCCATATAATAGAAATAAAAAACAAACAAAGTGTTTTATAACTAACTATAAGGAGAGTTTTCTTACAGAAAAGAAAACACGCCTCCAAGGATGAGACAAAATATTTGCATAAGAAATATTATTGGTCAAATGTTTCAATGTGCTAATAAATCATTATCACAAATTTTGTGACTTCCATAAAAGAAGCAAACCTTTCGCAAACTCTCATTCACTTCCAAGCTAGAGCGAGCAAACAAGTCTTTTTCAGACCCCTAAAGGTCTTATTGTGAGCATGGAAACGTTTGCAAAAGAAACAAAGAAATGTTTTTCATCAATATTAAGCGATCTTGGTTTAGAAACGGACAGCTCAGTGAAGAAAAGAAGACAATTTTTCGAAAAGAAGTATGATCACCAGCAGAAGAAGAGTTCCGTTCAGGCTTTGAAAAAATGGAAACAAGAGAGGAAGCAATATTTGCTAAATGAATTCCGTATTAGTGAAATTAGCAGTATTGATGACTGCTCATCAATCCCATCTGATGAAAAGAACACAAAGCAATCAGACGGTTTGAACAATAGCATGACAGCGCAGATGCTTGGAGAAATGTATGAGTCTACACATAACTGGGATATTGCACGCAGTTCTCGAGGAAGAAATCAGCGATTTTCGACAAGCGATGCGTACACCAAACCGGTAGCGGTTGACAACTGTAGAATGAAATCTTCCGTAAGTTTCAACGACGCTGTGCATCTACAAAGAAATATCAATCATCGAGAAAATACGAAAAGTTGCGATCTTACAGCTTGTACCAGTGAGCAGAAATCCCAAGACAACTTGCAAAAACTAAACAGTCACTGGAAAATATTGAAAGAAAAAGTTCTATCAAATATCCCAAGACGTTATGAAAGTTTGGACAGCTCTCTTGACAAAAAAGAAATAACAGAAGAAAACTGCTGTCAAAAGATGAAACAAAGTTTCGATAAAGCAGCTACAGAGATTGGTCGTTTTCGCAGAAAATCTGTCGATATTTTGACGAATATGAAGGAAGTATGTCAAACATTTTGTAATAGTACTGCTTCTTCTGGGTATAGCAGTGCCTCTTACGCTAAATCAAACGCCACAGAGAATACTGATTTGTCGATCCTGAGTTTCAAAAGACGCAGCCTAATGGAGGACGTAAAGGTATTTCCGTTTTGCGCCGAATATGACGGTTACTCGGTTAGGCGGACAAAAACTATTTCAGAATCAATCCAAGCAATATTAAACGAAAGAAAGCAGCAAGAAGAGGCCTTGTTAAGACAAGAAATTGAGAGACAGGTAACCAACATACTAGCATTGCGCATGCATAACAAAGGTCAAATTAAGGAAAATGATAAAAATCCAATTGAAAACTACAACGATAAAGACGACACTTTTGGAAATGAAAAAGGCGAGAATGAAAATGACATGTGTGAAAAATGGGAAATCCATGACTCAGAAATAAACAGTGTCACTGACATTTCGGACGACTCCATGTCCACTGCATATCTTAATATAAATGTTGAACATTCAAAACATACAGATGAACTGAAAATCACCGTCTTTTCGATCAAAAACCTCTTTGCTTTAACAGACACATGGAGGGAATTGAATATATTCATAACAGTATGTCCAATGCCTCGCGAAGGACTTCACAGACAAAAAACGAAAACCAGAAAGGGTAATGATGATCTAGAGTTCAATGATGATTTGTATATGGGCATCTTCAAAGATCGCACAGCCAAGTATGCAATTCGTTTTAGGGTGTATCACAAGGGTAACTTTTTGACATGCACTAGGACCAGATGTATTGGTGAGGCTCTTATATGGCTGGACGATATAAATCTGAAAGAAAATACCAATAAGCAAGTCGAAATGCTGCCCTATTGAGACAGATATAAATTTAAAAGATATCGGCATTTTCTTTGTTTTGATGTTTTAGTGCAATTACTGCTTATTTTATCATTGTATAATTGTATGTTATCTCAGAGACATAGATAACTATCTATGTCTCTGGTTATCTGAATTATGTTTCTTTATAAGAGCTCCTACATTCCTACATGTTTCAAGTTGTATTTGGGGATTCTTATTTTCTTTGTGTTAAACATACATCTGGTTGCTGTACATATGTATCCATATATAAATAAATCATATTGATTCTAGAACATGCGTTTTTTTTATCATTGTATTAAATACCTGTTTTGAAATTGTCGAACCTACTGTGAAGACAACAAGGACGGGCTGAAAATATCGTTAACAAATGCCACGTATTTACCCCCCCCCCCATGTTTTTCCTTTGTCATTTATAAGGGCAGACGCGGCTGCTACAAAGGGCTGAGTACTCCCTGGTTAAGTGTTTTCAATTATTAACAATTTTATGTATTTCAAGTTCTCAACATAAAATATTGCAGGACAAATCTTTATCAGGACATTGCCTATTGATGAGTCAAAATCGCTAACGGTATACGACCATTTGCTTTCTGTAGTTGCAACGCTAAATTAAAAAAAAAGAATAATATTTGCTTTCTTTAATGTAAAATATTTAGCAAACCAAAATAACGTAGTGTTTTGCCGTTGCTTAGAAACAGGTGGTTTAGATTAAGTAAGCCATATGGAAACAAATCGGAACATTTAATTAGTAAGGTAAGATAGGAAAATAAAACATTCATTAAAAATGCAAGCGCACAATCCCTCGTATCTGCTCAAATACAAATACAATGCTTTATACATATGACAACTGAAAGGGAAAAAGGTTTCTTTTTCGGTATGGACATACATATCAACTACCTCACATAATGTACCTCAGTTTTCTTTTGAGTGTTTCCCACGCAACAGCCTTCTCCCTAGTTGGTATTTGCATTCATATTTGGATGTTCCGAGCGATTACAAAGGTATATTGTATGTCTAGAATTTTTTAAAAACATTAAATTCACTTTTTCTTTATCCTTATTGTTACGTATACTCTATGTTCACAGAGGCAAATTCAATCATGGACAGCTTCTTCCGTTCCTTTCGTAACAGTGCTAAAGACATTAAAATCGTGTTCCAGTGAATCGGTGCCTTACACCAGGCATATGAAAGAACCAATCTCGCCCCTGGAACGGATCATTTATATATTTATACAGTCAAGAAAACGACAACTTCCTTTCAGGGATATCTCAGATATGTGGGCAACAATAAATGAACTTAAAGAAAATGAGAGAGATCGAGAGCTTCGTTTGAGTCTGAATTACACTCGACGGCACTGGAGACTCGATTGCAGGCCTTCTTGTTGACGCAAACTAGATACCTGGGACTAACAAACAAGGATACACATAACAGATCTCCTTTGTTTTTGGCTTTCATATTTACTCTTATGAAGCATTTTAATTAATACAATTATTGATGTTGCTTGAGGGTTTTTCTTTCATACCGTGGGAACAAACTTACTCGAAAACTTTCCGTGTCCACGTTTGTTCCATAGGACGCCTTGACAGAATGTAAAAAATAACACGTCGAACCTCTTTAGACCGAATCGGACCTGGAAACTTCTTCATCTCTACGGATTATCACGAATACCTTGATAAATCGTGAGGAAATTGAGCAAGCCCAACAAAACTTGGATGCCGATACAAAAATGCTCAAAATCTCCATTTTCAATTGTTTTTATTTATCTATTGTTCTTTTACTTTTCATTAAGAAAATTTGCACCAGAAACCCATTAAATATCTATTTTTTTTATAAATCATACATAAAAGCTTTCTGTCTTCATTTGTATTTATATTCTGATAATAATTTGTGTATTTTATATAAACATGAATTTTTATACGAAGTTTCGTCTTTGACTATGAAAAGTGTACAATTCACCCGTTTAGATTAGAAAAAACTTCAGAAGTCACATGATAAATAAACTTGTTCATAATTATTGTCATTTAAAAGTGTTTTTTTTTTCTTTCTTTTCTAGCAATTAAACATTTTTTAAACATGTATAGTTACACTAGATACAAAGAGTAAGGGAGACAACTCCTACTAGAAAAAATGTCCACATGCAATTAAATTGCTTTACTTTACTTAGCTGCTGCTTTGTTTGTGAACTAGTTGAATGTATACACTAAATATCTGAATTTGTACAGGCGAAATAATATGTACGTAACATTTCCTTATTACTACTTATTAGAAATAGAAATTCGTGCAACCCAATCCAACTATCATTCAGAAGCCAACAAATGTTTTCCGGAATGAAATCTAGTTTACAAATCTTAATAAATATTTTCTAATCAAAGCTAACTGCCATGTTTTGCAAATAATATATTTCGCCTGTACAAATTCAGATAGTTAGTGTATACATTCAACAAGATAATGATAGTACCATTTAACAGTTCTATTTCATGACTGAACAGAGTGAATATAACACCCAACAGCATTGCAACTGAAAATAATGAAAGTAACTGCCTCAGGTAAAAAAATGATAGTACCACTCAACAGTTTTTTTTCATGGTTGAACATAATGAGAAGAGCACCAAACAGCATATTATTATAACTGAGCATAATAATTGTAATACCCTACAACATATCTTTTTAACTCAACATAATTTCGTTACCACAAGCCTGTTTGTTTTAAGAACTGAACATAACGACTAATGCACCCAACAATACATTGACTTAGCTGAAGAGAATGTAATCAGCACACAACATAACAATTCAATAACTGAGCCCAATGGGATTTCCACCAACATATTGGGGTTTCCACCCAGCATTTTAATTGTATCTCAGACTGAACAGAATGACATTTAACCAGGTATATCAGTCATTCTTAACATATAAGACAGTCCAGGCGTTCCATAATTCTCGGTTCAGTTAATGTCGCATTTCGGTGACCTATTTCTACGACATCAATGCTTCTGACTTGAGGTGTTGGGTACCTTGGGGCAATTTTAAATGTATAGTTGAGTTCACACTAAACTTCCCACCCTTGTGCACTTCTAGTGCACCCTTGTGCACTTCTAGTGCACTAGAGCTGAACTAGAAGTGCACACCGTGTGCACTTCTAGTGCACTAGACCATATGACCAGACTGGCTAAAAGGTGACACTTAATTGTTCATTAGATAATTGCATAACAAGTGACAGTGGTCATCCATTGTTTAGCTGTTATAAAAAAAACCTTGGGGATATATGGAGTATTCGTGAAAATTAATAAGTAAATTTCAAATCAGCAGTTAAAACATTTTAGGTGACACCATGTTAAAGCTTAAAATAAAATCCTTTTTATTTATTTATTGTAATCATAAGCTCCACGGACTAATTAAGTTATTCAAAGATGATTCAATTATAAAATTTCACGTCCATAAAATATCGCAAAAATGGTTTAACGGTCTTTTTTATGAGTAGTTTCACTGTAACAATGTATGCATAAAAATATTATTCTACATAAATTCGTTAATTGTTGAAACAGTTTGCAAACATATTTATTTGCACTGCGGCAAATCAAACTTACAAGCTAGGTTTCATATCTATATCAATGTCTATTGGAACGTACACACATCATACATATAATGTAAATGTTTTGTTGCATTTACACTTAAATTCAGTCAAATCAATTTGTTTTATTTTAAGATAAATGAATGAAGGAAACGAAAATATAAAAACAATTGCGGTAAAAAACATGTCCTATTCCGCACAACAACTGTAGTCACATAGATATAGGCATTTACAAAAAGTAAACGGTAAGTAAAGATGGATTGGCAAGGTCAGTCTTTCAGTATTGACGTTGAAGATCGTATCGATTTATTCAGGAAATGTACATAAACATAAAATCACATATATCGTATCATCATCATCATCATCATCATCATCATCATCATCATCATCAACAACAACAACAACATAATTGCTATTAATTTATTATATTATATTATTATTACAATTATTATTGTTGTTGGTATTATTATTATTATTATTATTATTGTTATTATCTAGATACTGATAAAATTCAATTTTGAAGACATTATTCACATAATATATAGATAATAGCCGAGGCAGTTCCGAATGGCATTACGCATACATGAGAGGCGAACGACAACTCTGCCAATCTGTTCTGTCCAATCGAATATATCCGTAGTACAGCTTAACGCCGAATCGAAAACAGCCAAGTGTAAAATAAAAATGGCTGCAGAAAATGACAATTGTGTTGTAGTCAGCTTTAATGACAGTTTAATTCACCAATCAGATGTTGATTTACTTGATGGTCCTAACTGGATAAATGATAACCTTATAAACTTTTGTTTTGAGTGAGTGTTAAATGCATTTTCTTCTGCTATATTAGAAAAAAGTAATGATATTTCTTATAATCTTGACCGAGTTTTCGCCAACCTATTTTTGACAAGTTGTTTGGCCAAGGGCATTATGAAGGCAGAGTACATAGCTGTCAGCTTACAAAATTTCGCTTCAAGCATGACTTATTTGGTGACCAACGATATGGGAACACAGAAAAGCTTTAATTCAGTTTGGCAAAGTTATACCCGGCTTGTAGACTAGTATTATTACTAAAATATTATTATTCCAGTGTCACATGTTGTCAGTTGGTGATACTAGCCTCATTGCTCTGTTTATCATTACACTTAAGCAATCTACTGACTTAAGCACTCTACTGTAACACTATGCTTCATGTTAACATGGTTTTGTCCTACTGTAAACTTTAGCACAGACATTTGGGGCTTACATTAAGTTTTTTTGATATATACAATGTATGATCAGTAAATGTGCTAGGATTGACAAATGCCTGCAGGACAGGGTGGACCGTGAGACAGGGCGGACCGTACCATTAAAGTATTTAATTGTGGATGATTTTGGTATTCTTTATAATATTTCAATCTAAACCTTTCTATGTAACATATATATACTGAACCAAAACAGAAACTTTCGCAAAGTATGTGCCAGTTGTTCAAGGGTACCACTTAGATATACACACTCTATACATGTAGTAGCTTGTAAAACTCGTTTTGTTTGCAAAATCGGTCAGCTAATCCCCGTATTTAGCCCGATATGTTTATTCAACGTAAAAATCGAGTTTCAAAAGAATTGCAAAACTGTACTAACATATCTACATTCAAACTTGGAAAAAGTTTCTTTTTTGTTTCAGTATATTAAAGTAGTTTAAGGCTTTTTTTTCAAAAAATTATTTGTTACTGCGTCGACTTACGCAGGTGATAATTGACCAATTATCGGGATATTACAATGTCATTGTTTGTATAAGGCGCTAACGCTGCTGAAATTGATAAACTTTATTAAACAATAAGACACATAAAAAACATATATTTTGTTGTACAATACACGAAATAACAATGATAACGAATTACATCACATTAAAATTATATGCAATACAACACAATAACGAAAAATGAAGTGACATATTTGAAGAACAAAACTATTTTATTAAAATTTACATGAAATAAAAAGAACACTGAAATAGAATTTATTAAACAATAAGAGTACACATCAAAGAACTTTTAAAACTTACCGTATTTTATATTTTTACTTTTATATTTGCATTGAAATATTAATACGAAGAACAAAAACATTAATAATTTTATACTTTTATTACATTAACCCACATATAGATACTTTTTTAAATCACGGTCCGCCTCGTCTCAAGTGACGGTCCGCCCTGTCCCAAAATATGGTCCGCCTAGTCTCGAGTCACGGTCCGCCCTGGTACGGTCCGCCCTGTCTCACGGTCCACCCTGTCCGTAATTCTGACAAATATATCATATACAGTACATTTTATTTGGATTTTAAAGGCGTTTTAATCTCCACACCCCAAGTGTTTTTGAACTTAAGAATACATTATGTATCTTATGTATATAAATCTGTCTACAGAACAAAACTTTGAGAGAACAAAGTTAGGTGCCTGTCAAGCATTACCATGTTTTCAATATTGCTCTTTAATTCTGTAACTTTTTAATCGGAATAAAGGCCTGAAATGTTACACCTTTTCTCTTTTTTATTCAAAATTTCATTGCAGTTTTTCGGACCTTTTTATTTTGATTATAATTCAGTGCCAGTAAGCAATGTAAAGATTTTTTTTCAATGAAATTTATAACTTCCCAACATTTTCCATGTATACTGCCAATATATATATTGTTTAAAAGTACATGTAATGATTAAAACATGTACCTATAATGGGATCGCAGTTATTGTGCATGAGCATTCAAACTAGAATTCCCCAGATGATGCTTATTCTTTAATTTGGCAAGTTCTCTTATGTTTTAACAATAGGCAAAACTTAAAAACATATCAATGGCTGAACTATTTTAACTGCTGTATTGCATAGAAAACAAATGTTTCTCTGATTGATGAAGTAACATACATGCTTAACTGATAAAAAAATAGACTGTACTGAATGAAAATGATAAGGGGCCGAAAAACTTGTAGGGGCAGGAAACTGCCAGGAAACCAGAAGCCTTATTAATTAGATGTGAATGGTTTGACATATTTACAAGATTTTCTTTCCTGCTATAAAAACTGAAGAAAGGCATTGTACTTCAAAAATTATCATCATGTCTTTTAGTCAAGTCTAATCAGTGAGACAAGACATACTGCAAAGAAGTGGAAAGGATAAAGGCATTTGCTGAAGAGGGATTGCAGTTTAAAAGTTTTTACCATTTGCATATCCGCTGGTGTTCATAATTCGACTTAAGCTGTGTTAGCTAGTGTCAACATCATTTTCTGTTTTGACCTTAAAGTCTTATGACATAAGAGAGAAAACATTTGGATTTTATTAAACAATTACATTACTCATAGGCCAATTTCCTGAACCATCATTTTGCTCTTTGGCAATAAGTACAGTTATGGTATTTTGTATGGATGTCAAAATACTGCTTTGTTTACATTTTACTATTTTTATGACAAATCGTTTCACATTCAACACTACTTTTTTTCATGTGATAAGCATCTAACATGCTCTAAAGCCTCCGTGGTCGAGTGGTTAGAGTCGATGACTTCTAATCCAGTTACCTCTCTGGCGTGGGTTCGATCCCCGGGAGATGCTTTGGTAGTTTAGCGCGGAGGAAGGTAGTCAAGTACTGGTGTAACTCTCCAGGAACGATGGTTAGGAAACTACCCGCCTATATGACTGAAATACTGTTGGAAAAAGGCGTAAAATGACACAAACAAACAAAAACTCTAAAACCGTTATGTACACATTTTAAAACTCACATAAATTTGCTTTTTCTAAATAAAGCAAAATTTTTTCGTTTCTGAGGCATATACATGTAACAGCATATAAATATTTTATTCCAGAACCTATTATTCTGATTACATACAATATTCATCAAAATATTTGAGATATTTTATATCTTTTGATTGCTGTTTCAGATATTTTGAGAAGGAACAGTTTAATCATTCAGCAGACAAGCTTGCATTGATCAGTCCAGATGTTGTACAGTTTATAAAGCTTGCACCAGGTAAAAGTGTTTTGTTGTTCATTCCTAACCATTCTAGAATTGTGAACATTGATCTTAAAAGTTACTCATGCACACATGACTTAGGTCTTAGATATCTGACATTTTATGTTGCTTAGTGGACCTCAACTTAAGTTTTATGAATCATAGCTCATGGGTGACTAAAGGACCTTCCAAAATGTGACACAGTTATCTGCCTGTACTTCTTCATTGAAGAATTATTACCCTTTCTAGCAATAAATCCCCTTTGAACAATGTATGACCATTATAGTCATCTTGTATTGAATATTATGTCAATAACATAGACTTTGCCTGGAAATATTTTGGTATTTGGAATTTTCAGATGATGAGCTGGGAGAGTTTTTGAAACCATTAAATCTTCCGTCAAAGGAATTCATATTCCTGCCAGTTAATGATAACCAGGTCAGCAACCAAGCTGGAGGAACTCATTGGTAAGTACAATGTATGTGATAAACAGATCAGCAACCAACCAAGAGGAACTCATTGGTAAGTAAAATGTATGTGATAAACAGATCAGCAACCAAGCTGGAGAAGCACATTGGTAAGTACATTGTATGTGATAAACAGGTAAACAACCAAGCTAGAGGAACATATTATCAGGTACAATGCAGTTTGATCCTCAGACACAACAAAATCTTTATTACAATTAATCTTGGACATCGAGTGTAATGGTTATTGATTTCTTGCTGCTGATTCAGAAATCATGTGGGATCAGCAGTCAGCCACTTTTAAAGAAATTTGTTATTGTTGGTTTGTTATCCAAAATTCATTGACCAAAATATGTTTAAATCGGTATAAAACTAAATTTTGTAACAATTCAACAATTTTTTTTTAATATATAAACTTATTATTTTGCAGGAGTTTACTTGTGTATGTAAGAAATAAACAGGAGTTTAGGCACTATGATTCCATGGAATGTACAAACAAAGAAATTGCCAAGATTCTAGCATATAAAGTACAACCGTATTTTCAAGGTAAACTTATTTCTCCATTTTTTCTTTGTGATTCATACTTCTGGAACTTAAATTCTGAATAGTTTCACACTATTTTCTGGATATCAGAATTTGTTTTGAAGATCCGAAAAATTGAAAAGTGTTCGAAGTTTAATTATACTTGAGATTTGAAAACCTGCAAATTGTCTATTAGCAGTGACCAATGATCTTGACAACCTGTCAAGCATTTTCAGCCTTAAATTAATGTGCAAAAATAATGAAACTTATAAGGATGAGTTTAACTTTCTACACTAATTTTGAGGTCAAAAGGTCAAGTCACATGGACCTGTAATAGTATAGTAAAACTTAAAACTGACAGCTTCTCAGTCGGCCCTTGTAATATTTATGTATCTCCAAAATGTAGGGCTTATTTTTTTGATACACCTGGAAAAAAAGCTTGAATCATATAATTTGATAAGATAGACAATTTGAGCATTGAATTTCAAAATATGTCATATACATTTGTATGTGTATAGTAATAATAGTAATTAAAAATAGTACTGGTAAGTTTAGAACTGAAGTTGTTTATTATTTTGTAGCACCCAGAGGGAGAATGAAGGTTATAGAAGTTGATAGTCCAAAACAGAAAAATAGTAAGTTTTATTTAGGGAAGAAAATCAAAGATGAACAAGAGTGTTTTTGTTTCTTTGGATGTTAACATTTTCTTTACTAAAATTGATTTAAATTAATAAATTATTTAAGTTGAAGAGTATTCATTATGCCCCCATTTAAAAAGTGGGACCATATGGTTTCATTATGCCCCTGTTTATAAAGGGGGAACCTTACTGTGATGACACATTTTCAAGTTTTTGTTTAAATTTCAAATTTTTGAATTATGCGTATACTTCTTATAATTCTTTGTTTTACAATTAAAAGATAAAGACATGAATATGCTGTATCAGTGATGGTTATCTTATTATCCCCCGCCAATGGAATCGGGAGGGGGATATAGCTTTGGCGTTGTCCGTCCGTCAGTCCTTCCGTCCATCCATCTGTCCGTCCCAATTTCGTTTCCGGACTAGTTCTCTGCAACTACTGGCTGGAATTCAACGAAACTTTATGGGAATCATCAATATCAAGAGGAGATGCGCATATCGTCGGCTTGTTCCGGTCCGACACTTTAACTCAGAGTTATGGCCCTTGATTAGTTATGCAGTATGCATATAGAGTAAAAATCGTTTCCGCGCTACTTCTCTGCAACTACTGGCTGGAATTCAACGAAACTTTATGGGAACCTTCAATATCAAGAGGGGATGCGCATATCGTCGGCTTGTTCCGGTCCGACACTTTAACTCAGAGTTATGGCCCTTGATTAGTTATGCAGTATGCATATAGAGTAAAAATCGTTTCCGCGCTACTTCTCTGCAACTACTGGCTGGAATTCAACGAAACTTTATGGGAACCTTCAATATCAAGAGGGGATGCGCATATCGTCGGCTTGTTCCGGTCCGACACTTTAACTCAGAGTTATGGCCCTTGATTAGTTATGCAGTATGCATATAGAGCAAAAATCGTTTCCGCGCTACTTCTCTGCAACTACTGGCTGGAATTCAACGAAACTTTATGGGAACCTTCAATACCAAGAGGAGATGCGCATATCGTCACCTTGTTTGGGTCAGACACTTTAACTCAGAGTTATGGCCCTTGATTAGTTATGCAGTATGCATATAGAAAAATATTTGTTTCTGCGCTACTTCTCTGCAACTACTGGCTGGAATTCAATGAAACTTTATTGGAACCTTCAATACCAAGAGGAGATGGGCATATCGTCGCCTTGTTCGGGTCAGACATTTTAACTTAGAGTTATGGCCCTTGATAACTTATGCAGTATACAACCAGAGCAATAATCATTTCAGTGCTACTTCTCTGTAACTACTGGCTGTAATTCAATGAAACTTTATGGGATACGAAGAGGAGATGTGCATACAGTCACCTTGTTCCGGTCAGACACTTATAACTCAGATTTATGCAGTATGCATACATCTCATTGGCATTTCCAGATATTACTATTTAACACAGAGTTATGGCTCTGTTATTGCCCTGAATATTTATCAAGTTCAAAGAATATTACCGTTAATGCCATGATAAATATATAAATAAAGCCTTATGTCTTCAGTTGTTGTGTTAGTAATAACCAGTACTCGGCGGGGGATATAAATTCAACGAATTTGCTTGTTTTTCCAGGTTTTGACTGTGGTGTGTATGTTATCTCAATAGCGGAACATTTATGTAAAGAACTGTGTGAAGGTTATAATATACCTCTGAATGACCTAGTTAATTCTGAATCAGTGTCGAAGAAGCGCTCACAAATAAAAGACCTCATTTATCATGTCGCAGAGGAGTTTGGAACTTGACAAGCTTCATGAGGACACAGATGTGTGACAGAAAATTTCAAGCATTATTGTGACTAAGATTGTGAATTGTTACAGATATACAGTATATACCAAAAAAAAAAAGAAAAAAAGACAGAGACAAGATGTTTATGATGGTGGATTTGTGTGCTTTAAAAAGATATCCCAGGCATTATCCTCAATGGGATGATATTTAAATCTATATATATAGTTAGAGTCAAGGAATTAACAAAATTGCTGTTTTGAGGTAGTTTTAGTCGGTGTGTAAACATTTAGTAGATGCATCTCAGAACCCGGAATGCGAGTTATGTTTGAGAATCTTGAATATTGCTTTTGCAAGACAGATAAGGAGAACATTCACAGAATACAGAAAAAAAACAGATTACTGTTTATGTGGTACAGGTTGTTTTGTTATGATATGAATAGCAATGTACCATCTAAAAGATCAGTTGACCAATCAGAGATTTGCATTTAAAAATTCCTGCCATTGGCTATGTGAGATACATTCAAACCTTGCATATAGAATGTATGGTTCATTCAGGACTGTAATGGTGAAATTATTTCTTATCACCTTAGTGCAGTAATGGGTTAACTGTTACTAAATCATATATCAAGTTAATTCATTACTGCACTAAGTTGCATATGATCTATCATAATTTATATACTCAATCATATGTTTATTAACCTATGCGACCAGTGCAGACCAAAATCAACAGGCACACCTATGCTGTCTGATCATGGTCTGCATTGTTCACTGTTCAGTCAGTATATATTTTGAAATTTCTTCAGAAAACTTATGACCAGAATGAAAGATGGACTGATGTCCAGATTGAAAGATGGACAAGTTCATTTAAGATATTTAACATGGTAAGGGTTAAATAATGTAACAAGCTGTTTTTGATGGTTAAATATTTGATTATATAGATTTTTCTCTGTTATCAAGCAGAAATTCTTTGCTATTAAAATCCAAGATAATGTAATGTAACCCAAAAGGATTTTAGTAAACCATAGTAAATAAAATGTGATGTAACCCAAAGAGATTTTTTTAAACCAAAGTAAATAGACAAAGAGTCTGTAAGTTCATTACAAGACTTTTTGGAGTGAATCTGGCTTCAGTTTAATTTATCCATGCATCCAGTGCAGACCAAGATCACTTTGTACAGATTTGCCAGATGGTCAAGGTCGGCGTTGTTTGCTATTGAGTAATTTCTTCTATTTTTTTTAAGTATAAACTAAAATGATGAATGGTTGTGTTCAGGTTGAAAGATGGATAAGTCCATTTAAAGTATTTAGGGTGGATTTTGTGCAAAACCAATGAAAGCCATATGACATAAAGAATGTGTTACAACTGGTTTTACACCACACCCTTAATATGTTTGGTTAATATTAGAGCTTTTATTACATTTTGCACCTTTTACACATTGCACATGGAAAGAATTTCCCGTTTGAATTTTTTCAGTTTTTTGTTTTTTCTTGCAAATCCTACATTGCATCAGTGTAGATTTTTTTTTAAAATTGTGTGATTGTGCCTTATTTGTTGTTAATCATCTATATAATAAAACACCATAGTCCATTGTTAAGTTTTGCTCAAATGGTAAAATAGTTTTCTGTAGAGAATTGTAGAGAAAGCTACTCAACCAAGATTTCATCAATTATAAGACTCAATAAAATGTACAGTTACACTTGTGTAAGAGAGCATCATAAACTAACAACCACATTTGTCCATATGTCTGTAAATAAAAACCTTTGTTTTTTTGTTCCTATTTAAACAAGTAATAGTATTAATTAACTTGTGTTTTGGAATGCTCTGTAAGCAAAGACAATGTTATTTTATTTTTCATTATTGTTACTTTTTAGACATTTCTGACTGGAAAGGGACAATGAGGTCTCAATGACCAGGTAGTCAAGGTTTCAGACTTGGAATCGCTTGCCAGTGGGTCTTTAGGCAGTGCATTTGAATCTCAACAGCCTGCCACAGGAACTTTGGATTATTTCATTTGAGGATGCTATCAAACTTCCTTTATTAGGGTTGGTGGTTCTACTCAGGTGCCCACTTATGCCTAAATATTGCAAGAGGGGTACATTAGGTTTTCCTCAACCAGTAAATCTGGAATGCTGCCATATGATTTAACTGCTCTCTCGAGAAAAAAAAAACAAACAAAAAAACAAACCATCTATTTGTAAGCTTATTAATTGTAAGGAGATAGTATGATTGATCTTGCGGGTAACTTCATTGATAGAGAAGATAACATTTCTGATACAGAAGGTTAGGTAATTGATAAGTGTAGGATGGTTAGTGTAGGATGGTTGCTTGCTATAACTGACCTTTTTGGTTGACCTTTATATGAATGTAGGTCAGTACACAGAATGTATTTAGGTAACTATTGAGGATGACATTTTAAGACATAAAGTGCTAATATCTCAGGTAAGGCATTTGCCTAAAATGGATAAAAACTGTGACAAACAAACTTTGAAAATCAGAATTTGCTGAAACATCAGAATGTTTTCTGATTTTCGACTTGTTCTATTAAAGTAATATTTTACTTACCGGTAATTTGTTGTGGCCAGTATTAGATTATAATGAAGGTTGTGAGGATGAACTCGGTATATTTTTATTCAAAATTTATTGAGAAAGTTGGTTTATACTTAGGTTATTGCAGGTTTTTTTATGTTTTTCAATGTAATAATGAATTTGATAATTTCTCTGTGGTGAAAGTATTGAAACAACATGGAAGGACATTATGATGTTTTAATTCAAATTGGTGCTCTTATAAAAAGCAACCTGTTTAGTATTTGAGTTAGATATTTATCTTAGCTCACGAGTTTCTGTCCAAGTATTTTAACAGGTTCAGAAGGATGAAATATATGTAAAACATATTTGTTTAAGCTTAATTGCAAAACAAGCTATTGCAAATAATATAAAACATTTTCAAGTTGTTTTTTCTGGAACTAACCAGTATTGGTGTCATACAAGAAAACTGTAGTGTTGACCAGAGTTGGAATCAAACCCATGATCCCTGAGTTGAGAGGCAGACACCTTAACCACTAGGCCACTGCTCGCCTGATATGTGATGATTTTACTTTTTGGAGAGAAAAAAACCGAAGTGAATCGAGCACATTGAGACAGTTGCTCTTTTATTCTTTTGCATGAATTTTATGAAAACTCCCTAAAGCCTGATCATATTGCTTTGATGCACAGGCTTGCATGTCTCAATACCAGTGGCATATGCCTACCATAATGGCATCTAGTATACAAAAAGTTAGGTTAAACAGAATCTTTAATATAATTATATATAAACACTGCACATGTTTTGTTTCTCATCTATAAAAAACTGCCAAATCTATAGTTCAAGAATTTGTTTTTTTATATTTCATCAATGTACTGAAGAATATTTTTTATTTCTTTATTTCATATGTGAACAAGAACTTTTATTATCTTCATACTGTTGTTGGCAACAGATTCTATCCAAGCAACCAGTGCAGACCAAGGTCAGGCGCCATATTCGTGTCATCTAATCATGGTCTTCACTGTTTTCTTTCTATTCAGTCAGTATATATTTTGATATTTTCCCTAAAATTTATGAATGGTTTTCCCCAGATTGAAAGATGGAAAAGTCCATTCAAGATATTTAGTGTGGTTAAGGTAAATATATTATATTTTAAATGGATTGTAATGGACTCGTCCGACAGTGTTTTATTAATCTAATATCTAAACAGATTCAATATATTAATCCTGTTGTGTCTTATTTATATAGGTAAGCTACATGTATAGTATAAAAATTGTATATGAATAATTTTTATTTATTTTCTTTATTCTTATTGTTAGATATTTTAACAGTTAGGATTATTGAAAAGATATTTGCCATATTGGTATTTGTTTCTTTAAATTAATGATGCCAAAAATATTTCAAATTTGAAAATTATTGACACTATATTTTGAAAATTGTAATCTCATCTTTGAAAACTATCACATGTACATCTTTGAATATTATAGTATCATTTAATGCTACATCATTGAAAATTATGGTGTCTTCTTTGAAAACTATGATGTCATAAAGTGACCTCAGCACAAAGAATGAGGTCATTGTATTCCATGATGTCATTTGTTTTTTATGACATAAATTCCATTAGAAACATTAGAGGATATTGCTACATCTTTGTGGAAATTGTTGTTGAAATGTATGATGTATGTACATGTAGGTAATTCAGCTTACATTTACTAGAAATTGTTGTGTGCACATGTAGTATTTAGCTAGGTAGAGTTTTAGCTTTGCACCTAATGTTAGGTAAAGTTTTGATTTGTTATTAACTAAGCTCAGGAATGTGGTATCATAAATAATATTTATGTTTGTTTAATGACATTTGTACATTATCAGGTTCTACATGAAACATCAAAGTCTCTATATAAGGAACTGATTTCAGGTATTTACATCAAGCAGTTTTTCTATCTTTATTTAAAGCTGCATGTCATCTAGATGAGCCAAAATATGGCAAGAATATCAAACTTGAGAAAAATGTACATGTACTAAGTTTTTAAGACAAGAAAAATGATTCACGTAATAATTTACATCTTATTTGCAACTAATGACTGGTTTTAATATTTCTACTGTGTAACTAACAAACTTCTACTATACACAGTATGGTCTAATTTTGCATAGTTTGACCTCTTTTTGGTAAATACCATGGATTTCAAGTTGAATTTGTGTAAATTGTTTATCTGGTTTATTTTACTATAATTTACTCTTGAATATACTATGAAAATTAGCCTGAATTTGGTGGCATGCTGCTTTAAAAGACACCATTGAGATCATTCTATAACAAGTCAGAAAAAGATTCCTTCAGCAGTATGTTAGAAAATTTGGGAGAAAATTATTCTTTGTTTGGAAAAAATTTATTAAAAAAAGAATCTATGAAATGATAAAATATTTTGTGACCCTCTTTCTGTCTTAGCTTTGCTAAATTTTCTGAATTCCCAAGTGACGTCTCCTCTTTAAACTCTATATATCTGTGTGCAGGTTTTTATTGGACTGTCATTTTCAAATATGCTTACTTTTAGCATATGTTACAGTAATCACTTTAATTTGTCATTTATTTTAATATTATCAATTTTTGTTAAAAACTTAAAAAGATTGTAAAACATTAATATGTATTCTTATAGCAGGCTTTACTTAAATTGAAATAAATACAATAAATGAGCCGTGTCATGACAAAACCAACATAACGGGTTTGCGACCAGCATGGATCCAGACCAGCCTGCGCATCCGCGCAGTCTGATCAGGATCCATGCTGTTCGCTTACAAACCCTATAACAAGTAGAGAAACTGATAGCAAACAGCATGGATCCTGATCAGACTGCGCGGATGCGCAGGCTGGTCTGGATCCATGCTGGTTGCAAACCCATTATGTTGGTTTTGTCGTGACACGGCTCTAATGTTTGTGAAATGCGTTGTTCAACCATTTTGTTTGCCATTAACTTGTTACGATATGAAACTGTAAATAAATATATCTGAATAATATCAGTCTTCTGAGATCTTTTGTAGTACCAATACATGTAGTTTCCTTAGCCAAGTACTGTTTTGTCTCGGAGAGTTAGTGGCTTCTACGGGAGCAAGTTGCTGATTCTCGTAAGTACAGTACAAGTCTTAAATCTGCTGGATTTTTGTGTGATGGATTTACCAATCTTCAAATTTGGAACAGCTAGTTGAAAGTTTTCAACAAGAAGATCATTGGTCTCAAAGCACTTGAGTTTCAAGCAAAATCTAAGCTCTTCAGCTCAAGCCCTGTCCAGAGTTTCAGAGAAATTTTTTAAAGGTTTTACAAGATACATGTAAGTAAAACCACCAGGGTAGGGCTATTTTGATGCCAGGGCCATCATTAAAACAATTTTGGTAGAGAACTACTAGATAATTCATGCCAAATATGTAAGCTCTAGAACTTGGGGGATTACAGAAAAGCGTTTTTTTTTTTTTACACTTTAGGTTAACCCATGACCAACTGGTTATTTTTACCCTAGAGACATAATTTAAATAAGCTTTGAAGTGAACTCTAGATGATGTTATATACCACATATTAAAAGTTTTGACCTTTTAGCTTTGATGAGCTAAACAAGTAACTACTGGACCATTTGCCTGCTCTGAAATGTCAAAAACTTGGTATCAAGGTATGATTTCAATTACAATTTAACATATATACTTCTATCATTTTTATCAAGTCATTTATTATCTACATAAAGGCCGGGGGCCTCAGAGCTTGTTAAGGTTGTTGATTTCTAATCACTTGCTTCTTACTACTATAGGTTTATAGGTTTGAATTGCGGGAGGGAATTTGGATTCTTTCTTGTGAGGAAGTTATCCAGTTAGCTTATAGAATATCAGTGGTTCTACTCAGGTGCTTGCTCATGCCTGAAACAATGGAATTTTGAATTTTGTCCTCTTGAAAAGTCCCCCCCCACCCCCGGAAATATAAGCTCAAAGTTGATACATGTACTGTATCAATCTCCACACAGTGATCTCCCCTTAATTCTTCGGCGTAGATCTCTGCCACCAAGGTCCCGATATATCAGAATTTCTGATATACTATATTTTTTCAAAAATTGTTTTATCTACTGCTTTTATCTATCAGATTAGTTTTCTCTCTCATTTATTCAACAATGTTTATGAATAAATAAATAAATAATATGAATATTTAGAAATAATTTTAAAAATTATGAGATTATTTTCTACCGAGACGATATTTTGATATTTATATTTTTTAGCTTTTGAATTTATTTTTCGTTATTTTGTATACTTTCGATAATTATTTGATAAACTATATCGAACGTAGGCATCAAAAGTTAAAAATAAAACAGAAAGAGAAAAATAACGTTAGATTTTCTTTGTAACGGTCGATATTTACATTTGAATTTCGACGTTACGTCATGTGACTTTCATCATCATGTGACGTCTTTGAAGGCAGTGATTACAATTCTGCCAAGGGAGGTAATCACTGTGAGGAGTTTGGTACAGTATATGTCATTTGCATGTTTCTTTATTTTCTACAGCGAGTTATTCTACAATACATTGGCATGTTGGGTGTTATCATCTTTACATGTACTTCAATTGTACTGGGACTGTTCCATGTACATGTAGCTACGGGACACTGTTAGATCTAATTTCAATACTCCCGATATTAACAAACACTTGTTTTGCATTGTATTTTTCAGACTGCAATAAACATAATTTTTTTATCTGTTTAATACCTTAATAAAACAATTCAAAATGTGAGAAGTAAAAAAAATTGTTTGCAGGGGCTCAAAAGACCCCCTTGTTTCAATAAAAATCTCAAAAGTATTAAGCCTGCAGAAATAAGTACTTCTACAGTATGCGATATATCCACGGATGAATTTCAAAAATGATGTTCAGCTTGGTTTTCTATTAAGTGTCCTTGTAATTTTGACCAATTTAGATGAAAAAAAAAGGTCTTCAACTCAATGCTCCAATGAAATCCTCAGTCTGTGTGTAAAAAAGTACCCAAGTTTTCAGATTACAGGATGCTATGAACCTGACCTAGGACCCACCAATGCAAAATTGCCATATTAGTCTTCTATTCAATTAGGACACCTAACATATGAAGATTTAAAGTTTTATGTTAAATGGTACTCCAATTATTTGGCAGAAACAATTTTCAGATTTAAGAATACTGTAACATTGACCTTTGTCTTTTCAAGACCAAAAACTAATATGCTTCCTTAGTTAAATAAGGGCAATTACCTGTTAAAGTTTAACAGCTCTGTATTCAAAATTGCTCTGGTTATTGAGTAGAAATGGTCTTCACATTCAAGCATATTTTGACCTTGGCAGTTGACCTACATGAAAAGGCCATTGAGGTCTCATAAGGACAATCATACTGCAAAGAAAATACTAGGAGAAATACTTTCATTTCAAAACCAAAACAAAATATATAATACTTTCTTTTATTTTCATTCTATGAATAATATATTATCAAATATACTGTAAATTTATTTCTGTAACATCCGCACTCTGACCTTCAACAATGACCTCCTGACCTTCAACATGTCCCAAAACTTCCTGTGTATCAGGGTTAACACATAAAACTTGATACAGATGTTTTGCAGCATCCTGTGAATTCATCATTAACTCGCCATTTCCGGTTGCCGATAGCAACAGAGAATGGAGCTTTTGAAAATCTTCAACACTTGTATTTTCATCAACAACAACCTGAATAGACGTTTCTTCGCCACTTAACGTCACGTGTTCCGGAATTTCTAAAGTTAAGCTTTGCTCCATACCAGCAGTGGGAATGTTATCATCAGTCACCCTAGTTTCATTGTTTGCCTCATTAACGTCCTCTTGTAGCAAACTTGCTTCACCCATGACATGTTTTTGCTTGTGTCTATGTAAGGACATTGAGTCAGAAAACGTGTGATTACATTCAGTACACGTGAAAGGTCGTGACCCTGTATGCAGATTTACGTGTTCCTTCAGATATGAGTGGCGAGCGAATGCTTTCAGACAAATATGGCAGGTATAGGGCTTATCACCAGTGTGTGTCAACATGTGACGTTTTAAGTCATCTGTAATAGAATAAAAGACATTAATTCATAAGTCATAATAGTTCTTCAATTTACCTTACCAATCCTAACCAATCATAAAATGTTGAAAATTTAAATAAAATTTTATTTTTTTTGCACATATAAAAACAAAACAGATACATATTTGTAGAGAATTGTGAAAATCAACAAAAAACACAGAGCTTATTGCCTTAATTAAAGTAATTTCACATTGTCAGCCATGCTTGATTTTCACTACGAGAGTCCAAATAATTGTCCATCAAAGCAAATGGCCTCCATTATTGTGTGTAAAAATTTAGTGCAAGAATGCAATCCTCTGATCTATAAACTTCAAGTATAATGAAAATAGCAATCAAATTTTAAAATTCAACATTTATTTTTTCAAACAGTGAAGTGAGTCTGTTTGCCATGTATATGAGATGTTCTTTTATTTTTGCACTACATGTACTTTCTTACTCATAACGTGAGGCCATTTTTTTAAGGTCAGAGAAATTGCTTTATTTTGATTAATGTTTTTCAAGTTCTTTGTGTGTGTTGCTAAAATAGCATCTGTCTGCACCACAACAAAATTTAAACAGGATATTGGCCATTCATGGAATGTGCATAAAACCTTACAAAAGATTTTACTTGGTCTTCAGAAATTTAGCATTAATTTCAAGGTAAATATTTTCTGTTATATTTTCAGTTTTATATACAGGTAGTTGTATACTAGTCCTTAATGCATAGCCTTTGAAAAGCCTTTGAGATGTTTTTGCAAAGTGTTCATCATTTTACATTGTGAGCTTTGTCTTTTTACGGAAAAAGGCTTACTTTCACTTTGGACACTCAGTGAAAATCAAACATGGTTGACAACGTGGAAACACCTTAACTACCTGACATTCTATGAACAATTAAGGATAGGTCAATTTGTTTCCTTGATTAAAAGCAAAATTATTTTAATGATTAAAGCTCTACCTATATTATGTCTTGATTAGAACTAAGCAAAGCTAGGTCAACTCATTTGATTAATTCATTTCTAAATAAGATATTATATATATATAATAATAATAAAAAAAAAAACACAAAAAAAACAAAACAAACACACAAAAAGTTATATCTCTAAGATAACTTTATGCTTAGTTAATAGTCAGGTTCAAATAAAGAAACTTACTTTTACACACAAATGCCCTTTCACAAGACTCGCACTGAAATTCTCGTTTACCAATATGCCTCTTTTTATGAGATTTTAATGATGATAATCCTGAAATTTGGAGAATATATGTATAATTAAAATTTAATATACATATCAAATTATTACAACATGTACTAAGTTCCCATCCTTAATCTGCGGGATTTTTGGTAATGGATTTGACCTTACAGAAGTCTATCTCATGGAATATTGTATTTTCAGTTTCGATTTCCTTCTGATCGCCGTATCCAAAAATATTTCTTCAAAAAACAGTATGTTTTAAGCCGTTGAGAACAGGGTCACCAATTCTATCTGTAATTTTTTTTGTATTTTGGAAAAGAATAATTTATAAACTTGTATTCCTTAATTAATATGCTGGCAAAGAAAATCAGGGCTGACAAAATGACAACCAATCTCACTAAAAGAAAACTGTGTGATAGCTATCAAAATTTATTTTCCTGTAAAGTTCGATTAAAATTGGCCGAATAATTTTAGGCAAGAAATTGTGGACAAACAGACAAACATAGGACATCTGATGGTCTTCAAGAGCTTTGATTAGCAACAAAGCATTAATAGTTTCAAATTATCAAGAATTTTGATAACATTTAAGTGTTTTTTTCTTAAATCTCTTTTTCACGTGGCAAGTCCATGTGATGCTCTATTAAAATATCATTAAACACAGTTTTTGTTTTTTAGAGAATACAATCATGTAATCATTCATTCTTGAGGCTTAATGTGACTTTAACATATGCTCTAGTCAATTTTAACCACCACACTATCACTGACAGGGAATAGCACTTTGACTTTGGCTTGCAATTAGCAGGGACTTTGACCTGGTAATGGTCTGCCTATGGTAAAAGCCTGGTTCTGCCAGTTGGCCATATTCCCAGTCAATTTGGTACCAAATCACAACCACCACATTTGACCTATCAGTGCTGGGACAGACAAAATGTAAAAAACACAGCTCATTTCTCTTACTCTTTTCCCAAGGGTGGACGGGACATGGTAACCAACCCACTGATGTTTACAATGTTGAATTATCTAAACTTTCACTCAGAAATATGCTCACCTCTAAATCCCTGTCCACAGAAATCACAGAGGTGTGGTCTATTGTTGGAATGTGTAAACATATGTTCTAACATCACAGACCTCTGTGAGAAAGCCTTATCACAAATACTGCATCTGAAACACAAACAATAGATTTTTCTCTGATACAATTACACAGGTCACAGTGTGATACAATTACACAGGTTTCACTGCTAAACATGTTAAGTAAGTACACTTTGTGTGTACAAAATAAACCGATTTTGAAGGCAGTTTCAGTAAATTTTCAACATATCCTTGGGGTGTTTATATAGAATTCAAGTTGGAATCAACTACAAAAAGATCAAGAAGAAGAAAACAAGAGACCTTCTTTTAAAGTATCATAAAAAAAGTATTTATTTTAGAACTTTGAGTTGGGAGTAACAAAGTTTTTATCAAACAACTTTCAAATTCGCTCTAGGCATGTTATAAGCAAGTAAACAGTGGTATTTGATATACTTCTTTCTCTTCCTGATTTATGTTATGAGCTTGTTGTATCACTGACTTTCAATTTTAGAGTTTTTAAAGTTAAGTTTGTTTGTTTGGGTTTTACATCACACCGACACAGTATAGGTCATATAGTGACATTCCAGCTTTACTGATGGAGGAAGACCTCAGGTGCCCTTCCTTGCATTATTTCAAGCATGAACGGGTACCTGAATAGAACCACCGACGTTCTGTAAGCTAGCTGGATAGCTTCCTCACATGAAAGAATCCAAAGTCCCAGTAAGGATTCGAACCCACAGCAGTGAGGGTCAAGTGATTTGAAGTCAACAACCGTAACCAGTCGGCCACGAACGCCCCTTTAAAGTTAAGTCATTTTGTGCAGGCAGGCCTGAAATTATTACATAACCTTGCTGGAACCAAGAGAGAATATCCTTGCCACCAGTATATGTAATTAGTTTTTGTTGACTAACTTTGAATTTTCATCTTGATATCCCCAAAATTGATAATGGAGAAATCCAAAAATGGAAACTGGACAAGTCCATTTCAGACATTGAGCAATGGCAATGAGTGTACCTGTATGGTTTCTCCCCAGTATGAATCCTTTCATGTACCTTCAACACTTTTTTCTCCTTGAATGATTTATTGCAATATTCACATTTCCATGGTTTATTGTCACTGTGTGTGGTCATCTCATGAGCCTTCATATTTCCCTTCGTAGTGAATGATTTATTGCAGAATGAACATTGGAATGGCCGAGAACCTGTGTGAGTTCTCATGTGGACTAAAACATAGAAAAAGTAACTAACAATTACTTTTTGAATTGGCTACTGGTCGGAGACCATCAACCGGACACTTTTGAAACATTTTTCCATACAGATTTCATAATTTTTAACGTAGAGACCAAAATATTTGACACAGTTCAGCTAGGTTCTTCTCCTAAATAACAAACTAGTTTGTTTATTTCTGATTCTATTAACACTTATATCTGAGGCTGGACAAGGAGGGTATCAAAATTACCTAAATTGTCTACACTACAGTACCATGTGTCCAGACAGATATGTACATGATGTGATTTAATTCAGATAAAAGCTTGGGTGTTTTAATTTTTGATTTACAATATGTCAGCAACAAATGCTGAAGTTTTGGATATTCTATTATTCACTCCGCAAATAATTATAGCTGGTATATGAGGTCAGGCATTGCTTTCTTGACCCCCGAATTTCAACGTCAACATTCTTGAAATATGCATTAAAATATTACCATTTACGGAGGTTAAAATTTATATATATTTACTTAATTTTAATAGAAACATGCACTTATTGTTGATAAAAAAGTGACTGACAACCACTGAACAAAGAAAATACTAAATTAAGCATTTTCTGGGCCGTCCAGGTTTGGTGGTTGTCCGGTTTTGGTGGTCCCCAACCAGTACATTCTTTCTTACAAGCATCATTATTATATAACAAGAACCATCACTATGATGGAGTCATGCTTGACTTATTTCTCATTTTTAAAAGTAATCACATCGGAGAAGGCCATTGTAGTGAAGGCTTTTGAAAGAAAACATCATTTTTTTTAAGTAGAGATTTAATAAAAATTTCAAATTTGACCTTGACAGTTAAGGTCATGTACATACCAGGGTCAAACATTAATAATTCAAAATCTTGGTGTTGTCATATCAAAGTGTTATTTATTAATAGAAAGTTATTTCAATCTAAACTTTATTTTCAATAACTTGACCATGAATGTCAAGGTCATTTTAAAGTGAAAGTCATAACTAAATAATTATGACTTAATAATTATTATACTTATTATATTGCTAAATGGGCTTTAAAACCTGACAGCATTTATCAAGCTTTAACTTACCTATGAGAGCATTATAAGTCTTCACTTTAGCTTTACATTCCTCACATCTATAAAACATCTCCCCATTCTCATTCTTCTCTGGTGCAGGGATATTTTCATTTTTTGGCCGACCTGGCCCTCTACGGATGACGGGAGCTTTATGCGGCCTTGTACGTAATCTTCTACCCAATATTGAACGATCTCTTCCCGTACCATCTCTCGTGACCACATTTTCAGGTGTTTTCTTTAAAAAAAAAAAACCAACAGAAGCTATCATATCAATGCAAATAAAGAGCCAAGGTCTTGCAGTGTGGTAAAGTGTCTTTAAGACATAGATAAATTTTAATTACATAATTATATGCATCAGTACAATGGTTATTAAAATTGCTTTGCAAAAAAACCAAAAAAAAAACCGACAAACAAACAACATTCCTCAAGCCTTGTATCATTACAAATATTGAAATTTGAATTATCATTTACATTATCACCTTTCATCACCACAATGAGGTGTTCCCTTCAAAACAAGTAAAATTTCAATATTGACATTAATATAGCTGAAATCAATACAGGATTGGCTGTTGTTAATGATAGGCGAAGGTATGTCTTTATAGGACTGTTAATCAAAAGATCACACCCCTGTTCTAATAACTCAAATATTCACAAAAAAAATCTGATTTTTTCTATACAAAAAAAACCAGACTTATAAATGCAACTTGATGTATAAAAAAAAAATAAAAATTTAATATATTTTCTAAAAAAAAAATGAGACACAATTTTGTCAATAAAAGTTATGAACAAGTAATATGTTTAGGTTTTATCAACATGTTAATGAATACTCTAGAATTAGCTCAGGCAAACAGAAAACCTTACCTTCTTATCAAGTCCCGCGTTATTTATTCCTGTTTCAGCACTTTCTGATGTAACACTAGCAGCATGGCCAAGCATTCCTGGAATATACCCCGCTATTTTAAATTTCTGTACTGTCCCATCCGATAACTCAACAGACATGTGAATACATTTGTCATCATCCTCACCTTGGTCATCATCTTAAATAATACAGATCAAATATATAAATCAACCTATAACCTGATAAATTTGTATATTAAATAGATATGTCTAGCTTTGACAATAGAACAGTCAATTTGAAATTTACAGAATCAAAATACAAAATTATGCTAAAACCCATAATAAAGTTACACAAACTTACCAAGAAATGGGTGCAAAGGTGAAACTTGGGGTGAAAAAACTAATGAAGACATGTGATTCTTTAACTAGATTGGTAACAATAGAGGAACAAGTGGTTCAGAGTTTGTAACAATTGTCGCTAGGTCGTGGAAACCAACTTTTCCTAAACAATGTCACTTGTGTATCAATCCATATCCCCTTAATTCAATTTGTAAATTTGTAAAATTTATCCTGCTTCCACCTACAAATTGTTGATAACAAGTACAAGCGATGCCAAGATCATATCATAAAACTTTAAGAGAAGATTTTCTAATCAGACGATAGATAGAAGGAATTTTAAGGCTTATCAATTTTTGTTACCAGGGCAAAATGTAAAATCTGTAAGAAATATTAACCTTTAAGTAGTGTCACATTTTTAGGGTCTATGTCCATATACTGTGCAAGTTTTGGAATGCAATTGATCAACTCTGTTACTTCACATTTGGTATCAGGTACTGAAATATAAAATATTGCCAAATATCAACATTATGACTGTCACTGATTTGACTGATTATATGGTCTTAAGAGATTTGACAGAACACACCCCTAGAGTGTGTATATTCTAGGCTTTAATAAGGTTCCAATGAGGGTATTGACACTACATACTTTTTATTGATAAACTTACACTACAGGTTTAAATTAAACTACATGTACATAATAAATATTGACTGAAAAATTGCTTCAAAAGTTAAATACACGTATATATATGTTCTGAAGTACACAAAAATATTTTAGTTATTTGATAATTTAGTTTCCTGATTTTGTAAAGTGTCCATAATTCAACCAATATGTCTGACTTAAAATAGCTATCAAAGGCTGTTTAAATTTGGTTCTAGCAAACACTTTTTAGTCTTAAGATTATATACATACCTGTTTCCATTTTCTCTGTATTATCTACAATGTCTCCAGACAGATTATCTATATTTCTATTTACTATTGCAGCGTTAAAGCTCTCATTAGTTCCTTCATCAAAGGATTTCGATTTCGATTTAATTTCTATTCTTTTTTCATCATTACTTTTCATTTCTCTTTCTGTCACTTGAGTTGACTCACAGAATATTTCCAAATGGTCGTCATGATAAAGTGTTCTTTTCTTCTTATTTTCAGGAGATATCATATTAACATTTCTTGCAGGGTCAAAGGTACATGTATCCTTGTCAATCTTTTTTGCTTCAGCCATTCTCGGCACATCACTCAACTCAGGATTACTACATGTTTTAAGTTCATCAATACAAATTATATTTTTGTCTTCATTGACATCTGAACCATTGGTGTGTGTATCAGTTTGAGCATCTACCTTGAAAATACTTGTCTCGCTAACTTCAGGTAATACTGTTCTATCAGTTATTTCAATTATAGCCCCACCTGTATCTGTATCAAGGCTGCTTTCTGTAGATACATTTTCAAAATCTCTTTCTAATCCAAGAAGTTCTATTAAACCGTCACAATTTTGATGAAAGTAACGTTTAGCATCTGGTCGGTACATATCTGGCATATGACTTGCTATTTCTGTCAGTTCATCTGCCTGAAAGTGTTAACAACATTTGAGCTGCGTCACGACAAAACCAACATAGTGGGTTTGCGACCAGCTTGGATCCAGACCAGCCTGCGCATCCGCATGTTTTGTGCCTGATATATCATCTTATTATTGTGATCATTTGTGCAAAGTATTTTTAAAATCTCTTGATCTATGAAAAAGTTATGGACTGGACACAAAATATACCCTATAACAGACTATGTAACTCTTTGACCTCTAAGTGTGACCTTGACCTTGAAGGTAGGGTGCAGGTGTTGTACTTGACATATTGTCTTATTATTGTGACTTTTTGTGGCAAGTATTTACAAAATCCTTTGATCTATGAAAAAGTTATGGACCAGACACAAAATTTACCCTGTAACAGACTATGTTAATCTTCGACCATTACCTTGGAGGTAGGTGACCGGTTGTTGCGCAGGACACATCGTCTCATTATTGTGAACAATTGTGGCAAGTATTTACAAAATCCCTTAAAAGATAAGAAAGTTATGGACCAGACACAACATATACACTCAAATAGACAATGTTGACTTTGAATGAGCAAGTGCTTCCTTGACCCTGGAGGTAGGTGTCTGGTTCTGGCGCATGACACATTGTCTTATTATAGTTACAAACATTTGTGCCAAGTTATTTCAGATTCCTTTGATAAATGACAAAGTTATGGACTGGACACCAAAATGTGATGGACAGACGGACAGAGCCTATTTATATATCCCCCTTTTTTCTTCGAAAAGGCGGGGGACAAAAAATAAATCAGTTTGCCAGGGGATCAAACTGGTCACACCTGGATTACTGATCTTATATTTTCCCTATCTAAGTTTAATATTAATAGAAGTCACTTTCATTGTGGCTGATCTTTGGTCATTCCTAGTTCCACTATACCTTATAACCTAGCACTGCTCTCGCTAGTATCCCCTACAAAGCACCTTTGTCGACAGGATGTTGGACAGGTGTAGGTTACTGTACAAAATTGAAAACATTATGGTTTGAGGGTGTGGAAATTTTTGGGGCCAGATAGAGTTGGGTAAGTCAGTTAGTTACAGCACTGTTTAGTACATGTATGAAATATTTTCTATGCAAAAGACATCTCTGTCTCTGAGATGATCTTTACCTTACCAGCTTACCTTTACCTTCTTCTGAGATTTTTTTATAAATTTTTATTACCTTCGATTTGAAAACTTCTAAAGGGTTTTTGTTCAGCTCGCAAAGCAAAGACTTTTTGTTTGTTATATCTCCCATCATGTGATTATAGAAGTTTCATCACTACAGTAGATCTATTGAAAAAAAAATATCTGACAGATTTCTTGTTGTTGTTGTTTTGGTGGTCGCTTACATAGTTAATATAATTTTTTTTTAAAAAATCGTAATTTCTCCTTTTTTCATCGCCTTTGCTTCAAAATAATTATAACAGTGATTGAAATTAAAGAAAAAATAGCCTTACTGTAGGTAGCGTACAATGTGTTAATATTTTTTTCATTTCACAATTTTATATGATAGAAGCGATTGTTTTGGAAATTAAAATGAAACTGAAAGTCGGATTCTTGTTAAAAATAAATCAATAAAGTAAACATTACTATATAATCCTTAATAATACAGAGACAAAGCTCAACGCAACTTCTCTCAATTTTGTAAGAATACACATTCTTATTCTTTAATGAAGGAAGAACAGAGTGGAACTTCGTACCTCGCGGAAACTGATGAAAATGTCGATGGTGATAAGCCCAAGCCTAACGTAGAGAGCAGATAATAGATTACCATTAGTGTGGTAGATGATATGAGTTTAGAGAGATCACAGACATCAAAACGCAAAAGATTACACATGGATTCAGAAGCCTGCTTGGATCATGTTAATACGGACGAGGGAGCATTACCCTTGTCCAGTCCCCATTTGGTTTCCCAAAAGGGAGCCAACATAGATGTGAATAGAGGATTGCACCCTGTAGTTCGAAACAGAAAACGTAAATTTGAAAGTTTTCATGAAGAAGACCTTACGAATGATAAATCCAATAGTAACAAAAAAGAAATAATGCAATTCAATACTGTTACTGTTAATTCCTCCCAAGGTTTTGTGTCTGCATCAAAAATGTATGATATAAATCATAAACAAAATGTTCAGTCTGTAGTCAAGCCAAAGAACAATATAGATATGTTTCTTCAAAGATCTCAGTCTGAAAAGAAAGGAAAAATCAAACAAATACCAAATCAAGGCAGTTTAAGAAGTTTTGTGTCTTCCAGCACTCCATCAGCACCATCATGTTCACACCACTCTTCAAAAAAGACTAAAGAAGAAACATCAGTTAATGCTCAAGAATCACCTTCAAGGACTGTGATGTACTCGCCAATTAAGAAACTCTCACCAAAAGATAGCATGTCATGTATATATATCAGTGATGACAGTCCCTGCTCATCACAGGAGTTTAGTAGCCAGAAATCAAACATGTCTGAAAATCCTGTGATCAAACAGTTGTTTCAAGCAGCTAAAGACTTTGATCCAAAGGTTAAAACTAAAGGCAAGAAATCTAAACCAGTCAGCTCTCCATTTTTAAATGCATCTAAAAATGAAGGTGCGAAATATTTTGAAAGTGATAGTTTTGACATTAACACTGCATTTGATTCAGATATGGATGATAGTTCTTCTGTAGACAGTAAGAATAGTATTTCTGAAAGCAAAAGAAAGAAAACTGAGTCTGATACATATGGACTTCTTGGTACAGGATCATATCCTAAAGAGGAAAAGATAAATTACTTTGAGAGACTTCCTCCTGAAGTTCTTGAAAATATTTTTTGTCAACTTCCCTTACTAGACTTGTGCTTGAACAGTAACAGGGTGTGTTTGCAATGGAATGATATTATTTCAGATGAAAAGGTATTTTTTTATTATAATTCTGTCTTATGTTTTTTTACATATAATGTACAGTTTTTTTTAAATGATTGTAAATGTTTGCAAGTTCATTATTCATTATTTTGTATACAATTCTGTTAGTTATGTGATTCTCAGTTATAAGGATTTGATATTCAACTTTATAACTCTGATGTTATAAGGTTGAACCCATTTTTACAAGATCAGACAATTTATGCTTGTATATTCATAGTTTGTTCCATGGAAGAAGTTGTATCATAAATTGAAGTCTGAAGATGAAGCCAGCAAAGAATTTATTCAGAGTACAATGAATAAACATGAGATGAAGCATCCTCCTATGTATTTGTTGTCTTTAATCAGGTAACATTTTAACCCTTAAAGCCAATAAAGGTACACAGGTAATAAGATACCATTTTATGTTAATTATTATATTCAATATATATTAGTTTCAAGAATAGCCATCTTAGCTCAATTTAGTAAATAGAGATCATCAGATTTGTAATCCAATTGTTGCTGGTTAGGTCCTTGTACTCTGAGATTGAGTGAGTCTAATAAAGTGAAAGTGATAAGTGCCTCACTTCTCAATCAGAAATAATGTGGGATAACAAAAATAGTAGTTGTTCACTTGCAGAGAAATCTGTAATAACTGGTTAGGTGGACCGTCAGCAAGATACATTTTATGACAAAATTAGCTATGAAAAGTTTTCTGCTATTGAAATGCACATGCAAATGTTTAAGACAGGTGAAAATCACTCTTTGCCATATGCTACACTGTATCTATTCCAGGTATATGAAAACTTTTAAGCCAATCACAGCTGGGAATATGTTACAGTGTCTTCAGAAGCATAAGAAGTACTGTTGGGCCAAAGATCTCATAGATGAAAGATTGCAGGACTGCAAAACTCATGAAGTAAATTTGTTTGCAACAAGTAACAATTTATTATGTAAATGTATTTCAACAAAACACAAGATTCCAGTCTGTACACACTTTCTAAGCATTATTTGACTGATGTTTATTACATTATGTTTCTAACTTGTGGTATATAATTATTGTATCATGCATGTTCAGACAAAAATGCACAGTTTTTGATTGTTTGGGGAACTGGTCAAGAAATAGGGAATTTCTGTAATTGTCACTGGGTGAGAAAATGTGCAGCCTGACTGGGACTCGAATGCAGGACCTTGGGAATCTGTTCTTTATGGATTGGGCTATCCTGCCCTTTTTCTTTCCAAATTAATGAACAGTGCCATAATTCCAAGTACTGATGCTCCAGAGTGTGTCTTGTACCTTCATAAGTAAAAAAAAAGATAATAAAGTTGGATAAATTGGAGGAGAAAGCAATTAAGATGCAGCAAAGAAATTTGTAAAGTAACTAGATATTTTTGGACTCCATTTTTGGAGAAATAGGTAATTTCTTTCATTAGGAATCAATTAGTGTATTAGACATATAGTGGCCCTGTCTTAAAATAGAAAAAACACTGTCAAAAGAATAAGGTACATTATATTTTAGGAAAAGGATAGATATTTATTATTCTACCTACCATAAGTATTGGACATATATGTGAGAAATCACATACCTATACAGTGTAAGAAATTAGGATTTGAATCGACTAGGCTGGTCGGACAACCAGATTGGAATATTCACTAGCCCAAAAAACATTTCACTAGCACGATTCAGTGGTTCAAAACAGTTGTTTATAATTATTGCCTCTGAAAATGCAGTAGCCTGGTCGGGCTTGTTACTGTGAAAAGTTGGTAGCCCGAGGTGAAATTTAGTAGTCTGGGGCTATAGGACTACTGCTAATTTCGAACACTGCCTATAAATATGATACACAATTTACTTCAGGAACCAAACCCATGGTCAGTGATAACCATACTAGTTCTGGTGGCTCACAATGTGTATGATATACAAGAGATTATACAATGTCTTTCCGTCAGTTCGTCTCAGTGTACGTCCAAGGAAATCATAGAATGCCTGTACTGCATTGCAACCTTCCTGTTTGCTTTTAAATTGGCAAAACCCTGTGATGTCTGGAATGGGTTTGTATTTTTTGAGTTAACTGTTAGATATTGATGAAAATAGCCCAGAAAATTTGTTTGATTAAGCTTTAATTCTTAAACATTACCTGATTGGAAATTAATCCTCTAATTAGTGAATTGTTTTATTAAGCCTCTAAATTAGTGCATTGATTCATTAAGTATATGCAGGGTTTTCATTATTAACAGATTGGTGATCTATATCATTGGCTGTAATGCTGTTAAAATCTGTTGTATTTTCAGCCTGTAGATTGAAATATCTCTGTTGACCATTGGCCAAATCGGCTGTTCTTGTTGGCACATCAGTTGCCTCAGATAAAAATGAAAATCCTGCGTATAATTAATGCATTGATTTATTAAGCCTCTAATTAGTGCATTGAGATACAAAACAGATAATCTAGCACTTACAGATAGACCAATACAAGCTTTAATAAATCAAGTACAAACTAAGAAACAACTTCCTATGATAAAACATATTATTATTATCACCAATGTTACATAAAAAAATAAACAGACCATCCTTCTGTTACTAACCATTTCTCAAATTAATTATTATCTTGACAATTTTTATTTTGTACTAAATCAGCAATGGAAACTTCATGCTGACTAAGTAAACATCCAAAAGCAAAAACAAAATATGAAAGAAAAACAAAAATATGGGTTCTATTTTTACCTTATCTAATTAACCCTGGTAAGGGAGTAAACAATGTTGAAGTCAAAACATGTTGTTAAGCTCAGGAATATAATTAGATATATATAAATACATGTGTAGATGTTTTTATTTTGTTTGACTGAAAAAGCCCCAAAATAACATTCAGTAAGTCGGTCTGTTGTGTAGCTTTGGCCATCTTGTGAAGTACATGTACACTGTTCTACTCATTGATCTTAAACTAGAGTAGACCATGATATATGAAAATAAAACTAACTTTTTAAATCTATTTTCTTGTTTAACTCTAAATTCTATTTATATTACCTTAAAATTTCCTCTAAACATGATTAGAATGATCAAATCCATATAAGATCAGAACAAAAATTAAGTGCCTGCCACATTTTTAGCTCACCTGAGCAATGCTCAGGGTGAGCTATTGTGATGGCCCTGTGTCCGTCGTGCGTCGTCGTGCGTCGTCAACTTTTGAACATTAACAACATCTCCTCTGAAACCAATGACTGCACATCAACCAAACTTTACAGAAATGATCCTTGGGTGGTCCCCTTTCAAAGTTGTTCAAATGGTTCCGGTCTGTTGCATATGTAGGTCATAGGGCCAGAAAAGGATTTCAAAAAACACAAAATTAAAAAATCTTCTTGTCTGAAAGTACATGGGCCAGAGCTTTGATTTTTGGTATATGGTATCATCTATGGGTCCTCTACCAAAGTTGTTCAAATTTTGTCCCAAGTGTCAAAATTGGCCCCGCCCCGGGGGG